TAGATTTCTTATATGAAGGAAAGCGCTTGCTTCCTCTATCAAAGTCCATGAAACATGAAGTCCATGTTTGTTTAGAGCCAAAAGGCTGTTACATCTGTGTTAAGGTGTAGTATTAGTTAAAGTTCTTCTGGCTTCAAGCCGGCAAAGCGCCATCAATACTGAGTTGTTATGGCTTAAATACATGTACGTGGCAAACTAAAGGCTTGTACAGATATGGCGTGGTAAACAAATGCAACAAAAAAGCCGTGGGTTTTGTACGTGAAAAATGTATGGCAACTGCGCGCAACAAAGGACTTGCACATACTCACTGAGCTCTGTGTAATAAGATATAGAAATGTGGAGAGTAACACATTTTTTGTCATCACTGAAAAAAAATCTGTGGTTTTGGTGCATCACATCTGAACTAGCCGTAACTTATTCAAATATGGATTATACATGTAGTCAACCTATGAAAAAGCACAGAATTATGGCTGTCAAGAAGAGGCAAGCATCAGCAAAGCTGGGGCAAGCAGCAAACTTCCAAGTGAGTCCTAATTACCCAAGACCCTTTGCGAATGTGGTCTGCCTCTCACTGCCCAAGAAAACTAAGGGCTAAGACTGGCCTTTATAGCCTTCTCAGAAATCACAAACCTTCTTATCAATATCAACAGTTATAGTTACATACACGTGCACAGCAGAGAGTAAACTTTGAGATAGAAAAATCATGCATATTCTTGGCATATATCCCAGTAAAATCCCCAGGTTCATGTACTATTGACACAACATCCACTGATGATAAAGGTCATGAAAGTCACGATGATGAAGTGGTCACAAAAGAAACAGTTTGTTCTGGTATTAAGAATGATATATTAATATTTAGAGAATAAAACTGATGTGAAGATGTACATAGATTAATAATACCAAAAAAAATGGCAGAATGAGATATTAACTGCAGATAAATTAGCAAATAAGAGTGGACTTTTGCAATGACTAGACCACCCATGATAACTTTTTTCTTCATGATTTTTTGTGTTTTCTTGGATTAAAAAAGGTATGCCTCAACATTTTTTTTTTTTATGGTAATCTCTTTTGAAACTGTTTTTCCTTATTTATCAGTTTGCTGATGATTTTGGTCCGTTTCAGGATGAGTGTATCATGCATACCTGTGTCTCAAAATGGCATTTCCAGGCATTTAATGTTTCATGTAATACATTCATGCACGATAATCTTCCAAGGAAATTGTAATGCCCTTCCAGAAAGAAAAGATACAAAGAATAAATAGGGTTAGAAAGATGACAATCTTTACAGTCATATGACAGGAAGATGGTCATTGAAATGTCCTTTTAAAAATATTTATATATGGACAGCAGGTACTGATACCAGGAAATAATTCCTCATGAATAACAACAAAATGGTGTTGGTTACATTTAATTAGGTGAACCATATTAAAGAGCCAAATATGATTATCTTCGTCGAACATAGGCACACATTTTACACTGTTTCAGAATAAAAGATATCTTTCATTAAAGAAATTGAAAAAAAAATAAAATTGGACATCTGTGAAAAACAGACTTACATTTCTTTAACACTGTTTTAAAGAGGAAGTCTACCCTGGTATTTATTTGGTTTCAATAAAAACAGAACAATGAGAGGAACAGGTCAGGGAAAGTTTGAGCAAAATCAGATTAAAAATAAGAAAGTTATACATTTTTGAAGGTGCGATCTATCAAACAAGAAATGAAAACTCTGCAACATATTTTGCTAGGTCCCATTCCATTGCTCTGTATTTTAAAAAACCCATACATTTCTATCCTCCCAAAAGAACTTTTCAATCACACATGCACCCTAAATATAATTGTTGCAAATGTGTTTCTATACAACCCGTGGATGGAACAAATCTATTTTGTCATTAATAACTTACAACAAGGAAGTCTTTGAAACTTTCTGTATAGAGCAACTAAAAATGCAGGGAGAGGACCCGGCCCCCCCCCCCCACTCCGAGAACGGACGGACCCCATGCGTGTTACCAAAATGTCCGGTAAACTAGGGGTACTTTTCGTGCGACAAATTCCGGCCCGAGAATTGTAAAAAAAGGGGTGTAATAACTTTTCACCCGGAGATTTTTTTTTAAAAGGGGGTGTTTTTTTCTTTTTTTCTCTCATCTCTTTGGACTCCTGAGAAATTATTCCGAATTTAGGGGGGTACATTGAGCCTTTTTCATGATTTAGGGGGGTCTCCAAGGCAGGAAAAGTCTGCGAAAGGGGGGTTCGGAAATGTTGGCAGTCCTCAGATAGGGGCTGCTTTCAAAAAGAGGGAACAAGCATATGCGTACCCTAAATAACACTGAGTGGGGGGGGGGGGGGGCTTGGGGAGAGGACCTCAAACAAACTTATTTGTTTCTCTTGTTCTCTGCTTTTATTAATACATGCATAAGTTAGTTATCAGGGTGGAATTCCCAAAGGCTAATCTTGAAGGAATACCAGACAGACAAGGGTTTTTCCCATTATATACAGGTATTGCAACATAATGTGAAAGTCATTACTGAGTAATTACATGTAGATGATTCAGACTAATAACACTCTTATCTAGGTAGATTTAATAGCGAAATGCAGTATCACGAAAAGACCACATTTTTTTGTTTCCCCTGAAAAAGTTTTCTCATTGAAACATATACTTTAGGCACCTGTCTTGGATTCCGGATGCGTCTTTTGTGCAACCACATTTCCCTACGCAATAGAGTAGAGAGAGACAGAACACATGTGGTAGGGACATCATTACAGACAGTGGCATTGATTTGTGGGGTAAGAGGAATTACACTTGAAACACTTGAAAATAAACTGATAATTTAATGTACATGTATTGACACCTTTTGGAGCATTGATCTGCTATGCACAATGCTAGCTTGGCTTAACATCGGGCTTACATGCACAGAATACATGTACATGAAAGTTTTAAAAAAATACCAGCTCAACAGTTTAAGAGAAGGTTGAGTTCTGGGAAGAGGTGAAAAAATAATTTGTGAGCGTTATCATTGTTATTATGCAAGGGTGGAAGAACATCAGATAAAACATGTTCCCTGAAAAGCATGGCTCTTCAAATGCCTACATATTCTAAATATGGCATGTAACATCGTAAAAATCGGGACAGATTTTTACACCACGTGTTCGTGTAGTCCCATATACATCCTTCTGTACAGTGCTTGTAACTTTACCAAGACTTGGCCAAATTTCTCATCATTTTGATGATTTCAGAACCTTGCAATACACACAAATACTTATGGTAAATGATCAACCTTTTCTGATAAGATATTACATCGTTTCTTTCACAATGCAATCGCATGACCATAACTCAACTTTATCTTTAACTGCAAAATATGGGTACTAGTCCCAAATGGAGTGTACAGACCAGGAGAGTAAGCTGTGGGAATTCCCATAGAGCAACGAGCACACAACCACCATGGAAACCTTGGCCATTTCCTTGAAGTACCCTATCATCCAGGCACAAGAGCCTCGTAAACAGGCAAATAAAAGCCCCAAAGTAGCATGGTGCCATGGAAATGGTTCAGGAAAAGTTCACATCGTGTTTTTGTCGTTCCTCTGGCAGAATATTGCTAACATACGTGCATGCCATATAGAAAGTTTCTGACAACTTGCTTCGAAAGTTGTGACTGCTCTATACATGTTATGAGTAAAAGTAGTGACACAGTGACAGTTTTCTCCTTTTAAAGATAAAGATGAGTCTCTGTTTACCATCAATCAGTTATCTCTTTCTTAGATAACACCTTGCACTGGTAATCTCTCCCTTGAAAGTAGATCTCCTGAAACTTTGATGAGTGTGAACAGGCCAAGTGGTAATTTCCCATTGATAGCATTTCTGGTTGCTCCTTTATTTGTTTGGTTGCGGTGATCCGCCTACTGGGCATTGCTCTTGTACTCATCAAAGATGTAGGCGGGAATATGAGACTCGATGGTCTGAAATCAAAACAAAATCGAGAGAAAAATGACTAGTACAACAATAATTTAGTTTAAATACAGTATGCACCATGCATCGTGGTACTACGATAGTTTGTGGTGATGACCCCACAGTTTGTCAGAAGCTTGTTTGACATAGTAAAAACAATGTCACAAAATACTAAACCAGTTCACAAATATATCCATTATGCATGCCACTACAACAATAAGCCACTAAGTTCAAAGATAAAACCTGAGCCAAAGCAGACAAACTTCATACTGAATAGACCTGTTTACTAATGTAATCAATTTATGTATGTTTCTCTCCCGACCTTTAACCCTTTAAGAGCGATCCCGCGCACAGCGATTGTTTCCCCTGTGACGGAGCGATTTTCGGTTACATCGCCAGTAATGTAAAATTTGGTGGTGCTTTCTACTTCCATTGCTCATTGCGCTTCATTCAGTCATTTTCGTTATTTTTAGTAAATGTAGAAATGAAAGATCAGACTTTTTGCAGTTTTGTTTTTATTAAAAAAAATGATGTCCTCTTTCTTCTTTCCCCTCTCAGTCTATTCCTCTATCTTCTCATCCCTCTATCTTCTTCTCCCTCTCACTCTATTTTCACCCCTCGCTCTCCCTTCTGCTTCCTCTCACGCTATCTTCTTTTCCCTCTCTCTTCATCTTCTTCCATACATCTCATTCTATCTTCTCCCTCTCACTCCATTTTCTTCCCCCTCTCCGCATCCCCTTCCTTCTTTCTCTCTCTGAATGATTTTAAATTATATGTCCTCTTGCTTCTTTCCCCTCTCAGTCTATCCCTCTATTTTCTTCCCCCTTTCACTCTATTTTCACCCCTCACTCTCCCTTCTTCTCTCCCTCACATTATTTTCTTGTCCCTCTCACTCCATTTTCTTCTCCCTCTCTGTATCCCCTTCCTTCTTTCTCTCTCCGCATTGACTTATAGTGGACAATGTCTATGCTCTTATCTAGGACATACTATCATAAAAAGATGAAATATAAATACATGTACTATAAAAATTAAAAAAAATAAACAACCAATTAAAGGAAAAATAGTTGATGGGTCCATAGCGATTTAATACTAACAATAAAAGAAATCACGTGTACCACAACACCTGATCAAAATATCTTTGCCTGAAAATCAGCAGCTATTACTTTACTTGATAATAATGCATATTATTATTACACCAATAATAAATGGGAAGCAACATGAATGAATCCAATAGAAAGTATCACATGATAGCGAATAATCTGTAGAGCAAATTATTATCAGCAAAATGGAAAAATATAAACATTTCGCATCTAGACCCTGACAGAAAAATGTCATTGTATTATTTGATATTACATTGCAATTATTAAATAATGACAAATAAATTCATATAACGGTAAGGACATGAATAAAATCCCACTGGAGGTATCACATGATAGTTCATTCCAGCTGGAATAGATAATATTTGCTATCTATTGCTCCGCATCCATTACATTGTCAATCTCAAGATGAAACGCAGGAGTACAGGCCGTCTTGTACTTCCTTTTGGTGTGGTACAGTCTGAAGCATGGCTTGTCGCACAGGGGGATGTTCCCACAGTCTCTGCAAACAGTTGATGTTTGGTGACGTTTTCCCTCCCTGTTGGAGCACACCTCACAGTCTCGGAAACATGGCTTCCCATCTACCTTCCTCTTGGGGTTGTTTGCAGGGAAGTGCTTCTCCGTCAGTCTTCCGAGTGGTTGATCAGCCTCTAGTCTTGGTCCCACATGGATAGCACGCGGCTTCTCATACCCTGCGAGAAGGCCAGTGATGATGGATAGCCGAACTTTGTTCACGTCGATCCTCTTTCGTAGGTGAGCTGGCTTCATTGCGTAGAGGGACCTAAGTACAATGACAGCATTGCAGAAAGAAACTTCGAGAAGGGCAACGAAGATCTTCTTCCACCACTTGCAGGATCTGTGGATGTTCAGGGAGTGCCAGAGAAGCTGATCGGCAAGGTCGACTCCGCCCATATTCTATGTGTATTGCTCCATGGCTTTGGGTTTGACATATCTCCTAATGTGGTCTGGACCATTCTTTGCTCTGACTTCTTTGATGAACGTGTCTCCATTGTGCACAGACGTGATAAGTTTTACTGCTCGCTTGTCTGCCCATGAAATGTATGTGATATCCCCTTCCTTTACCACTAAAGGTGGATCGTCCTTCTTGGGCTTGTGTGATTTGATATCATTGGGGACATCTCTCCGGTTGGCCCTCAGTGTCCCACATGCACCGGTGTCTTTGCTAGCCAGCTCTTCAAAAAGACTCGGTGAAGAAAACAGATTATCCATATAAATATGGTGTCCAATGTTCAGGTATCCAGTCGAGACATCCATCACTATCTGGTGCATGGCCCCACGATCATTCTCCAGGACTTCCTGCCCCGTGGAAATGTTCCAGTTCTGGACATAGCCGGTGTTGGCATCGCAAATGCTCCAAGCTATCATCCCCCACTTATGAGGCTGGTTTGGATTATAGCGCCTTAACCCAGTCCTCCCCTTGAATGCTATCACTGTCTCGTCGACACTGACTTCACGACCAGGGTAGAACTTTGCTGCCCATCTATCTGTGAACATGTCCATGACTCCTCTCACCTTGAAGAGTCGATCTCTATTGTCACCTTCAGGAGCATCTTCGTTGATTACCAGGTGAAGAAATGACAACAGCTGCATGAAGCGGTCCCGTGACATGATGCTCTTGATGCCAAAATTAAGCAGTGAGTTTGTACTCCACATTAGGTTGTAAGCCGGCAAGCGAACAAGGCCGGTGTACAAAATGATTCCAAAAACGGCCTTCATCTCTGCTGGATCAGTTGGAATCCAGGTCCTTGCCCTTGACCGAGGAGACAAGTTCTCTTTCCCTCCTACTCTCCTGAAATACTGGTCAGCATAACGATTAGTCTCCACCACTATTCTATCAACTATCTCTGCTGACAAGAAGTCCGAAAAAACTTCACTGGGTGTGACTTCATCAAGAGGTTCGCGAAGAAGAGGTCCAACACGATGATCAAATGCACGACACCACATATCATCATATGCATTCTCCATGTAGTCATTTACGATGTCATTTTGGATGTCCTTTTGTTCTATGTCGCCATCAGACACATCGCCATGAGACACATCGCCATCAGACACGTCGCCATCAGACCCATCGCCATCAGACCCGTCGTCATCAGACACTGCCTCTCGAGCCTCCAAATCAAGAAGAAATTTATTGTCTCCATATTCGCTGTTGTCATCAGCCATGAATCCATCAATGACCTCCTGGATCTCATCCTCGTTGAGGAACCTCCTTCTGGGCATGTCGCCTCCTCTATCAAGACCCTGAAAGATTTAAAAAAAATACTTTGATTAAAAAATAATGTTCATTTAACAAAAAATTGAAAACTCAATCAGATAGTTTAAAAATGACAGACAATGGCCGATATATCCATGGAAATATATTATTGCTTTGATACGAACAAAACTTTAACTGGTATTTTTTTTTTTTTTTTTGTTTTTCGGAAAAGAATGTTGATATTAGTATACACTTTTTCACAGGTTTCACGGCAAACCACGCACAATACAAGTGCATAACAATGGTGGGTTGTTGTGTGAAGTATCTACGGTATGCCCTTGTATTTGGCAGCGATTTGTCGTCTAACCGTTGAAAAAAGTGTATACTAATATCAACGTTTATCAAAAAAATATTCCAAAAATAACAAGAAAATTGACACGAAACGACTTTTAACTCATGATCTTTTTTTGGACATTTAATGAGTATTTACTTCATTTGGGGTATATTTTTGTAGGGTATCTTCACGCAGGAGTTACGGGTCAAATTTTTGATAGGCTTCTGAACAAGCGCCCAATATTCGGCGCTAGTGTACCTCCGTATCCATTTTTTTAAACAGTTTCATATCCATTTCTAGCAAAAGAAATTTAGCCCAATTTTTTTACTCATTTTAATCATAATCATATATCACAATTTCCACCTGAATGTGGATCACATCCGACATCGGGAAGCCTCCATTTAGGGCTTCGATGTTGACGTCGTTGCTCAGTACCGTCTCTATGCTATAGCTTTGCAACTCAAACTGAAGCTATCAGTCCAAAATTATGCAAACTTCTTGTATGGTTTATGGGTATTACGCGCATGCACGATACCATAACCCATACGAGAAGTTTGCATAATTTTAAACTGATAGCTTCAGTTTGAGGTGCAGAGCTATAGAGTTTAGCGCGGAGACGGTACTGAGCGACGACGTCGACATCAAAGCCCTCAACGGAGGCTTCCCGATGTCGGATGTGATCCAAATTCAGGTGGAAAATGTGATAGAAATCTTTATGATTATGATTAAAATAAGTAAAAAATTGGGCTAAAATTCCTTCGCTAAGAATGGATATGAAACTGCTAAAAAAAAATTGGATACGGAACTACACTAGCGCCCAATATTCAAGGTCAAAACATAAATAGCATTGACCTCTTACAAACCAAGGCTTTTCATTGTTCAAATTTGTTCATTCACCGTGGCTTTCTTCCCACAAAAAAGTAAAGATCTAGCGTCAGATCTACATGTATAATTAGACTAGTTTATTCAAGCGAAGTGACTGAATTTATTCTCTATTTATTCACTGGAACAACCTTCCTTCTTCAATTGCCAATAGGCTAGCCAATCCCCAATACTGACCAAACCATACAGATACAGATACAGAACTTACAAAAATCAACACTTCATTTCTATACACGAAAGTACAGCAATGGGACCAGAGAAATACGAGCTTGGCTTACCTCGGCCTCGGTGGTGTCTATAAATGTTGTTGTCTCGTTGGAACACTATGTCGATAATGCTTAGATCAGTGTATGATGAAAAAATGCCACACCGGTAGAGTAGATAAATATAAATAAGCAATTATGGTCGAAATAGAACTGATAATACGAATATCTGAAATGCGGAAGCGTGGAACTTGGAAGTAGTGTTTCGTCGTCAAGCAAGAATCCTGGGAAGACTATAGAACCGACGCGCGCGTACGCGTCTGTCTCCAGTTGTATGGGTATTTCGAGGGCCTTTTTCGATCCGAACACTAACTGAGGGTAAAGTTGAAATGAAATCACTTTTTCTCTATTTTTTTCCACGTAACTCTATTATTTTTTTGATAGATGAGATGAATGAATATATCTAAATAATACTTCAAAGAAGTTAAGCACATAATAGCTAATAATAAGCTGGAAAACTTTGTCAATATATTAGGGATACTTCTCGGCTTCTGTAGAAGCCCGTCGTCTCCAAAGTGTTAAAGGGATCGTTTAACAATGTTAAATGTGAGATGCACGGCCCTACGTGTTATCAGTGTCTGTCATATGGTGTAATTTTGAAGCCCTTAAAAAAAGCTTCAAAATGATCAAGAAGTGCCTCAAAAAATTAAAAATCTTTGACCGGTTTTACCATAACTCATTTTCCCCAATAGACTGTAGTGTTATGAAAACCGTTAGACAAACACAAAATTTGGTTTCGATTTCCAATCATAAATATCTTGATAATCAGACAGGCGATTAGCTACATGCCAGGGGGTTCCTGACTGACCTAAAGGTTTATAATTCTCATTGCAGCATGAGCTAAATCCAGGATTTTGTTTCAGAATCTGAGACAAAGTTACTGGATCCCTTTAAGTACCATCTATTCCATCCACCTGCCATGCAAATTGACATCTCTATGGATGGAATTCACGTCGCTATGTCAGACAAACACCGACAAGCTTTCCAGTCACCAAGAGAAATTTTGTACAAAAATATCACCATCAAGGTCATCATAGTCACAAATATCATTATCATCATGGTCACCATTGTCATCAGCATCGACATCTCTGTCACCACAAACATCCTTGATTATCATCATCAACATCATCATTAACACCATTATGAAAATCAGCAATGACCACAATCACCATCATCATCATCATTGACATTTCTGTCACTATTAACATCGCTATCGTCACCCTAGACATCGATATTGTCACTATCATCATCAAGGCCATCACTTTCACAAATACCATTATCAGCATCACCATTATCATCTTCACAATGTCATCATCACTATCATCATTTTACTCAGTGCTATTATATACTGACCTGTCTTGGGAGGGCTGCATAGTGCACAAAGTCATCTAGGAAAGCCAGGATGCAGACTGCCTCCTGAGGAAGCTCAGATGCTCGTCCACTGAAATGAAAATATGCAAAGAAATAGAAACATTCAGATTTAAAGCCCCACTGCACTACTCAGCTACTTGTGCCCTCTATATAGCAAACAATGCCTAATCGGTGACCATTGGTCCCCCACAAACCCCTTTTTCTTATGTTAATTGAGAGCTGATTTGATAGGATAACCACCTGTCAGTGACCATGCAAGGAGGTCTAATTCCTCCGGGCCAAACTAGTGCTTTGGGACTTTAAAACTGTCATTCATAAGACAGTCAATGACAGCTGTTTCTGCAAATTGTAAAAAATCAAAGCTCTAGCAAAATCTAATTACTTTGAAGCAAGAACTTTTGGCTACCAGTAATCTCCATGACTCGTGAAGTTCTTGAAAGTCAAATTTTCTTGTTTAGGCCCAACAACTGCCTATGAGAAACGGAGGTGAGAATTATCTAATGGTCAGCTTTCTGTCTTTTTGACTAGATCTCAGAAGGCATCTACTGAACCCTAGTGTGAAACTGGGGATCAATTGCATACTTCAGACGGTCGTGCATCAGATGTAGACTGATCAGATCTGGATGAAACAGGACTGTAAAAGCTCACCTAAAGTTTAGTTCACACAACACACTAATCACTGCAGCAATTTTAAGATTGTTTTATGGGTAAATGAATAGCAAGTGTATCAAAGGTCTCAAAGCATAATCACTAATCTATCTGTTATAGGATAAAGAAGTGTGGGATGAACTATGATTATCTCAGAGATATTTAAAAGTGAGTTTACAGTATCATATCGAAATGAGGCTTAATATGATATTTGATATGACCCATCCAACCCATCAACAGGTCTAAGACCCATCCATCCCGACAGGTCCAAGACTAGCCCATCTAAATAGGTCCTGACCTAAACCATCCAAACAGGTCCAGGACTAACCCAACCCAACACACTCTAGAGGAGGCGCGATAGCTCAGGTGGTAGAGCAGTGGACTCGTATTCCGGCGACCTGGGTTCGAAACCAAGGCGATGCGCTAGTGCTCTTTGGTAGGGCATTAATCGTCATTACCAGGTCTCTCGGAGAGGACCTAAATTCGTCGGTCATCTGGTTGCTTACTAACAAGCATTTATGCTTTCTTGGCAGTCAGGTAAAATAACCACCCAAACAAGTCCAGGACTAACCCAACCTAACATGTCTAGTCTAGGACTTACCCAGCAGCGGTGGACTCTACCAGAGACCTGACGTACTGTCCAAGAAGTGCTAGGAACTGATCAGTATTCTCTGAATGGAACTGCTTGAGGAGGGTCAGGACTCCGACGATGAAAGGAGGTCCATCGATCGGATCCTTCGGTAGTTTGCCAATGATGCTCCCTAAAAAAGACAAGAATAGATTTTTATTTGATTTGAGTAATTTAGCGTAAGTGCCATATTGCCATACATGTACATCAAATTAAAAAATATATATCAGGAATGGTTGAAGAAAGAGGGGCAAAATACTTTAAAAGACATCAAACTTTCTTGAAATATTTATTGGAAGTCAAAGTAGAAGGTACCAGACCAAGAGCGACATTAAGAACAACTTGGAGGGGAATATTAGGACATGGAGTGGAATGACACTGCTTGAGTGTACTAGGGTGGCAAGAAAACAGAGATGTGTGGATAAATGTTACAATCAACCTCCAAGCTTGGAGAAGATACCTTGATAGATACAAGATATGTAGATATACATGTCAAATTGTCATGTTAAGAGGAATAATTTTCTTTCTTTATTCAATGTCTTTTTCTTTGCACTACCGGTCAAATCATAAGAAGCACTCTCTAAGCATTTACTTGATGGAAAAGATACATGACACAATCTAACCACAGGCAAGAATTTTCTATTGCTTCTATGGTAATTTTTTTCTCATGAATACTGAAATTAATTGAATTGAATGTCAAAAAGTCTGAAAATAAGAGATTAAACCACAGAAATGGTAATTCATGTTAGAAACCTGGAACAAACATGCCTACGTGTACCGGAATGACCTCTGTTTGGACCTCAATTTTTCCCATGCCATTCATGGCAAATCCTGCCCAAGCATTCAAGGAATGCTGAACAACATGAACATGAACATGTACATGTATATCAAAGTTTGGAATAAAAGTGTTACTTTCACCTATTTGAAGAAAAAACACAACAACAACAACAACCCCACAACAAAACAACAACAACTTCAAAAGCAGTACATTTAGGGTAAATTGTATTAGCATGCCTGATCCAATAATGGAAAACACTTAGAATATAAAGGAAAATTTTCCTCTATAAATCCATCCACAACTTAATTGTTGTTGATACTCACCACTACCAAAACGGATCATCTGGAGTAGGGGTATCTACAAGAATACGGTCTTCAGTATCATTCAAGATGTTATCCGCTGTAAAGGACTGTTATAAACACTCCCTATATCCTAGGACATTACACAAATGGAACTTTCTCCCGACCCATATTAGAAATACCCCAACACTTGGAGCCTTTAAAGATAACTTACAAAAGCTCAACATGGGCAAAATAAATTAAGTACACTGCTCAGTCGACTGCACCTGCATATTACATCCCAGCTGAGGAGTTTATGCAGTAGCCGACCAGAACCAGAACCAGAACAAGAACTTACCCACAGTCTTGACATACTGCAGCTTGGGGAGCTGGGCCGCAACAAAGAGGAAGGTGAAGAGAGAGAAATATGGTAGCCTCTTGGTCGTAATATAAATCTATAATTGAGAAAGAGAGAAAGAAAAAAAAGGAAATAAAAATGTCAGTACTGAAGGTTGCGGCAATGATTTGGAAAATTTAAATAAAATGAAATCTTAAAGCCCCACTGCACTACTTATAGCTCCTTGGCCCCCCTATATAGCAGTCAATGCCTAAGCGGTGACCGTTGGTCCCTCATGGTCCCCTTTTTCTTATGTTAATTGAGAGCTGATTAGATGAGATAACACCTGTCACTGACCATGCAGGGAGGTCTAATTCCTCCTAGCCAAACTAGTACAGATATGCTTTAAGATTGCATGTCTCCTTGGTTCCAGAACATTGGATAAATAATGATTCTTGAATTGAGATCTGAATATTGTACTCTGTGGGGTTGAATTTGATCAGAACTGCCCTCAATTCTGTCTCAATCAAAATATTGCAGATGTCACTATGGAAACTACATGATTCCTTCATGATTTGAATGTCATGAAATTAGCTACAGTCACACATGTCTATAGCGACTGCCAAAGGGAAACACAAAATGTGGTCTTTGTAGGCAGATGGTCACTAAAGCAGGTTTGACTGTACTACAGAAGCTTATCTTTCAAGATTTAGTATTCTAAAATGTTCTTTTCATACAAAATATGAATCTTCCTAACCAATACTACTGAAACGTAAGGGGGTTATCTTCTTTGGGGTAGAAAGGTTGGGGCAATAATAAGGGGAGAACAATTGCGTGGGGTTTTAGCGATAGAGCAAGTGGGTGGGGCTTTGATGAGAGAAGAATGGAGATTGCGTTAGCGAGGGTATTACTGATACCAACATACTTAGTAAGAGGAGAGCTCATATGTAAGGGGGTTATCTTCCTTGGGATACGGAAGGTTGGGGTGATAGATAATAAGAGGAGAACGATTAGGAGGGGTTATATTGAGAGAACTATCGATGTTACCTTGCCGAGGGGGTTTCCGATACCAGCACATTCCAAGTATGATGAAAGCTCATACATAAGAGGGTTATCTTCCTTGGGGTAGGGAAGGTTGGGGTCCTGGTAGTGAGCTTCTACATCTGCCATCAGACTCCTAGAAAAGATAAATAGAAAAGAAAAAAGAAAAGAAAAAAAAGAAAATAAACAACAATAGTCTTATGTCCACTTATTTTGTGGTGATTGTCTTATGGTATCTGGTTCTTTCTGCTATTACTAACACTAGTAAATGGTCAGAACAAGATTTTTCAATTTTGTTTGAAATACATTGACAAACGACTTGTGTCGCATTGGGAAAATTGCATGGAATGATTGTAATCACATGTGATAGGTTTGAAAAGTTAATGGTAGACTGAATTTAGTGCAATAAATAAGATAGGTCAAGACAATTCTGGATTTTAAAAATTGCTATAAATAAGAGAGTAAACTTGAGAATTATGTTTCGGTGATCCAGCTCTACTCAAGTTTCAGCAACATTCACTCTGGGCTATAGTGTGACAGTCTAGACGAAGAAGAGGTTATAAATTACATGAAATTAAGTGAGTGGATTCATAGTTGGTTTAATAATAGTAATAGGTCCGTTTTTATAGCGCAGCTAATAAACGAATATACTCTATTGTGCTTAATACAAAGTACGGTATCATACTATTTCCCCCAGCTGTAGCTGAGTCGCCATGATCAGGCTTAAGGGTAAAGGGTAGGAAAAGAGTTGGGTACACAAATGAAGTAAGGGTTTCATTGAGCGTAGGAGATTAACCACAAAGTAGTTGTTGCCAAACCATATGTCATACAAAAATCAAGAGAAACCGGACCTAAGACTTCTGCATGCTCAGGTTATCACCACATCCTAATCCAATTCATGCTGACTTTCAAACCACAACACACCAAGACAGAAAGTCCCATAACCAACTGAAACTTGTGGCCTAAACAAAAATATGAAAGCATTAGCTTCAAGAAATGTGGTAAGATTCTTTAAGTGTGTGTGTGTGTGGGGGGGGGGGGGGGGGGATAGTCAAAATATGCAAAGTGCCCTAGCAATTTATAAGCATTAGGTGATTTTTTTTAAGGGGGCAGGGGTGCTTAAGCCTCAGGAAAGCCCTATATATGACAGACCCACCAGTTTCTGGGTGGGGGGGGGGGGGGGGGGGGGGGGGGGGGGGGGGTAATTGACCAAAGACGTCAAATACACCACCAACTCAAAAATTGTTGTTTTAACCCTATTTAGCCCAGGGGGGTGCTTCTAAAGCCCCCCCCCCCTCGACATTTTTCGTGATAATTTTATAACGCAAGAAAATCTTGCACTGAAATTTTGTGACTTTTTTCTTTCGAGTCTTGCGCATCTTTTGAAAGAAATTTTTCAAAAATCGGACCTACCATTACAAAGTCACGTGTCCTTTTGTCTTTGCATGTCAGCCTGAAAATCGCTCATTTTTGTGATTTGTATACAAAACATATGGAAATCTCATTTTTCAAATAAAGAGATAAAGCATTGGTTATTTGGTCTTGTTTATAGTTTAGGTGTTTATTTTTGGGGTCAAAATAGTTGAATTATAGTTGGCAATGAGATAAAACAACAAAAACAATAAAATACATAAGTTAAAAAACAAAGAAATACATAAGAATTATCAAAACAATAGATAACATAAGGAATAACCCTGGTTTTTCAATTTTTTGTGTGTTATTATTACAAATGGTCTAACAAATATATGTAGTGAAAAAGAATGCTTAAATATGAATAATGTCTGATTTATGGGCAAAAATGTGAATGTAATGACCTAATTTGCATAAATTACCATAAATATGCAAATAAGTGAATTTTTCAAAAAATTGAAATTACCATAGTATTCTATACACTTCACTTGACATGTATGCAAATTTTTGTGGCGATCGGGCTCTTCACGGCCGAGATCATAGGGGGGGGGGGGGGGCCTTAGAAGGCCCCCCCCCCCCCCCCCCCCCCCCCCCCCCCCCCCCCCCCCCGAGCTATGCAGTTTCAAAATAGCCCGGGCTAAATAGGGTTAAGTTTTTATCATGTTCTATAAAAAAATGAAAGATAATTGTAAAATACTGGGGAGCAAAATCTGAATGCAGGAGGATAAAATTAATTAAAAGAAAATAAGCCTAGCTAGTAAGACACAGAGACATGAAACAGATAGTTAGGCAAATACAGTACAGGGACAAACACATCAGTCTAAACACACACAAAAAGAAAAAGAAAGATTGCTTGATTCTTACTTGTTCATTGTCTCCAAGGCACTCGCTAGAAACTTGGAATCAAACTTGCATGAGAAGTTGAGTTCATTGGCTATCTGCCTCCTTAGTAACTGCATCTGACCAACCTACAAACAAAAGCAATTGAAACATATAATCACATTACCAACTATTGTTCTGAAAGTGTCACAGTTGCACATTAAAAAAAAACATAATATTTTGTAGTACAGGGCCTGTATTAAATTTGATACTTAGAATAAGTATCAAATTTATTAAGTATATTGCTAAGCTAAGAACTTTAGTTATCTCGTATTCAGATCACATTTTAGACAACATTCGTAAGACAAAATCTAAGTAAAATATTTACCGATACGCATTGTGACATCACACGGTCCATCAAAAGTAACGCACCATTAATGCGTTGCAATAAATGCGCGCTTATATAATTGTGCGCAGATTATGATACTGCGTTAGAAAACCATATGGCTGTCAATCAAGGACTCCAGATAATTGGCTTAATTCTGGTAGGGAGCTGTCTTAAATTTAGGGTAAAATACTTAGCCAAAAGTTTGAACTGAATACCAAAATTGGCAAACTTTTATCTAAGCCGAAGACTAAGTAAAATACTCATATTTCAAATTTAAGTATGGAATTGAATACGGGCCCAGTACTCTAAATGTAAGCATGACATTCAAATCTCTTAACAAAGCGCATGCATGTTGTCTGGATGTCACAGATGTACATTCAAACAAACACAAACTAATAATCTTGTAGCATACGGTACTCTATATGAGAATGAATTTCTCTTGTCTAATAAAGAACGTTATGTGCTAATGTGACAGCTACATTTCTAAACAAGACTTATGTTTTGTTGTTGAATACCCTGTACATGCATGATTATTTGCTCTTCATTAATGAAGTACATGATGTCATTGACACACATTAAACAAACATAAGTCAAATCGTTCTAGCATCATGTACATGAGAATAAGTTGCCCTTGTTCCAAGGGGCAAATATCTTTGCATAAATGTGGCAGTTTCACATTTGAACAAACATAAACTGATATTTTTGGATAAAGAGACGTAACAAGGAAAATGACATCTACATGTACAATATTTATTATTTGTTCACTTTTCTCAACTCTTGGTAACGTTAGGGACAGGAAATGACCAAATACCTTGGACTTTCCCTCATTCAAACAGTGAACCCTTTACAGAAAGACTTTATAGATTGAGAAATCAATTGTGAAAATCAGCAGATATTGCTTCACAAATTGATTTATTTGTTTCCTCTTAGGAACTATAGACGGTATTATTGGAATTAAGAGGAAGTTGTTAATATATTTCGAGACGATCAAATCTAGAAGTCATTCACTCATCAAAACCGAAAGTTAACAAATTACAATAGAATACGTATATTTAGAGGTTGAAAATGATTTTAATTGGTAACATTCATAAAAAATTAACTGGAATTGAGAGCAACTGTTAATAGATTTGGAGACAATCCAATGCAGAAGTCATTCGCTCATCAAAACCGAAAGTAAACAAATTACAATAGAATACTTGTAATTAAGGGTTGAGAATGATTTTAATTGGTACCATTCATTCAGAAAAAAAGGTGAAATTACCAAGTGTCTATGATGATTGTGAAACAACATCTCTATTGCGTAAGCACATTGCACAATTACCATTGTTAAAAAGCCCTCTCTGCATCAAAACCACTATTTCCTTTACAAAAAAATAGCTTGGTCATTGATTTCTATTAATAATCATATAGAATAACAGAAAAGTAAGATTTAAATTTCACTGACCTTCAAGACAACATTGATGAATGGTACCCACATCTTAGCAGCTTTGGTCATGTAGTGTGAGTACAGTTTGGAGGGGTTAGCTGCAAAGAGATGGGGTAAGAATGCCGTTATGAACTGAATGAAACATAAACATATGACTTTAAAAGTGCATTGCCTTGCATTATTAGCACTCAGCAGGTCAAATAAACTACTGTTTAATCAGTGATTTACTATTCATAGTTCAACTGTTAAGAAAGAATTTGAAATGAGACAAGATTTGTTTCCTCCTTACTCCTTCCTCCTCCCCCTCCGCCTTCCACTCCCCCTCATTCATTAATATGCATTTTATTGCATCTTAATTTTGTACACACCAGAGATACCCATATGAGCAGATTAGCCATGTTGTGAGTGTGTGTCCAGTGCACAAAGGTTAGTCAGTGTGATATTGATGGGCACTGACTAACCTTCGTGTACTGGAAATTTAGTCAGTGACCATCAATATCGCACTGACTATTAAACCTGAGTCAGGGCATTATTTGTTTTATAAGACGGGTCAGAAATACATTCTTACAATATAGTCTAGATCTAGAGTATAGATAGATAGATAGTAGATCTAGATCTAAGTTAGATCTAACTAGATCTAGGCCTAGAATATTCTAAAGTAAGATTTCAAGAAAAGATTTATGCACAAATTAAATTTGGCTGAATTTTGCGAAAGCGATATCAGTAGATATCGAGCATTGGTTATCAATTTTTGATGGGAGATGTTTTGCACGGTGGGAAAAATAAATGCCAATTGACCAGATTCGTAAACCTATCTTATGATACCCTATTAAAGCCATGAGTTATCACTTATTGATGGGAAAAGTTTTGCATGGCAGGTGTGGTAGGAAAACAAATGTGTTCATGGTTTTTTTCAAAACCTTATTCTTATCTTCAATATCACCAGCATGATGGCAATGATAATGGTCATGCATCAGGCTCATCATTATCATAATCACCATTGTACCTCCACTAATCACCACCAACATCATCATCATTTTCATCATTATCTTTGGCGCCATCAATCATCACCTCAATAATCATCATCTTCATTATCATCACCACCATCCCCACTATCATTCCCATCTAGTTCTACTACTTACTAATGATGCCCTTGACCGGATTGAGAGACTTCATCAGACCTCCAAACATCTCCAGCCAGGCCTTGTCCCTTAGGACGCCCTTTTCGATGATGGTCAAGAAGTTCTGGAGCTCTCTGACCATCATGAAGCACAGCAGACGGTCAAGACCGGTCAGTCCATAGGTACCGATACTTTGCTGCAACAAGAAAAAAGAAAGTGAAATGAAATTGGACGTTGTTTATTGATTTATAAATCAAGACCCTGTATTATTAATATGAAGTGATTTGTAAGGCCAAAAATGCAACCATATCTCCTTCAAAGCCCCACTGCACTATTTATAGCTACTTGCGCCCTCTTTATAGCAAACAATGCCTAATCGGTGCCCGTTGATCCCCCATGATGCCCTTTTTCTTATGTTAATCGAGAGCTGATTTGATGAGATAACCACCTGTCAGTGACCTTGCAGGGAGGTCTAATCCCCCTGGCCAAACTAGAGCAGACGAGCATTAATAAAGGACTGTATCTCATGTAATTTTTGCATACAAATAAAAGGAAGATCAACATTTTTCGTAACATTGATTGGAACCTTTCTGCTACTGTACAGACTTCAAGGCTCCATTGCATAAAGAACAAAATGTGATGCAGTGTAGATGCAGATGCCCACAAAATGGAGAAAATCTGAGATTCTTTCAATCTAACCCTAACCCTAAACCTTACATAAAATTCAATCATAATCCTGACCCTCTTCCTACATGTAAATCCTCTAATTACTGTATAAAGTCCATTAAAAATGTTGTCGAAGCTATGTGTTGCACCATAGCTCCTGAAGCACCGAGCGTGTTGGATATAGGCACTATCACTAGGGTTTTTAAAAAGGGGGCAAAGGCTTCAACTGACAGATTTCCATCTATGGAATGAAGGCAGCCTGCACATATTATGTCATTATTTGTGTCAATTTCAGATTTTTATTCCCCTGTTCTTCCCAAAATAAGTCTTCTAGGTTTCTGGGTGATATCCTCCACCCTGGAAGAACAAACCAGGGCCCCGTTGCACAAAACATCCCATTGATGGTAACTTTGCCATCAATGGCAACTACCATGGAAACCTTAAATTTGATTGGCCGTTGAGCCCTGTTACCATGGTAGCTACCATCGATGGCAAAGTTACCATCAATGGTAAGTTTTATGTAACAGGGTCCAGGGCTCTACACAATGTTGTTTCCTTGCTGATCACGGTAAGCTCAGATATTTTGCCTCTCATGAGGCCAAGGTCTGGATACACCACTGAGCACTATGCAAGAAGACAGTATCAACACTCTATACAGTTCCACAACTGGATTGGATAGAGCTGATTGGTAGACTCACCTGTAGTTTGGAGAAGACCTTCATGTCCAGGACCTCTGCTCTTGTCTTCAGGTCATACCATGTCTTCATGGCATCTATGTAGGTGGTGGTCCTGGGCAAAAAGGAAAAGAGTTGATCATTATTAAAAGCCCCACTGCACTACTTATAGCTACTACTTGCGCCCTCTATATAGCGGACAGTGCCTAATCAGTGACCATTGAACCCCCATGGTCCCCTTTTTTGTATGTTAATTGAGAGCTGATTGAGTGACCTTGCAGGGAGGTCTGATCTCTCCGGGCTAAAGGAGTGCAGACAGGCTTTAAAGCCAAACACAAAGAGGACTTAATGTTTAAAAGAATCAGTTTTCTCTCATTAAACAGATATCTGTCTTCAAGTCACACCATGCCTTCATAGCTTTCTCACCCCTCCAATTAAGGGTCGACAGGGGTCAAATTTGCAGCAGTTACAGTGATGACGTAACATGTGGACCCGATCGGCTCCCCTACATAGCTGAGACGATGAGCTGTGCTTAATCAATGCAAAGTCAAAGCCAAAAAGCTGAGCTTTTTAATAGGCTCCTCACATTTCACCCTGTATAACCTTCTATTCAATACAATTAATTTCGACATCTTTTCAAAGAACTGATTATATAATGCGACACTTTTAGTATATTTCATATTATGTTCTAATTTTGTCAATTATGTGAATTCTTTTTTGTGAAATGTGAAACAAAATAAACTTGAAACTTGAACTTAAATATGCATAGTCTACATAAGATGATGTCATGAAGTCGATAGCTAGTTTAGGTTAATTAGTTAGGTCGACAACTTCCTATTTTCAAGCTTTAGATTTCAACTTTTCAGAGAGCTGTCACTTCTACGACAGACACTAAAATGGCATTTAATTGATATTATTGTAATTTGTGGCTTATAAGCTTTTCTTTCATTAATAATTCATCTATTTCATTTTCACTTCCGACAGTGTCTTTAACATTGTTTCACTCACATAAAAGATAACATAGTTTTCAGACTACCACCCTTTTTTGCATACAGGTGGTGACTGAAGGTTTGACTTACTTTGGATCAGTGATGCGAAGGATCTCCCTCACTAGCCGTCCCATGAAGTTGATGGAGTTATCTACCGGGGGGAACTTTGGGATGGGGATGGTGGTGGACTGGTATACACTCTGCCAATCATGCACCTGCCAAGCCAAGTCAATGAAGGATTAACATATGTGATATAGCTTTATAATAATAATAGTAATAACTCTGCCAACATATAGGCACCCTTGGCGCACAGATCTACAAATCATACACATTACAAAATACATGTATGGTTATTAATCAAATTTCAACAGAACTAAGATATTACAAAATGAAAAGGCGACCAATGGTCAACATAAACTACAGATATATTACTAATAACCAAAAGTAATACAAACTATTCTTACTCAAATAATAATCTTAACATTAACAGGTGTGGTAAGAATGAAATTGAATTTTGAGTTCTGGCAACAATCAAAAATAAGTTTTTACCAGAATTCAACAAAATAACCTGATTGATTGAACAACTGGCTAGTGGATGATTCACTGAATAAGTAGCCGATTGATTAATTGATTTGACTGATATGCAATGAAATAAAAAATAAATTGCCCTGTCAGAAGATGAATCACTTATTTGTTGCTTGATTAATCATAATAAACTCAAATCATATAATATCAAATCAAATTAATCAATTGACTGGGTGTTAAATCGATCGGATGATTAATTAATTCAACTGGTCGATGAACTATTTTATTATATAATTAGCTAGTTGCTTCAAATTATTAATTGATCACTTGATAGATTGATCATCAGTTGATTAAATCATTAGAATAAATGATTGACTAGTTGCTTGCCGATTGATTAATCAGATTATTGGTTGCTTGATTAATTGATGAGGAGGCGCGATAGCTCAGGCGATAGAGCAGTGGTCTCGTAATCCGGTGACCAGGGTTCGAAACCAAGGCGATGCGCTAGTGCCCTTTGATAAGGCATTAATCCTCTTTACCAGGTCTCTCGGCGAGGACCTAAAGCCGTTGGCCGTCTGGTTGCTTACTAACAAGCATTTATGCCTACTTAGCAGTCAGGTGAAATAACCACTACCACAACCACCACCACATTAATGAGATTAGCTGAAGATGGTCCTACCTTGGTCCTGAGGAAGCTGTTGCATTCTTGCTCCATGTTGTAATTGATGATCCTTGAGACCTCCTCCTGCCAGATCTTAAGACCATGGATATCTACATAGTCCTGGATGTACTCGAACGACCTGATGAATCCGTCCATCCTAGCTCCAAGTGCTTCAAGCTTCGGCATCAATTCACAGACCTAATATGGAGGAGCAATTCACATTGAATTACCATTAACAACAATAATAATAAAAACTATTTTTATGTATCATCTTTCCAGTCACTGCAAGATCTTGAGACCATGAAAATGTACATAGTTTTTTTTTCTTTCTTGAGGAATAGTTATATATTTTAATCAATGTGTAATGCAACCGAGGTGAAGTTTAAAAATGTATACCGGTACTGTTTAATTGTTCTATCATATTTGCATAGTCACATGGATGATAACACACTGGTCACTGATCCATAATGTACCCAAACCAAGAAAAAAGTAATAATAATAATAATAAATTTATATAGCGCAGCTTTTATACAAAATATATTCAGCTGCGCTGGTTAAGAGCTCCTTTTCACATGAAAAAAGAAATAAAACAAAAACAAGAAAGACAGAGAAAGGGAGAAAGAGGGATGACAAAAACAAAACTAAACAGAAGATTGAGACAAAAATAGGAAAAGAGAATGACAGACAGCGCAAGAAAAAAGAGAGATATATACACAAACACACATATAGAAAGACGTGGAGGGAAAGAGAGATAGAGAGACAGATACAGAGAAGCAAAGAAGAAGACAAACCTTGGCCTTGGGATTGAAGATGAGAGAGCTATGAAGAGCGCTGGCTACCTGGGCGACCAATTCTTTCCTGATGCCATCCTCAAGAAGCTGCTTGGGATCAATCTATAAAATGGAAATAAAGTGCATAAACATTTGAACAAAAACATTCAATATCTAGGCTACAATGCAAACTGGCTGGTAAACTTCAAGTTCTTAATATTCAACTCACTTCTACATATTATTGGCTGAATGCAGTCATGTGTGATTCATTTATTGAGACAATAACATATGTTTATCATCATCATCTCCATGTCTAATATCATTATCATTACCCTCTTGTATAACTCTTATCACCATCTCTACCGCCATTTCTATCCCCTTCACAGCTATTATGATTTCATCCACCTCCTCATCATCATTTACCTAATTATTATCTTTACCATCAATATTATCACAATCAAGGTTATCACAATCATTATAATCACTATCACTACCACCACTGCCGCTACCATCATCATCATCATATTTATCATCATAATCACCACCATTATCACCATCATCACCACCATTATCATCATCAACCTCATCATCATCTGATCACATACCTTGATGATTCCTACAAGAGTTGTCTTCATCATGAGGATGCCTTCTGTAAAGACTGAGATGGACATCATCATTATCATCATCATCACCACCACCACCACCCTCATTATCATCATCATCACCACCACCACCCTCATTATCATCATCATTACCATCAACACCATCATCATCCTTATTATCATTGTCACTACCACTACAATTACCATCACCATCATCATCATCATCATCATCATCATCATCATCATCATCATCATCATCATCATCATCATCATCATCATCATCTAATTACACACCTTGATGATTCCTACAAGAGTTGTTTTCATCATGAGGATGCCTTCTGTAAACACCGAGATGGAATGGGTTAACCTTGCAACCTTGGTAGAGATAAAAAACAGAAAGCAAAGTAGATTTCTCACAAGATCTACCCAAATATAGTATACTGTGCTCTTAGCTAAAAGGTTGAATCACCATCACTGCAAATTCAGTTGCAGCGAACAAGCAGAAGCGATGGTTTTGGAGAGGAGCCAAGCATTTTAGCAGGTTAACAATATGCATTGATATATATCCATCACCAAATTAAGTACCGGTCCAGTAAACTCACTTCACAAAAATGCTTTGGGAGGACAAGAGCATTTTTGCAGGTACAAAGTATGTATTGACATGTCTATTACTGTTGATGGTAACCTGTTGGGAAGATTTTACCCTTGGGTTCTCTCAATGCTGAGTAAACTGCAATGACTTCCACATCTTACCAGGTACCCATTTAACACCTGGGTAGAGAGTGCAGAAAAATGTAAATTAATGTCTTGCCTAAGGACATTAGTGCCGTGGCAGGATTTGAACTCTAAACCATGTGATCCACAGTTGTGTGATGTAACCACTAGACCACGACACCTCTGTTACTGTGAAATGATTACATGGTACTTTTAATATGGTCAAATTGTTGCAATATTGCAGATATCTACCTCGTATCGCTGGTCTAGCTGAGCATAGTCTTTGAGCTTATCCTTTTCTAGTCGTGTTGGGACCTCTTTGATGTGATGCGTCTGAAGCTGGATGATTTGAGAGAGGAGAGCAAACATGGTCTGGGGGATGATCTGAAGAACCTGCAATCGAAAGGGAAAATAAAAATACGGTATTACATTTAAGGCGCACCTGTGTATATGGCGCACCCCTATTTTGAAGACAAGAACAACAACAACAACAGCAACAAAAAAAAGAAAGAAAAAAAGATTACTTTCAAACCAAGATGACAGAAAAATTTGAGTGTTGTTCTAGTTTCCGAGTGGTGAGTCAACACACCGATTACTGACATGGGAGACATTGCCAGGCATAGCGCCATAAATCGAAACTAAAAAAAAAAAAAAAAATTGTACATGTGTATAAGATGCACCACCAACTTTCAATTTTTTTCGGCGGCAAAAAAGTGCACCTCATACACAGAGATTTACGGTTAGTTGTCTTTGAATTTTGGAAATGACAGAAAATAACTTCAAAGAATCAAACCAAGCCTATACCAACATTTCATAACTAAAATAAGGTGGCTCCCAAACATTTAAGTTGAAAAGTGAATGAATACTGAACAAAAAGATATGTAAAAAAGAGCTAGTCATCTCAACAATGTGTCAAACAACATAACATGGTTTGAGTGAATGATACTTCCAGAAAGATTTTGTTATATTGTTTACATTTTGCTGATCCAAACTGCCAACCTAATGCATGATAAACAACACCAAACAATCAGTCACTTTTTCACAAAATGAACATCCATCAAAATTCAAGAATTAATTCAGTTGTAACTTATGAGGGAAAAAGAATAAATTGAACAATTCAACCATAGTTGTATTTTCTACAAATCAAGAGTGTCAGCTTACCTTACGAACATAGGCTACCAACTCATTGGAGTAATACTGCGATACGCTGACCAGATCAGGGCTATTCGCTTGGTTGATCCGGATCAGTGGCAAATCAAGAGCTGAGGCAAGCTAGATTAAATATAAGAGGTCATAATTACAATTTCATTAAAATCATGAAAACTCTAAAATGATTATATAACACATGCTCAAGCTACAATTGCCATATGATTAATTTATTAACTTCAACCCTTGACTAAACACTATATAATCCTAAACTTATATATTCCAATGTAATTTCAACAAGGAAAATAGAAAGAATGAGAGAGTTTGGATGAATGTCATAGTGCCAAGTACAGGTATTGTTAAAAAAGATAAGATTTCAGCTTGGATTTAAAGGTCTCTAAGGAAGTTATGATTATCAAATTAAATGGTAAATTATTCCAAAGAGAAGGTGCTGCAGCTGAAAAGGCCCTTTCACCACAGGCTACCAATGTCTTGGGGATCTTAACAAGATGCTGGTGATTTTAGACTACGAGCTGGTGTATAAAGACATAAAATAACACAAATTACACAAAATTTACACCTTTTCCAACAATCTGAAACCCCTTATCTTACTGACAACTGGATTATTATTTCATTCTAACAGGGACCAATTCTAATAGGGACCAACTTTTTTTAATTGACTACAGGAGTCAATATAAAAGAATTCCTTGAATGAATTACCTTGAGGAATGTAGCTCTGAGTTTGATGACCAATGCTGGATAGTTCTTGATCCCCTGCTGCATGAAAGGTGTGTAACTAAAGGGCGAACAGAAACAGGTTGACAAGAAACAGCATATAAAGGTTCATAAGGTTCATCCTATTCATAAGGTCCATGATTTATACAATTTATGTTTAAAATGTTCATAAGGTTAACAATGTTCTTAATATACTTAATATACTTTATGTATACTTCATGAATTTCATGAAGGTCCGTGATGTTCAATTAGTTTCATAAGATTTACAATGTTCAAAAGGTCCATGATCATGATGTTCAATTAGGTTCATAAGATTTACAATGTTCAAAAGGTCCATGATGTTCAATTAGGTTCATAAGATTTACAATATTTAAAAGGTCCATGATGTTCAATTAGGTTCATAAGATTTACAATGTTTAAAAGGTCCATGATGTTCAATTAGGTTCATAAGATTTACAATGTTCAAATGGTCCATGATGTTCAATTAGGTTCATAAGATTCACAAGATTACTACATGTAGATGGATGCACAAGGTTCTACATTTTAATGAACTCTGAGCAAATATAGCTGGAACAAATTTTACATTACCAGGACTAAAGGGACTTACTTATCAATGATCTCCCAGGCGTATGACACATCAGCAACGATCTGCATGGTGATGAGAACCTCCTCCTTGATGTTAATTGTCCGGATCATCTGGTGGAGGAACTTCCGGGTCTCCGCAAGGAACTGACGCACCTGCAGGTTTGCTTCCAGCTGGTGGAACTCTTGCACCTGTTGATGTTACCATGGAAAAGAAGAATTTGTAATGAATGACCATAAATTTGGTAGATGTCCAAAGGTGTTGTTGTCCAGTTAGAGAACAAATTCAAGAGATTTCATTCCAATATCGTTTTTCCTTCCAGAACTGTAAGGAAATGTTATATTATAAATGGTTCATTCATTTGACCTTCCATCCAAGGATTGAGGGTTTGATTCCCAGTCCATCAAAAAAATTTACCTTTCACCCAGGTGTAAATGGGTCAGCACTCAAAATACACGGGGGCGATTCGCACCCGTGAGCTACATAATCGCCCCGTCAGGTTGCTCACGGGGGTGATTGCAAAATTAAAAATCGCCCCTGTGGAATTATAAAATAAAGATTATCTTTTCTGTTATAACTTTAACACAATATTGAGTTTCCATTTTCAAACCTTAAACCAATGAAATGGAACTTAAATTAGCGTGCAAGATTTCTTGTTTTATGAGTAGGCCTATTATTACCAATTCAGCTCGCAGTGCAGTGCAGCCGTTAGCAGTGGTTATAGGCATACTGCGCCGTTAGTAACGATATGTGTGCATGCTGCCACGCCATCTCTGCTGGAGCTGGAGGCGATCGCGCAAGGGCAGAAACATGGTCATGGAGAAGTTTTTCGTTGTGAAAGCGTTAACCCGCTGAAATCTGGTGATTTCAAATGACCAGCAAATAATGAACCTCGACCAGTAAATCAATATTAGGGACTTTTAGATTTGCACAAGAACGTGGACTTTAACGTGTGACCTCCTTTTAAGGCAGTGCCAGTGCTTAAAAGGACGTCACATGTGACTGCCAGTGCCTTAAAAGGACATAACACGTCCACGCAAATCTAAAAGTCCCTATTGAGAAGAAGAGGAAGACCAAGATGTCATGGAATGATATGGTAACATGGCCAGATCTACAGGGGGGGGGGGTTAGGGGGTTTATCCCCCTCCTCCCCATTCTGATAATCAACATTTGTTCTGGTATCATATGTATATACGCATAATACAACTGATCTTTATGATTTCTTAACGTGACATAGCTTCTTCTCCCCCTGCAAACAAAAAAGAAAACAAGGTTATTTAATAAAAGGATCATGCGACAAATAATCATTGTGATTCAAATTGATGCAAGGATTTTTTTTGAATAAGCAATGCTTTTCACCAGAATCTTCTTTGTAAAAACAACTTTTACAACTCTCAGCCATGCAAATCTGCCACTGTGTTGTAAGATCACTTTCAGATTAGGAGAAGTGTATTCTTTAATGAGTATTTTACATTGAATGGAACGTCTCAACTCAGTAAGCATGGCTGAGATTTGTAAAAGTTGTTTTTACAAAAAAGATTTGGGTGAATAGCAGTGCTTATCAATTTGAATCACAATCATTATTTGTCGCTTAATCCCTTTTAATGACCTTGTTTTCTTTCTCGTTTGCAAGGGAAGAAGAAGATATGTCACGTTAAAGACATCATAAAGATCAGTGTTGTATGCGTATATATTATATACACAGGCCAGTAACAGCTATGTACATGTAGCTTGTAAATTTGTAAGAGGGAAAATGCTGATTGAAATGATAATGATGAAATAGCAAATAATTGATGAGTATCATAGGTACCAATTCAATGGATATTTGTATAAAAAAGAGCCCCCGTCAGTACTTAAAGAGCCCCCGTGAGAAGGCTCACAGTGGCTTTTTTTTGGGGGGGAAGAGCCCCCGTGGACAAAAAAATAATTTGAGCCCTGAAATGGGTAATTGAATTGCTAGAGACCCACATAGTTGGCTGCTTGGCTGTAGCTGGGGTAATAACATTGGAGCAATAGGAGCGTCATGCCCTGACAGACATGTGCACTTTACAAGAAACATCCATTTTAATTTTGATTAACTAAAATTTATCTTTAAGTGGACATTACCTCTTCCAAAGCCTTAATAAGTTGTACATGTATGATCTTTTGTTCCGCTGCTGTAGAGTCATCATAAGGCAGGGATGAGATCTAAAACATATGTTGACATATGATCAATATCTGGGGATTCTAGGATAACTAGCCCTAGACTACAGACAACTACCACCTCAGATAAGTATGCCCTGGAAAGCTATGCCAGTATTATGAAGTCATGACATGGAGGTCATCATTCCGCAATCAAACTGGATAATTACCTCTTCCAAAGCCTGAATGAGTTGAATGATCTTCCTTCCGGCTGCTGTAGAGTCATCGTAAGCGAGGGATGAGATCTGCTTCGACATGTCACCAAACCAAGCCTGCAGATTCTCTGAACATATTCAAAAATGAAAAGAACATATAATATTTGATAACCAATCTGTGTAAAGATTCCCCTTTGTCAAGCATTGTTGCATCACTTTTTGATAAAAAATGTTATGAATTATACAAAATACATTAGGGGAAGAGTTGAATTTAAAAAAATGACACACAAATTAAAGCACTTTAATGAAAAACATGAATTCAACAGCATTAAATTGGCAACACATAGTGGGTTGTGATTTGCTTCCTACTGTTCAACGACAAAAGGCAATTTTTGTTGTCTTATCTAAACCTTATTCACACAGATTCAAATAAATAAATCTTGTTCAAGAATAGTACTACTGAACCAATTGCTGGACCAAGAATTACTCACTACATTTCTCCCCTCTGAAACAGTTAAGAGTGCATGGAGCCTCACAGGTAAGTTTGTTCCCATGTAAAAATACAGGTAAATCATGAAACAAGGCATTTTCAGTCATAATGTAACACATGTTCATTAATTTTATGACAATTGTTGAAAACCTTAATGGTATAGAAGGGTAAACATATCCTGTTCCTATGTCAGGCCACATTTTCAGTTTCTCACCGTTTTTAACGACTCTTGTGAGCGGCTTGGTTCCAGAGAAGACCTCTGAGAGCTCGGCCATCCTCTCAACGCCTTCTGTCTTGTAGGTGTCCCATTTATCATGCTTCTCAACCAACATCTTCCTGAACATCTACATAGATAACACACAATGATAATCATTCATTCATGCAGGAATAACAACAATAATAATTATAACAACAACAATAATAACAACGATAATAATATTAATACTTGAACAACAATAATATTGATTATTATTATTAGAAGAAGAATAAAGGAGGAGGAGGAGGAAAAGGAGGAGGAGGAGATTTAAGAAGGAGAAGAAGAAGAAGAAGAAGATGAAGAAGGAGAAGAAGATGAAGAAGAAGAAAAATAGGAAGAAGAATTATTTTATTTTCTTCATCATTATACATCATGAACTTAATAAAAAAAAGTTAATAGTTTTATTTGTATTGCTCACATATCTACCCCAAGTGATGTCAAAGCACCTATATTGTCTATAGCCAATCTGCCATAATGCACTGCCATGTTACCAAAGCATATAGCAGTAACCAATGTGTTTAGACCAAGATTGGCAAAGTTTTTCTTTCGAAAACAGAAGCGGGCATCTTGACTGTAAACATCATTCCCATGAAATAAGTTCTATGCCCAATGTTACAATGAAACAACACACCGCCAGTCAACATGCACCTGTTCCTTTAGAACAGTTGTACTACTGCTTTAACCCGTTGCCTACTGGGACCGGGTGGTTTATGTATTAAACCTATGGAGAATCAGAGAATTCAGTTGTCAAGGGGTTAGCTTACCTCTTTGAGTTTGAATTCTAGTTGAGCAGTGTTGAGTAGACACTCAAACATCTTCTGAGGACTGTACTTGCCCTCCTGTACAAGCTGCTCTCTTATCTGACGTACTTTCTTGTTATGGTCCCATGCTGTATGCATATCAAAGAAAAAGATGAAAAATCAATTTGTGATCAGAGTTCTATAGTATCATTCTACAGACACAAGTACTTTTACACTTCTACTGATCTTTAGTGTTTATTCACCTCCACAAGCTTGTGTAATGTTCACTTAAAATGACCCTTTTTTCAGTCTTAATTATCTTCTGGCACTTGTGTCTTTCTGTAAGAGGAAGAATGAGCTACCAGATTGTAAGGCTACATTAAATTATGATTGCTAAATTGTCTTGTTTCGCTTCTTTCAATAGTTATGTGCTTCTTGACAAATGTGGAATTTGAACCCGTACCTTGTGATCTACACTCTGGCGAGTAATCCACTAAACTACAATATGTACTTACGTCCTACTGCAGTATGCAGTATAAGCCATCTGATATAGTTCATTACCTATATAATAAAAGTACTGTCTCATCAGACTTCAATTGTAACTTATGTCCTGTTACCATGTGCAACCTTATTTCATCTTGTACTTACGTCCTTCTGCTGTGTGCAGCATGAGCCATCTAATGGTAACGTTGCATTCCCTGAGACAGTTCATGAGTTTGGGGATGTTGTCCAGGACATACTCCTCTGTCAGGTTTCCTTCAGTCAGGTAGTGCTTGGTCATCTGGATCAGCTGTTCTAGCCTCTTGTTGTGACGAATAGCCTGCAAGGAAGAAGAGGAGTTAAAGATAAACTTGAGTTCTGGTAAAAAAAGAAAATGAATTCTCACAGAATCTAACGAAACTTACACTGAATGTTCAAGATTACAAATAAATGTCATGTGCCAAACAATTTTGGAAGAAAATGTATACTGACTGAGTAATGAGCATAGAAAGATAAGGAAATCAGGGTAGTACTAGCCCCGACATCATGTGTGTTGTCCCATATACATCTATCTGTGTAAGTGATTGTTACTTTACCAAGACTCTGCCAAATTTATGATGATTTTGATGACTCTAGAACCTTGCATTACACACCATTACTTACATGCTATATGATCAACTTTTCTGATCCATTCCACATCTTTTCTTTCACAATTCATTACCAGTACTCAAGTTTATCTTTAAGTATTTCAATTTATCTCGTAACTATTTTCTCGGGCCGCACTTGAAGTATATCATGGATAGAAAGTTGTTATACCATGAAACCACAAACGTTTGCGAGCATGAAACTTTATTACATTGTTAGAGTGGTCATGACTTGCAAAACTTTCATGCCACAAATTAAGTCAGCAAACTCAAAATTTCATAAATTTGAGTAAAGTATCTCCATGAAAGTGACTGTTACTAACGGTTTGCAAAAGTCTCATGTCTCATCCCAATTTTAAAAATTCCTCATTTCTTTCATGTTCATCAAGATATTTAGGTATGTTTTTCTTTACAGTAAATTGCAATCAAAGTTTTAAAAAGTTTTAAATTGAATATTTCTCACCAGTTCTTGACATTGTTGAGGTCTTTGTGTTTTTAGTGCAGTTTTGGCTGCTTTATACAGCAAATAACTAAAATTTCAATTTCACTCCGATTTTAATTCCAATTTTAATTTCATTTCAACTTGGAAAATTTATCCCCAGACCTTTGACAATACTGAAGTCCAATGTGTTGTTGAGTGCTGTCTTTATAGCTTCTTCATATGGCAAATAAATTCAATTCAAAATTCTATTTTCAATTTCAATTCAAAATTGGAATATTTCTCACCAGTTCTTTGACATTGTTAAGGTCCAGTGTATTGTTGAGTGCTGTCTTGGCTGCCTTGTAAGGCTCCCATGCATCTGCTAGATTGACAACGATGCCCATGTATACAGTGATCACCTACAATGAAAATAATGAAAGTTTAACTTCACCTTCTGTGAAGGAATTATCCTCATGAAATGATTGTTATTAATACTGAAATATAAGTGCCAATATACTTGTGATACATTATAATCTTTACAACAATCACATTATTTTCTGTTAACCGTGAATAAATATGCAAATTTATCTGGAAATTTTAGATCTTTAAATAATTAATGAACATGTAAAAGTCTCATTTCGATTATTCGGAACAGGAACAGAGAGCAATATTTCTGCCCCAGAATGACAACTAAGTTGAAAACCCAGTCAGATGTTTAACCTGTCTTGACACATTTATAAAGAACAAGAAACACTTTTCTATAAAGATCATATTAAGATCATATTTTGTATGTCTCATCACCATTACCATCATCATCATCATAATTAATACTGCCAGTATTATTGTATAACCAACTGACCCAGTTATCGGGGAAGTGTTTATCAACAATCTCTCTCATCTTGGCCTGTTGTGAGTTGAGTGTATCGGGTGAGAAGAACATGATGACGTACAGCATGGCTGCCTGGGTGGACAGGGCTGTGCTACGATGCTCTGGCAAGGGGTACGCTGAGATCTGGAGGAATGCAAAGCACAAATAGTGTAAGGATTTGAATCTTTGCCTGGTATTCAAGCCCTTCTGGCTCTCTGCACACGGTACAATGCTTTGTCTGCTGTTTTCAAGATTTGTTTGCTTTACATGTATTTCATTGTGTCCATTGCTCTGCTCCATAGTACAATATTAATTTGATAAATCATTAAATCCTTAAATAGGGGTGCGTCTCATACACAGAGATTTACGATACTCTCTACTATAAAATTAATTAATCTCCTTTTTTGTATTTCCTATGTTTTATCCTACTCATCTTGTAATTTTGAGTATAAATCTTTTAATATGTGATTTCTTATTTTGCACTAGTGTAACACCTATGCAGAACTGAAACTGAAATCTTTGTGTGTGTATGTTTTGAATACAGTAAATTGTCTCAACCCTAGTGTTATCAGGTAGCTGACAAGATTTATTCCTTGAAATGCACTAGGCTTTGTGGGCCAAACGATAGAATTTTACCCATTTATGTTCTAGTACTTCTATTCTTCAACCTTTGACATATAATAGCTTTTATGAATTATTTAATGTCATGGATAGACAATGTGATTGATCCCTTTAAAACTTTTTCTGTGTCATATTGCTAAGATACTGAAGCATCCTATCAGTTTGATCACTCAATAACAAACAAATATTAAAAGAATAAATGGATTGCATACTTGGTTGTAGATGTCATCGGATCGCAACCTTCCCATCACCATAGCTATGAATGTTCTGCTGATAGGAATGCGTCTGCAATAAAAACAAAACAAGTGAATGAGTAAATTATATTGTGCATAACTTACTGGAAGTTAAAGTCCCTGGGATGACAGAGGATATACATGTACATGTATAATGATGTATGATTGTTATGTACAATTCAGCGCAATTAACACATTACAGCATTTTGTGAAGCCCACACCTGGACCAAATCTTATATCAAAGATAAAACAAACAGAATAAAAGATGAATGGCCAAAAAATAGGCTTGATGACCAAAATCAGCAGATGATGGAAATTCCCTCATAGGAAACCCCACCAGATTATCTTTGGTTATACATGTGCACAGAGAAACTTGTTTAAAGAACACCTGCTATAGAGACAACATGGTCATTGAAACCTGAATGAACCCTAAAGAGAGGCTCTTTGTAAGGTTAAAAGTCAAGGGGTGTGATTATCCCCTTCAAGATTTCAGCCGTGTAGTGACTGATCAGCGCAAACTTTAAAAACAAAAAGTTCATGAAACAACAAGATGAGACTTTCTTGCACTAAGAAGTAATCACACAAATTTCTAGGTAGTGATGCAATGTAATTTAGGATCAACGGAACCTGTATGTATAAAAGACTATGTGATTTTAAAGACTTCTGTTCTTGTTTTTCTAGAGCAGTTTTTTATTTAGAGGTTTTACTGTGCTTACTTGAAGTAGTCCTCTGGGTAGGTGGGGGATGTCTTAGCAATGGGGAAGGGGTGGTAGCAATGTAAATTAGGGTTAAAGGGACCTATAAATGAAGACTGTCCACTTTGCAGGCCTCTTTTACTTCTTTGTCTTGAGCAGTCTTTGACTCTACTTACTTGAAGTATTCCTCTGGGTAGTTTGGGGGTCTCTTAGCGGCGGGGGAGGGGTGGTAGCCAGTACTCCTCAGTAGCTTGCATACATCGTCCATGTTAGAATCTACTGATGCTCTGGATGCACTGTAATACATCACAAGAAATTCATACTTTAACAGGCATCAATCATTGATGTTACTATAGACGGGGGAGGGGTAGGGGGGGAGAGAGCGAGAGAGAGAGGGAGAGAGAGGGAGAGAGAGGGAGAGAGAGAGGGAGAGAGAGGGAGAGAGAGAGGGAGAGAGAGAGAGAGAAAGACAGAGAAAGGATGGAGAGAAATACAGAAAGGAAGACACAGAGAGACTTAAAATATATAGAGATAGATTAGGAGATAGAGAGAGGTAGAAAGAATAGTAGAGAAACAACGAAAACAATAACAGGATATCATGGAGTTGCCAATTTTTCATGTGATCTGCAAACTTTCAACAAAAAAATCACAACTACTCTATAATCACGTCTTTCTCACACTTTTACTTACATAGTTCTGTAATTTTTTATAGTTTACTTTACCTTACATCAACGTTTTATCATAGTGGATGTTTCCTTTACTGCCACACTTACTGGAATTTATGGTTCAATGTCAGACACTGTCACAATGTTTTTTTAAAACTTACCTATATCTGTGATAAGAGACAAGCATCCTCTCTCTGACCCTTCCTTCAATCCTCCCTCTCCCTCTCTCTCTCTCTCTCATGGTGCACCCGCAAGCCTACTGTATATCACAATGTTTTTCAAACTTACCTATATCTGTGATAAGAGACAAGCATCCTCTCTCTGACCCTTCCTTCAATCCTCCCTCTCTCTCTCTCTCTCATGGTGCACCCGCAAGCCTACTGTATATCACAATGTTTTTCAAACTTACCTATATCTGTGATAAGAGACAAGCATCCTCTCTCTGACCCTTCCTTCAATCCCCCTCTCTCTCTCTCTCTCTCTCATGGTGCACCCGCAAGCCTACTGTATATCACAATGTTTTTCAAACTTACCTATATCTGTGATAAGAGACAAGCATCCTCTCTCTAACCCTTCCTTCAATCCTCCCTCTCTCTCTCTCTCTCTCTCTCTCTCTCTCTCTCATGGTGCACCCGCAAGCCTACTGTATATCACAATGTTTTTCAAACTTACCTATATCTGTGATAAGAGACAAGCATCCTCTCTCTGACCCTTCCTTCAATCCTCCCTCTCTCTCTCTCTCTCATGGTGCACCCGCAAGCCTACTGTATATCACAATGTTTTTCAAACTTACCTATATCTGTGATAAGAGACAAGCATCCTCTCTCTGACCCTTCCTTCAATCCTCATATCAACGATCAACAGCATACAACCATACAGGTATAGAGCTTCACACTGCAAAGGAATACGAATTACAGAAATGGGTGAAATATTCATTGCTAAATGTGTAGTGACAATACTGAAGGCACACAGATACCTAACCCAGTGATGCTCAAGATGACAGCAAAGTAATCTTGATTTGATGCTTTGATAAAAAAGAGAGAAAAGATAGAGGAACCCCCCCAAAAAACAAACCAAAAAACAACAACAACAACAAACAAACAAACATACCTTATATGAAATAGTGAAAAAACAGTTTAAACAATATACTCTTTCTTGTTAATAATAATAATAATTATCCTTGCTTATATAGCGCCTAACACTTACTTTATCAGAAGTCTCTAAGCGCTCTACAATAATGCAGCATCATTACAGCAATGTAAATCAAAACGTGAAACAAAATATGACTCAAAGTTTACATTACCTCTGGGTAAAGTGAGCCAGCTATACTTTGCGATATATTCAATGAGGTTACCTAAATGAGCAAGAAATACATGTATATTGTTGCATCAGAAGAGTGGTATTAAAGTCTTACCATTAATTGTTTACCATCCTCATTGAGCAGTACAGTCTCTAGCGTTTGTTGAATGAAGACACCCTCATCAAGTTCTTCCAAAAATCTATTCACATAAATGACAAAAGGAGAGACAGACACATTAATATTTTTCATGTTCTCCTTAATATGTTAAAGAGAAAACCAAAAGTGTAATTTGGCCCTTGCAAGCTTTGTCACTGGATCAAATGGATATTATGTGCGAACCAGGGGCCAAGTTTCTTGAAACTGTCATATATCTAAATTTGGGGACATTCCATTGAAACATGTGTTAATTCTATATCACACGTTTCTATAGGATGTCTACGAACTTGATGTTTTAAGAAACTGGCCTTCAATAGGTAAGAGACCAACAGGGATTGGACAAACTGACAAGTGGACATACTGAAAAGTAAACAATGTGATGAAGACCTCAAAGAGGGTAGATGAATTGAGTTTAAACACAATGTAAGATGAGGAATTGGGTACCAGACCGATTGGCTTTGAATTAATTGGCAATTTACCATCTGCATAAGTATGTGGTTGATCAAGTTTGGAGTAATGGATAATTTTTCCAGATTGCAACTTCAATATTTTTTATAGAGACAGGCAGAAAAAGTTAGATGAACAAAATAACAAACAAAACAAAACAAAATGAAACAAAAAAAAAACATTTACAAAAATCAAAGATCAAGCCCTACACTGTACCTGTTTAGATCCATGACATATTTGTGGATGCTCTCAAAGGCGAGGTAGAAACGCCTCAGGATTTCCATGTGGTTCTCACGGAACATTTCATCAAGGTCTTGCAGTTCCTGAATGTAAGAGCCAGAGCGATTATATATAGAGATGAGCATTATTTGACGGTGGAATAAAGACGTGAAGTGCTACAACCCATACGCCACACACACAAATAAGGATAAAAATATGGAAACATTTCTTAAGTTACCAATGTTGTTTGCCAATGAATATTATGTGTCATCATTATGACATGTATACATTTGTTTTATAAGATTATGTTTTATTTGTTTTATGAAATGAAGTTTTCTAATATGATTTGAATAATGACCAGTCATTACCCAAATTATGCGCGATTATGCGTTAGGCAAAATAAATGCCTGGTCACGTGTACGCTTTCAACCAATCGTTTGATTAGGATCCACGTCATCATCTTATAAAATAGGCTATTTCCTCTCTCTCACTATGCTTTTTCAAAACAAAATTGTCAGAATGTTCACATTTTATATCAGGGCTCCACACTAACTCAAAGGAGGTCCTTTTAAAAAAAAATATTGAAGGTCTGTTTGCATGGATGCTCTATGTGAACTTCAAATTGTGGGTGTCAAGAGTTAAAAATTGAATGATCCTTGGTGGTGTTTAGCCCTGGTTATACAGCAGGTGGCTAAACAAAACAATGTAGCTTCCCCCACACAAGTCTAAATAATACTCACCGGCCTTGAATCAATCCTGTGATCATAGTAGTCAAAAGACTTGAAGTATGAAAAGTCAAAGAGAATATCTCCATATTTCATCTGATCATGCTTGTTGTCCAAGCGAAACACTGGTGGTACAAAGACGGAGAGACGTAACAGCTCTGCAATGATGGCATTCCCTCTTGAGACCAGCTTCAGGGCTGTCTGGCCACACTGGTTGTTGTCGGCTAAAAAGTCTCCCATTTTCTGCAATATTGTAAAAAAGAAAGTGACAGTATCGTTAATAAGGAACAAAGAATGTATTGCAAACATAAGATCAGATTAAACAATGTAATAAAATACACAAATCTATAGCTATTATTGCAATTCATCCCAAACACTGACTACTGCATTTGGATATTTACATAGAAAATTTCTTTGCTCAAAATAGTTTCATTATTATCTTCTGCTGGCTCATGCAAAAGAAGAGGAAATGCTGTTTCTTTACAGCCTTTGATTTTGGAAATGATTATGAACTTACGTTAGCAAAATTGAAAAAATCTGCCATCCCAATAAATGGAAATGTGATGGCTTATGCAAGAAAGTTTTCATAACCAGAAGATGGAGGTTTGAAAACCAAATGCCCTTTGATAAGGATCGCTACCTAATTATAAAGTCCCTCAGATATGACTAAAAACAGCAGGTCCAATGGTTAACCCTTTCTTGTATATATTCATGTACATTTCTGCATCAATTCTCTTTCTTAGCAGTCAGGTCTAATAAACAATTTTTTAAAGGAGCATTTAAACAAAAATAGAAATAAAAGGTAATGGACTTTAAGATTTTTGGTAAGTTCTTATAAGAGGTTCATTGAGACATTAAGGGCATAATTTTAGAATTGGGACTTGTATTAATTATATCCTCCAGATTGGACCAATGATTATTCAACAATCTCTTGAACACATTCAAACTAGGAGCAATTACTGACTGTAGATTATTCCTTTCAGTAAGACTCTGACAGTCTAATTAAGAGGTGCACTCTGCTGTTCATTGTGTAAGATTCTCAATGTGTATCACTGCTCCCATCCCCAGGCATGTTATCAAAATTTGAACAAAGCCATAAAATTGTGTCAGAAAATCCCAAACCAAACTGAAATAGCAAACATAAGAGTTGATAAATTCAAAATCTCTCTCCTTCCTCCTTCCTCCTAGGCTACTCCATCTTCTTCTTTATCATTACTTCTTCTTCTAGTTCTACTTTTTCTTGTACTCCTCTTCCCTTTTCTTCTTCTCTTCAACTTTGGTCTTCCTCCTTCCTTTTCCTTCTTCACTTCTTTTTCTTGGGTAATCTTGACTTCTCCTCCTCCACCTTCTTTTCTCTTTTCTTAGATAGACTAGTCTATCTACTTTTTTGCTGGCTATTCTTGTTCACTCTCAGCTTCATTTAGTTTAAGAACTAAGAAATAACACAACAATGCAATCCACAAAAACAGTTTACAAAATAATACTAATCAAAACAAAAGTTTAAAAAATAAAGGCTAAAAGAAAAGACAAAGTTAGAAAAGTTGAAATCATTGATGATTGAAATTGAATGATTGACTGTGACTGAACAGATTGCCATTCAAAGGCAAAATGAAACGGCAATTGATCATGATCAGGATCATCTCGGATTAAATAAATAATGTAATATAGTCACGTCTTTATGGTGTCAATTCAATTCATCAATAACAATTGAATAAGAAAAATACACAAAAAGTCACAAAAACCTACACGGGAATACACGTATGGGACCGGCTCAGTGACTTCCAGGTTACGCCCCCGCATTCCTTCTTGAATATTTCCTTATCGATAAGCTCACCATCGAAACTGTTGTATAGAATACAATAATGGAATACTTACATATTATACGAGGAGCTTTCTGTGAAACAAATAAAACTGAAAATAGCGAATATCCAGCAGTGAATCTGTGACTATCTCCGGATTCTCCAGGGAGCGGCCATATTGAATCATGTGAGTATGAACGATATCAACGATCTCGGTATGTAGTCTGCAATCGTCGATGACGTCGCTCTACAGCGCAACAGGTGCAAGGCAAAGAAAATTATCTCTTTTCAGTTTCGCTAAAGGTTTTCAAACCTCGATTTCTTAGATAGTGTTATTTATTATTTTCAGATGTAGTCCTGCTCTAAATGATAAAAAATACTCGTGATTTCACAGCAGTAAAGACAAAGAACCGCGCTTTTACACACTCCTGCATTTTCGTAATGATTTCCTGTGATCCGTTGTACATGTTGAGCATCACAAAAAATGATAGTCACTCCAAGGCCGGAAGGAACTAATTTTCACCCGGTTTTCACCGGGGGCACCAACTGGTTCTACGTTTCAAAAGAAAGCTAAAGGCAACCCTGACCGACAGTCGGCTAACATAAGCCCTGTACTCTCCCCCGAAAGAGAGAGAGTGACTTTGAGGCTCTCAAGGAGAAGTATTAATCCAACTCCAAGACGAAGAAGGAAATCACTGCTTGGGGAAGGAGACAGAGGGGAAGGAGAGAGAGAGAGAGAGAGAGAGAGAGAGAGAGAGAGAGAGAGAGAGAGAGAGAGAGAGAGAGAGAGAGGGGGGGGGGGGGGGGGGGGGGGGGGGGGGAGGGGGGGGGGGGGGGGGGGGGGAGAGAGAGAGAGAGGGGGAGAGAGAGAGAGAGAGAGAGAGGGATTGGGGGGAGGGAGGGAAGGATATATATATATATATATATATATATATATATGTATATATAAAGAGAAAGAGAGGGAGAAAGATAGAGAGAAGAGAGAGAGAGAAAGGGAGAGGGAAGGATGGATCGAGGGAGGGAAAGAGAGAAAGAGAGAGGGAAGAAGGGGGGGGGGGGTCGGCAAAAGACACAACTCATCCGTCTATTCAACTGACCACAAAGAGCGCCATCAAAATCATAACCAACCTCAGTGTTGAAGCCCTTAGTAACAAATGGAAAAAACAAAAAACAAATTTGTCATTAAAGTATTTACCCGGAATCTACAAGTTTGTTTACAATCCCGTGACATGTGGTTCCCAAGAATCCATTTCCGCCAAACTTAATTTCGGCCTCAAAATGATTTAAACACATTTTATTATAAGAATGATGGTGCCAAAACGACGTCATAAATCTTTTTGGTTTCGTGCCTTCTTATTTGTCTCTGCTGCTTAGGAGGACAACGGTTCCAGAATGTTTAAATATGGGCAAATACAAGACCCACTTTTCCCGTCATATTGCGAAGGGCTAGCGGTGATTGGTCCAACACATTACGGTTAAGATATATCTTGATTGGTAGAGTCCATAAAATGGGCGTGTCAAAGATAAGATAGAGGCGGTCCCCCAAGAGATGATATAGCCCTAATATAAGATAATTTCCAGAATACCAACTTGCAATAGTATTAGCGCTCTATTATGTCCGAAAGATACAAGAAAAGATAAGAAAAAAACTTACAACAATTTTCAGAATACCACCCCTGCATGGGCTTCGATCGGTTCCATGCCTTTGTGGGCGTGTCAATTCATTAGTGGGCGTGGCATTTTGGCTGTTCAGTTCGATCGTAAAAAAATGGCAATTTGAAAGAGGCTTATACAGTATGTATGAATTGCTAATTTGAGTCATGTCAGGAAAGAATAATTAGCACGCCTCTATTGTCCAGACTCTTCTGCTGTATTTCTGACGGGAATCAATGTAATGACCCTTTAAAGTTCAAACCAAGATTTAGGGTAAATGCATAGAGGATGTATAGGCCTCGAACCCACAACCCTCCGATTCGAAGACCAATGCTCCTTTACCACAGAGCTGGTTGCGTATCCATGTACGTTATTATGACTGTTGCATACAAGGCGTCATTTGTCTGACGTAGGTCTGACGTAGGACTGCGTTAGCGAATAATATGGTATATGAAGCGCTATCTGAGGGAACACCACCCCTGCATGGGTAAAACCGTTTGATAGATGACTGCAAACAAATTAAAAATGAACACAGTGCGCGGCGTTGTATCACTGGCGCATGGGTTAATAAAATTGCATTCACAAGATTACAAGTACATGTATAACGCGAGCAGAATGGCACCTCGTGTGCAAAATGCATTGCGTCTGTTGCACACGAGGCGTTATCTGCCTGACGTAGGACAGCGTCAGTGAATGCTCCGGCCTTTTATGCGCCATGTGAGAGAGATATCGTACAACTGGCTACTACTGTGTTTAATTAAAAACAAGCGCAACGGATTGATTAGCGCAGGTAATAGCGCAATCGACTGAATAAAGTCTCGTTGGCAACGGACATTACGCACCCACTTCAACAAAAGTCAAACGGAAATCCACTTGACATCAGGATTGGTGTGATTGAGATTGGACCGAACCCGGTGCTCTGATCTATCCGGTATTAAACCACCAGCTCATTTTGGGTATATAGAAACTTATCTTATCCAAACAGAGAGGACATTACCTTGTGTTATATCGAAACAACAAGGCTAGTACTAGGAAGTATAAGCCTATCTGCTTTTTACGTATGTGTAATGAACACATGCACCATTGGAATAACTTCATAACTTCATATAACGACGATTGTTGAAGGGCGATCGCAATTTAAGAACATATTGGAGGAGTGCATCAATTAAATTTGATTGAAAGTTATATAGTTGAATATCACTTTTTTAACTATTCAGCAGCAACCGGTATCAACGCCGAAGCGATCACTATTCTTTGACGACTTTTGCTATTTTGTTGATGACCGTTGGAGACCTGTTTTATCATTCATAACGTGATTGAGTCCAGTAAATATCTTCATCATGAATAGATTTATACACCGACACATCGTCTGTTGAGTAAAACTAGTGCAGTGAGACATTTTGTTTCATCAAATTGTCGTTAATAACAACTATTCCTATTGACCATGACGAAATTAATGTTATCTCTGCGCTTGATCCTGACAGTCATACTTCAAATAGTGGTACCCATTCTCGGTAAGTTTTACTATTATGTTAAAAGCATTATTGTCGTGGTATAATAATAATGATAATAATAATAATAATAATGATGATATTTTTACTACTACTGCTACTACTACTACTACTACTAGTAATAGACAGACTTATGATAAAATCGACTGACCAAAACATTGAAATGATAATAATAATTCCGCTTTTATATAGCGCTTAATACATATATGACGTTTTTAAGCGCTTTACAGATATACAACAATTAACCCGGGCATTGGATTGAATACTTGCCAGCACACCCTTTGTGCAAAATCGCCATTCCCTTGGGAGCATTCCAACCAGGCGTTACGACAATAACAGTATTTATCATTATGATCATTTTTTTTTAACAGAACACATGTTGTGTTGCCAAATGATATCATCATCACATTTTACATCCGTAATCATCACAATATGAGTTACCCTTATTCTATGGAATGATTCAATATGGCTACACATTTTGTTAAGGCTGTAGTTCAATAATCAATGAAGCTTTAAGTATACGAATAACATTAATTTTATCTGTAAGGGTGAAAACAAAATCGTGTTTTTTGTAAGGGGAGGGGAGTGCAGAGCGTCTTTGTGATTTGAAAATTTGCTATAAACTTGTTTTAATACGGGTAATAATAAGATCGGTTGAAATGGCGCAGCTGCTATTAATAATAATAATAATAATATTATTAATAATAATAATAATAATAATGGGTTCTTGTATATCAGTCATTATCTGTTAGATTTTACACTCCTGGCGCTCCCGATTATTACCTCGGCTTTAGCATGGCTGCCATTTTGGCGCTCTAGTATTTCGAGGAATTAATTCCTGCCAGGTATTCAAATATACTCTAGTGCCAAGCGGTAAACAAAATTTTTGAAGATAACAATTCTGAAGATAATCCAAACTTCTGGATTCTATTTCAATAAAATTTGATTTGATTTGATTTGAATTGATTTGATTTGTACCTTCATTGCTATTACCTGAATTCAGAGAAGCATGTATATAGATCACGATATGACAGCTATATAGCATTGTAGAGCGGTTATAACTTGTGATAGTCTATCTGTATAAACGAACCTTCAATAGCTTTTATCCGGAATCTGTTTTTATGAAGGATGTTCCTTGTTTCCTTGACGTTGTTTCCGGGCAAAGTGCAATATCAAACACACTCCCTCAAACTATAAAGATATTGCAATGCCAGAGCTGAGTTTTACCCACCATAAAAGGGTCAATTCCAACTTACATGACCAAACAAATGTCATTGGTTGTTTTGGTCAAGGTTTAAACAAGATTAATTAATGTGCAACATTATTTTAAAAAGCGTTTAATAGGCCTACTATGTTTCTAAACCCATAGGAAGATAATATAAGCAAAATGAGGGATAGAGAGGGAAGGAGAGGAGGGAGGGAGGGGAGAGAGGGAGAGAGAATGAGATTCAATTCAATTCAATTCAAATGAACATTTATTTTCTTCCATTCAATTTGACAAACATATTTGACATCTGCTCAAACAATACAATGATAGGAACATCAATGTAATAAAGAACTTGTATTACAAGGAAGAAGGCGCGAAACCCGAGAAATTGTCTGGGTCATTTCTTCCCAAGGGCATGTTTCTCATTATGATTTGAAAGTGAAAGAATAAGGTATTTGGTGTAATGCCAAGGAACAAAATGATGTCCTTAATCACCCATTAATATGGTTTGGTTTGGGGTTAGGGGAGGGTAATGATGTTAACAAACTAAATTAACATTTTGGCAAACTCTGGTCATTAAAATCATGATAATTATCTGAAACAAACAAAGACAGGTATCAAATTGTCCTAGTTTCACTAAAAGTGGTCTGTATATAGATACAGTGAATATGATTTAAGATGATTTATCTTGGAGTCTGTTATACTCTTCTTTTTATTTTCTTTCCCATCTTTATTTCATTTCTCTTTTAGTCTCGTTTCTTTCACTTTTCACTTTCTTCATTTCTACATAATTGGTTCCATGATTATTTTACTTTTATACTTCGTTGCTTTATTTTTTTTAAAGACACATTTCGACATGGTATCTTGTTTTACTCAATTTTGTTCAATCTTCTACTTAGTATCAGTTAATATTTATTCCTCTTAGTTTCCATGTATCGTTTCTTTTGTTATTTCATGTATTATATCGTTCTAATTCCATTTTCCCATATTTTTAATATATATTACGTGTACATTGATGACAATCTCACATTGTCTCTTTTTCTCTTTTTGTAATTGTGTTATTAACTACTTGTATTCTTGATGAATGTTCAACTAATCATTTGTAACCAGTTGTTATTCTTCTGTTGTAATTCAGTTGTATTAATGATAATCCAAAATTGTGGATTCTATTTCGACAAACTGTTTGATTTGCTTTGATTTGATTATATTGTGTTAGAGTTGATTATCCCAGGGGCTACGCTGAGGAATGAAGTATTATGACTTCAGCTTTCTATTAATTCTCCCCTCATATTTGATATCCGCCCCTCCCTCTCTCTCTCTCTCTCTCTCTCTCTCTCTCTCTCTCTCTCTCTCTCTCTCTCTCTCTCTCTGTCTGTCTCTGTGTCTCTGTATCTATGTCTCTATATCTCTCTGTCTGTCTGTCTCTCTCTCTGTCTATCCATAACTCTAACTTCAGGCCATGAAAATCTGTGCCCGATTCCAACTGATTTCCCAAATTCCAAAGTCGAATGGAGCGACCGAACGTTGGGGGCGTATGCCACATATTCCTGTCGAGAGGGGTATGAGATGACTGGACCCGCTGAAACCGTTGTCGCATACTGCGACGAAAATGGAAGTTGGAGGAGCAGTATAAGACCGGAATGTATCGGTAAGAAGCCTACACATATATTTATCATCAACAAACATTCCCATTCCCGGGGAAAAAGAGAAGTTGCGGCATCGCCAAATGGAATGAACGTCCGACCCCCCCCCCTTTTTGTTGTGGATAACACTTTATGTATCCTTAAAAATAAATAGAAAAATAAGCGTTTTATCGAGATCACCGAGATGCCAGTCCTATTTTTAAAATTAAAGTGCCACGCCCACTATATTACATGTATATACACTGTATCATAGAACCCCAGCTGTTGAAACGGCACTGGTATTATTCTTCTTTTCTTTCTGCTCTGTTATCGACCCCCCCCCCCCCGTTAACATTCTCCTACCTCACATTTGTTTTCGTTTTCCATTATAAACATATTATTTCGCCTTTTCATTTAATGTTGATATCAATTTTATTTTTATAAAATACAATAACTGAATAACAGAAAATATGTAAACGTAAGGTATAATACAAATATGCAAACAATAATAACGAATTCAAAGTATGTACTAACTATCTTGGGAAAAGTGCAGGAGACCACCATCGTAAGCGACGCTTGACCGTGATTGCGGCCGCTTACTACCTTCTCCTCGACATATAATACATCCACACTCTGACCCTCTTTCATCCCCCCCCCCAGTTGTCCAGTGCCAACTGCCCGTAGTCCCCGCCTATGGGAACGTCACCTACCTGACTGGGCGTGGCGAGTACGGTTCGGTGGTGCTCTACCAATGCGACAGGTACTACAGGAGGTTCGGCACCGCGTCGGCGCAGTGCTTGAGCGACGGGACGTGGTCGAAGACACCACCGGTATGCAAGAGTGAGTGAGCACAATAAGGTTCTGTTGAGGGCAAGAAAGGCGCTAACTGTTGGATTATGTGGTTATGAGTTAAAGTGACATCCAACCTTGATAGAAAACTTGACTTACTTGACTTAAATGCTCAGGACGGAGTGTCCCCTTGCGCTCCTACGGGTGGTCTGCCTCCATTCATTTCTGTCCTGGGCTTGGTGTTGGGCAGCCTCCAGGCTTAATCCAGAGTCTTGGCGGATTTGGTCTTTCCACCTCAGGGGAGGACGTCCTGGTGGTCGTGGCACAGTAAAGTCATTGGTGTGGACTTGTATTGGTAGGCGTTCCTGTGGCATACGTACCACATGTCCAAACCATTTCAGGCGGTAAAAAACTACTCTATAAGAAATCAAATAAATCAGAGAAGAAGATAGGTGAAAGTTTGAATGTAATCGGACCAAAATAAGACAGTTACAATTTTTTTTAAAGTTGCATGCTCAACAGGTATAGGCTCTTCGCTTGGGAGAAAAACATAAATTAGTGATATTTGTGTACACGACAAACGGGAGAGTTATCCATCACTATGTCAAAATCCACTAACAAAATTGCCAATTTAATTTCTTCTATTTTCCGGCTTTCATTTACGAAGTTGGATTGCCCTTTAACGCCCTTCTTCCTCTCAGGAGTCAGGATAATACTGTAAAGTTTGAAAAGAGTTACTATAATATGATTAACCAAGCAAACCTGCATCACTCCCTCTCTCTGTTTCTCTCTTTCTCTTTCTCTGTCCCATTTAGTATCATGACGAGACAATTCAGAATTAAAACAAGACATTGTTACTCTTTAGGGAGTATACATATGAAACTACAGAATCATCTTGAAATTGAGGGACCTTCATGTACTAAAACATGTCACGATATGGGGTGCCGAGGGGGAGGGGGGGATGTTGGAGGGTGTGACGTACCGATATTAAGAAATTTCTGACGAAATATTGGGGATTTTTAGAGCACGGTCAAAATTGATTACCATTTTCACGATTTTGCTTTCGGACAAAAATTTATTTGGGGATAGATACATTTGAAAGATTCATAATGTTGCATCCTTTCTTTTGTTATGTAGAAATTTTTCACGTATTTCAAAATAATAAATATAGCGACGCTTCTAGTCAAGATCTTCCGAATGACATTAATAATACACCGAAATAATTCCTCATTTTATGCTATGTCCAGTTCACTGCAATACACCGGTACTACCGAACGGAACGGTTTCCCATCTGAACGACCACGTCTGTCTCGAGTTCAGCGACGACCTACTCGACTGGCGTACGGCCCAGGCGCGATGCCAGGATGACTCGGGCTCACTCGTGATCATCCGCGATGACGAGGCGCAGGAGACGATCAGCATGACATTGGCGGACATCATCGATGTCGATGGTTCGGATCGCTTTTGGATAGGAGCGGAAGAACGACGGAGCAGCGTGGTGCAGGAGACCAGGAACTGGCAATGGGTGGATGGTAGGTCATCTGATCAAGTCAGTTACACCGAATTATCCATCAAATTTACCATTATTTTTGTCCATAAAAGTTTAAAAAATGATTGATAAAGTTATAAGTACAATATTTTAATGAGTGGGAAGCGAGTGACGTCGTTAACAAAATACTGCTAAATCACATCTGAAAAAGGCTCGGGACTCGGGAGTAAGTGTTTAAAAGTTGATCTATCATTTTTAACATGTTGGAAATACGAACAATAATTCTCTTTCCTTTAAATTTAACGTCAAGAACGGTTATATATATCTTTACAATCATAAACGGTGGAAAGCACCGTTTACAAAAAAAAAATGACTATACTTACCAGAACGGTAAGACGGATCCAAGACTGTCTGAAAGAGGGGCATCCCACTAGACCGACAGCCCATGTAGAGAAAAACCTGTCTGGTGGATCCTCCTTAACTTTTGTTCATAAGGCCACGTCGGTCTTGTGGACTGTCGGTCTCGTGGGCCTTCTTGCAATTTTCAGAAGGGTGTGTTAGAACCTTATATGCTTTTGGAATCCGAAAGGGGAGGGCGGATTGAAAAATACTTTAAAAACCGCGAAAGTCAATGGTCACTGGGTAAGGCATATAACGATGATTTAACCTTTTCGAAAACTAAAATGTGGGGTAACCGCTGTTCCCTATAATATTATGACTTCGCTTTTGCTTGCAAGCTTAGATATGAGGAAACACTCGTCTGCTAACTGCCTGAATGGTACTATCTCATATATTATATTGAAATTTAGTCCGGCTCCCAACACGATTCTACCTCTTTGTTGTCAGGTACTCTGGTCGATGATGTTTTCTGGGGTCCTGGCGAACCGACATCAGCCACGGACTCGCCCTCCAGAGGGGAGTGCGTCGACCTCGACTCCGCCATGGATTTCGAATGGAATGATAACAATTGCAGTATAGATCAGAGATACATTTGTCAATTTGGTAAGTAATAAAATCGAAATACCCAATATATCTGTTAATTAGATTTTTTTTAAAATTCTATATCCGGTACGTAGTCTGCAAGAACAGACTCTCATTTGACACAATTACATAAAGTATATTTATCAGAGCCTAACTCTGTCGGTCTCTAGTTCTGTCAAATAAGGATCAGCTACAGTACAGGGCATATTGTATGTCGATTTGGTAAAAACTAAATCTAAGCATCTGTTATTTAGAATGTTTCGGATCTTCTCCGTTACGCATGTCCTTAGAAAAGACTGTTTATCTATTATTCTGGGAACATCTAAAAGCTGAGCTTTTTAATAGGTTCCTCACATTTCACCCTGTATAACGTTCTATTCAATACAATTAATTTCGACGTCTTTTCAAAGAATTAATTATATAATATGACACTTTTAGTAAATTTCATATTGTATTCTAATTTTGTCAATTATGTGAATTCTTTTTTGTGAAATGTGAAACAAATAAACTTGAACTTGAACTTGAACTTGAAAAAAATTATTGTTTCTAAGCACCCCGGTCTTATAAAGGCATCTGGCAGGTTATTTTCATTGAGAAAAGACGGTGCGTTGATAATGTCTCCGGGAGCTAAAGTTATTATACAAATGATACATCAGTGAGGGCATTAGTAAGAATTACCCACACAAGGTACCTTTGGAACAGTCTTTTACTAATGCCCGAACAGAATGATGTGTATTATTTGTTTTATAAGATTATTCAATTCAATTCAAATGATGTTTTATAACATGATTTACTAATGACCGGTCATTAGAATTGGATAATGACCAGTCATTATCCAAATTACGCGTTAGGCAAAATAAATGCTTGGTCACGTGTACGCTTTCAACCAATCATTTGATTAGGATCCACGTAATCATCTTATAAAATGATATCATCCACTTCTTGGGGGGGGGGGGGGGGGGGGGCTCATACCGAGGAGAACAACACCAGACCAACAAACAAATATTGTGTTACCCCGAATAGCCATGAGTCGGTTGGTTCGATGTTGGTTCGGAGTCGGTTTGCCGGTCTGACCGAGGTACCAGGGACGTTGTTACACTTTGCATAAAGGATTATCATGATTTTTGTTTTTCTATCATTAGGTGAAAGTGGGATATGTGGTGACCCTGGTGAGCCGCTGCACGGTAGCCGGACCCTCCTGGCCTGTGATGAAAACGACGATGGTCTCTTTGTAGAGGGGTGTTTGATCACGTTTAGCTGTGACCCCGGCTTTAGGCTGGTCGGAGAAAGTTCGTCGACCTGCGAGAGTACGGGGAGGTGGAGCGAAGAACTACCAACCTGTGAACGTAAGCATGAACTTAGGTATAGACAGGGACGTCGCTAAAGGGGGGGGGGGGGGGTTAAGAGAAGAGCCAGAAAACCTCCATTCGAATCGGCAATGAATGTGATCACATAACGGTTTTTAAAATTTTTATTGTGCACTTATTTACACTTGAACGCTGCCCGATCTTTGAAAACCTATGCAGTCGGAATTTTGGCAGTATATGGTTACAAATAAATTAAGATTACATTATCTTCGGCTTTGAAAATGTTATTTTACATTTGGAAATGTAACCATTTCTCTAAATCCCCGTTTTCTGAATAAAAAAAAAAGGTTTTGTGTGTCTTTGTATATATATTTTTAGATGATGATTTATTTATGTATGTGACCACTAGCAACCATTATTTCATTTCATTTACACCACTGTAGGAAAGTTGTGCTCGACCCGACCCACTTCAGAAAATCTGGAGGAGACGCTTTCTAATTCTTATCGCGGTGTAGCGGTTTACCGCTGCCCAACCGGTTCGTACGCGGTTGAGGGAGACGCTTTCGCATTCTGTCGTCAGAACGGCGTTTGGAGCACGCCAAATCTACTTTGTGAAAGTAAGATATTGATTATGACTTATTTTATTTTATTTTATTGATCTATCAACAGCAAATAAAACCTTGTTGTAAAGACTCAAAAACACCAAACTAGGGCAACTACAACAACTTTGTTAGAGAGAGAAGAGGGGGGGGGGGGAGTTGGACGAGAGCGAAAGAGGAGGTGGAAAAGGATGGAGAAGGATTATGGAAATTGATGACACGCACGGAAAAAGGAAAAGGCTTGGCTTCATCGATCGGAATAAATATCTTGTCATGTCTACATTTCTCTTTTTATAAAATTTGTCTTCATGATGATCTCCTGTCTTTGTATCTATTATTGCAGCTTCCATTACTATTTCGGTAACATCACAGCCATCTCTTGATCCAGGTATACTTCCATCATTTTCAAGCAGTTTTTTAAATTTATTTTGTACAAGATGTTTGGTTAATGGTGTTGTAATACATTTTCCTCTCTAAAGAGGTGACGGGGTGACAAAGTCACAGATCTTACGATGATATAGCACAGGCATTTTAATCATTGGTACCTTTCAGAACAAAATCATGTTATTATATTGGTGAGATAAAGCTGATACTATAGTACGATAGTTTGGAATTGATGATAACTGTCTCTTAGTATGTAATTAGTATCAAACGATCCCAGGAGAAGAAAAAAACAATCATAATTTTCTTCTAACAATGTGGTTTTGACGTTGCTCTGTACCCAAAGCATTATCATTTAATCAATGGCTCCTCCTTGGCCCTCCTTTCAGATTGGACATTCATCGGCATCGTTGGCGCCCTAGGCATCCTACTGCTCATCGCCATCTTGATCATCATCATCCTCGCCGCGGTCAGGAACAAGAACCTGAACTCTCGTCGCAAGAACATCCGACCGCTGCCTCACGCGTCCGCGTCGAGCCGAAAGCGCCGCAGCACGGAGAATACATATTACTCCATTCGGAAGCCAATCCCGTCACCGCCCGCAGAGCGAAGCGGTCAAGAAGTTGAGCTGAGGCAGATGAGGCGGTTGAGTGACGTCGGCGAAAGTACAACCGCGGTCGCGCAGCAAAGTCTGACGTACGACAAAAGCGACGCGTTAGTAACCGACAGCGATTACTTGGAACCGATTAAAGTGTTGCATCCAGAGAGTTTGAAAATTCCACCACGGTTGCCGAGCGGCGAGTACGTGGATCCGTTGAGTCCACGAAGCGGAACTTACGATGAAATCGACGACGACGTCATGGCCGATGATGAAACGGTTGAAGATGATGATGGGCTTCTCAACAATTACATCATCCTGCTACCGGACGATGAGGACAAAGTGGAGAAGAAAGTCGACGTCGCCGTGTCAGAAGAGAATGAGACCGTCATTGAAAAGGAGGTCGATACCAAGGGTGACGAAGAAGAAGAAAAAAGTACCACGGACAATGTCATGGGTGGAGAAACGGAACCAACTGAAAGAACAACAGAGTCGGCGACGTTACCGATCAACGGGCTACAAGTCCCATTGTTGACTTTACCTAAAGAAGGGTTTGGTTCGACAGTTGAATTATGAAATGTTTTGCGTTATTATGTAAATCATGAATTTATATTGATATAAGACAGGACGTTGGTGTCAAAATTGTAATATTCGTCACTTATAGATTATATACTCATTTTCAGAGTAACAATTTTTTTATATCCGTATTTTATCTCTGATTTCTTATATCAAATTTTATAGACAACATAGACCATAATATATTTCACAATTTACAGATAGATCACATGTATATTTTCAACTCTCTCGTTAACTTCCCCTAGATCGAAATAATGATTGCAGAAATGTTATTAAAACCCACTATTGTTTATAATGAAATACTCTCAGCTGCACATCTTAGATTACAGTTATCTCTAGTCTTGTGTAGCCATTTATTAGGAGATGTATATATATATATATATATATATACATTATTCGTATTTTATGATTGAACTCGATATCACATAGTCACAAAAATTAGCAAGGCTAAATGTGTATTGAGTATTTTTCTGTTTAGCGCCCTCTGTGTCTATGAACCTCAGTCTAAGTAAGGTCTTTAATATTGAAAAGAATTTATGGTAAGAAGATGAAAACTCTACCAGTCGTCACTCAGAATCATCACCATCCTCTCACTCGCATCACCACTGTTACTAGCCGCAGGGACTATGCAACTACTAGTAGGCCCTTTGTACCTTCACTACTACATCTTAATATAGGCCTGTCACCGTCAACATCACACCTTCTCATCAGCATCATGACGGCCACAAGCCTGCACTGTCATTAATATAAAAAGTCCATCATTCTGTTTCAAATATCTATACCAAGATTGTTTAATCTACCATCTACACAACCAACGCCACCGCCACCACCGCCACCACCGCCACCACCACCACCACCACCACCACCACCACCACCATCTCAAACAATCACCCATACATTTTAATCATCTTCTCATCCATAACATGACTGCCATCAGCCGGCATTATACCATAAGCGTTCAAAAGGTCCAGTCACCTATAATACCATTTACACAAAAATTATTTAATCTTCCACCACCACCACTACCATCTTCAACTACACACCTTTTATTATCACCTCATCCGCATCATGACTACCAACAGCCCTTAATATGATAATAATATTCCGCTTTTATATAGCGCTTAATACAATTACGATGCCTCTAAGCGCTTTACAGATATACTATTACCCCGGTCATTGGATTCAATACTTGCCCGCACACACTGTGTGCACAATCTCCACTCCCTGGGGAGCATTCAACCAGGCGTTACTTGACACTAAAAAACTGTTTGACCAACATTGACAGTCGCTCGCATCCTACGGGCTATTCATTTAACACCATTTAATATACCATTAGCAGTCATCAAATTCATCATTAATACCGCCCACACCAACACTTCTTATCTACCGCCACCACCATCTTCAATATTATATACCATATTCATATCTATCCACACCAATTTGTACCATCATCATCATCACCAACAAAACAGTTACCATGTTGACCACGCCCACTATTACCTTCATCTTCTCACCAACATTTTTAACCTGTCTATCCATCTTCAGTATATTAATGTGTTGTGTGTTTTTTACAATGTCATTACTTTGCCATCACAACCCCTACACCAACACTACTACCAATACATCAACATCATTATTATCATTATTACCCTCATTTCCGGCACCATTATGACCATCATCGTCGTCATCACCACCACCACCACCACGTCCATCATGTCCAGTACTCTTATTTACACGCCATCACCATGACAACCACCATCGTCATAAACCGAATCCCCAAACCAGCACCACTAATTATTTTTATGACCTCCATAATCTCCATAATGAGTTATAGAAGTTGCAGAAGCCCTAGTTTGTATCTACTTGATCTACGCGAGTAAAAATCTTATTTTACAAAAGAATGAACAAAAATAGATAGGATTGTTATGACGTAAAGATAGAATTTATTACCACGAATAGAATTATTGGACAAACAAATTCAAGTAACATTTGTATTTTTGTTATATTAGTACTGAGCATGCAATGTTGGGGAGGAAATGAAAAGCAGAAAGAAGAAGAGAGAAAATAGAAAGATCAAACATAGAGAGAGAGAAAGGGAGAGAGAGAGAGAGAGAGAGAGAGACGTGGATAATAATAAGAAATAATAATTGAGAAAAAGGTAGATAGAATTGGAAACAGACAGAGAGGGAGAAAGAAGTAAAAGGAAGATGAATAATATAATTTCTTTTTTTTGTACACGATATTCTGAAAAATAAATTGAACTTCGACAACAAAGATAGATGTATATCTCTATGTCCTCGACAATTCATTCGTGGAAATTTCACAGAAAATATGCACTTGTAAACGACAAAACTTATCTATGTTATTTCATATACCTGCACAAAAGTGAAAAAACTTGTTAACACGAAAATTGTAGCTTAAGGAGAGGCAAGATGTACTTAGAGTTTAAGGCAGATTTAAAAGAATCCGTAAAGTATTGCATATGTGTATGGTGTGGAACAAAATGACGAAATTGTTCGTTAAATATGATTTAATTTGACTTGATTAAAACAAACAACACGAACAAATTAAAACAAGAGGAAACAAAATAACACATACAATTCAAAATATGACGTTTATGGCTATACATAATTGTTTTCAAATGAACAAATATTATGTTCATTGCCAAGCATTTAGCACAAAATGGTAGAGTGTTATTTTTCTACTTTTATATTCACGCATAATTCTTAAAGCAAAGGATTAGATCAAAAATAAATTCCTGTGAAATCGAAACTAAAAAAAGAAAAAAAAAGAGAGAAAACGTTAGTAACGTTACAAACCCTATGATATCACTGCAAACACTTGTGAAACTATCTCACATTTGATAAGACCGGACAAAAAATAAAGCCTGCAGTTACACATCAGAGTTTAACATTAAGCACAACACTAAACATTGGAATACAGTTAATCGCCTTAAGGCAATTTAAAATATAAACATTCGGAGTACCGAATATGTGTCCCTGTGGAACACCAATGTTGTACCAACCGAAGTGAATTGGTCAAAGGTAAGCATCATATTGTGAAACCAGATGTACCATAGGCTACTACCTGTCTGACTTAATATTCAAAATAATCAAATTATTCTATTATATTTTGAATGATTCCCTTTATTAGGCTGGTCTACTCGTTATCCGTATATTAAAAAAAGAAAGAAAAAATCATCGATATACGTCTTTTAAATTTAACTTTAACGCAGAGACGTCGACCAATATCTATGCACGTTGCACACGAGATGTCATATCAATTGCCTTATTAATTACGCTAATACCAACCCCAAGAAGTCGATTAGCGCACGTTAATCCAACGCAGTGTTTCCACTGTCAATCTTGCATCCATTATTACGTCACTCTCACACGCTGCGTCAGAGACCCCGCCAATCTCTGACGCAACCTTGCGTCACCAGGATGACGCCTCGTGTGCTACGCGCAATAAGATGGGAGGAGGGGAAGTGGTCGCTTATATCAACATATTCATTGGACACATACACCGCACTTGAGAAACAGGTTATCCCTTTTTCTTATATTGGGGATGGGGTGGAGGGCGACTACCTTCAAATCTCCTTAAACTCGACATCCCTGGTTTAAGGATTATAATCTGAACTCTACCAAACAGTATTGCAATTCCCCCTCAAGTCTCTCTTTATTAAACCAAATATAATTTCTTTCTCCTTTCTGTAAAGTTCCATCATTTCCTGGTTTGTCGGGTTATCAAGGTAACTATGTTCTTGGATTTCACGGGAGTCATGCTTCCCTGATAGCGATGAGTTCGATGTCGAACATCAGAGTGGCGTTAGGTGGGATGGTGCACGGCAGTCAAGGAAAAGTTATCAAACGATGCGAAAGGGCAAACTGTAAGCTATTCTAGCACAACCTCTTTGCCGAGAGATAAATCGAAATCCTATTATCTAAAATATACTAGAGGATGAGAAGAATAAAATAAATGACCCACACAATTTTTAAATGAGCCCATTACCTTCATTTTTTAATGAGGTAGCCTAAGGTCAAATTACATGAAAGTAATGTATTGCTGAAGTTATACAAAGTACTACGTCGTCTACGTAGTATTGTATGGTGAATATTAAATAAAAAATAATATGTCGCGCCGGACTACAAGAAAATGAAGTATGGTTTTATCTTGAGAATGAACCTGAATTGAAGTACGATGAATCAATAAAAGGATATCATCCCGGATAGCCGAATGATCCGTATCCGAAATCCGGAGAACACGTTAGTGTTGATCTCTCTCCTACACTCATCTGTCGTTGAAGGAAAACAAGAAAAAAAATTATTGATTCTTATATCATCTTTTTTAACATACATATTCATGTTCATCAATGTGATATTTTACATTTGATTCATTTAAGTTTGATGCATTTTACCCAAACCGTACATAATAATGATAATCCGTTCTTGTATATGCATAATACCTTGTAGTAGGTCCATGATAACACATTACGATATTATGTCCCTATATACACGCTTCCAAAGAGCTTTGGAAATTATTACCCTAGCTTTAGCACCGGCAGCCGTTATCAGCGCACAATGCATTTCAAGGAATAATCCTACCAGGTACCCATTTACCTCACCTGGGTGGAGTGTGGAAAATGTAGATTGATATCTTGCCAAAGGACATTACATTACATAACATTGGATAGAAATTAGAAAAGTCGAGAAATTAATGCAAATATGAATAAGATAATCATGATATAGGAGAGCTACAGCGTAAGCATGAAGCTTGACGTGCTTGCAGCCCTCAGTTAAACTAAAACATATATGTAAAGGGAAAGAGAGATAGTACGGCGTATAGTTATGTACACAATATTTATATGAAACGGTAAGAGGATATGGAGGATATGAAGAAAGAGGAGGGATAAGGTCGAAGAAGGGGAGAGGGAATGAGAGGGGAGAGAAGGGGAGGGGAGGAAGAGCGGGGGGGGGGGGGGTGAAAGGAAGGGTACCCGATAAAGAGGGAGGGAGGGAGGAGAGGAATATATTGGAAAAGGGGAAGCATGATACGATCCATGGTAGGAGGGAGAGAGAGAGAGAGAGGGGGAGAGGGAGAGAGAGAGAGAGAGAGAGAGAGGGAGAGAGGGAGAGAGAGAGAGAGAGAGAGAGAGAAGTGGGGGCAGGGGAGGAGGTAAGGTAATACAATGAAAATGTGGAAGGTTTAACAGGAAAAGAGGAGGAGGAGAAGCGCAAGGGAAGGGGATAGGTGGGGGGGGGGGGTGGGGGTTAAAAGATGAGGGAGAATGAGATAGCAGGTAAAAGAATATCAAGACGAGGATAAATATCTGTCAACAACTTTGAAAATCTGCCAACAACGTTCGACCCTTGCCAACAAATATGAAAATCTGAAAATCACTCCGCCCCTCTGTCACTGTTTTCTCTCTCTCTCTCTCTCTTTGCTTTTTGTACGCCCTTAGCCCTATTCGAAATGATTTCAAATCAACTCAAGGCCTGCTAACAAAGCAAATGACGGACTGCTGCATGCACGGTGAAAACAGTCAGGGTAATACAATAGCGAGCTAGGGCTATCATTTTGTTTCTGAAACACAATCACTTCATAATATCGATTTCACGATGCTCCAACCTTCCACTCTTGTTCCATGTCCACGTTCCGTACACGAGATATTAGGGTTGACCCTAGTGTGTGACCTTTACATACAATGGCGTAGCTACTGGTGTGGGCATGGGGCATGTACCCCCATCCGAAAGAGAAAAAAAAAGTAAATTGACAAAGAAAAGTAAGAGGGCAGAATGAAAAAGAAAAGTGAGTGGGGAAAACTAATGAGAAAAGAAGAAGATAACAAGACCCCTCTTACAATTTCCCCTAAACGAGAGCCTCGTCAATTTGGCGTTTCGTTTACGGAGTAATAAGACCGGTCCCCCTGCGCCTAAGATATTGATTCCCTCCTAATATCAGGACACACAATCTACACCACTGTTTACGAGATAACATCGTAGAAGGAGAGGGTCGCGAGACAGTTGCAATTTATAGGGTGATATATATAATTCATTCCTACTATTTAACATTGAACGATTGAGCGAATGCCCACTCACTGAGTTGGGGTTGGGGGTAGGGGGGGGGGGGAGACATCTTTCTAGTGGTAGGATGTAAATTGTATCGACCCATTATGGGGAGAGTACTCGTATTATCTTCTCCCCACTCCCCCCTCTCGCTTTCATTTTCCCTATTTCACATTTCCCCCTTCTCCTTTCCATCTGCCGTTCAAGGGGATGGGGTACCGCTCGTCCGATCCATGCTACATGTAGCTACCGAAGAGAGCAAGTTAACATTAATGAATTATAGGTTCCAGAATCCCGAAAGCAAGATGTACAATCTTCCAATGCTTAATGCTATGTGGGGCGCTCATCAGGACCCCTGTCGTAGTAGCTACACCAATGCAAAGGCTTACGCAAATCAATACATAAACAGAAACAACAAGATAGAATTGAATAAGAGAAAACACTTACCTGTGCAACCCCAACATCCCATCCTTTGATCACCTCCCCATTGCCTAATTTGAATTCAAACGGTGTATGGATATTTTTTCTTGAGTTATCAAACTCGGTTCCATCAGTGAGGGTACCTGAAAAACATTGGAGTGCTTTCAATTTCAGATTGTACATACTTTAACCCTAAAAAGGCCGGGCTATGTCAAGTGAAGTGTATAGAATAATATGATCATTTTTTTTATTGTTGAAAAATTCACTTTATTATTTGCATATTTATGGTAATTTATGCAAATAAGGTAATAAAATCACATTTTTACCCATAAATCATATATTATTCATATTTAAGTATTCTTTTTCACTACATACACGTGTAGATTCATTAGACCATTTGGAATAAAAATACGACAAAAAAAAATTGGAAGAGCCAGCTTATTCCTTATGTTATATCTTGTTTTGATAATTTCTTATGTATTTCATTGTTTTTTTAACGTATGTATTTTATTGTTTTTTTCAATAATAATAATAATAATAATAATAGCCTTATAGTCCACTCCAAATTTTATTAAACCAAAACGGAAATTCTTTTTGACCAATTTATCGTGAGCCCGGCAGCCACTGAGCAGCGCCAGATCGACGTTGCTTTATCCCTTATTGTTGAACGCCAAACAATGTAGCAACAACTCCCATCTTTTAACGTCTTTTGGTATGACGCGGCCGTTTTATTTCATTTCTTTTATTTCATTTCTAACTACAATTCAACTATTTTGACCCCCAAAACAACCACCTAAACTTTAAACAAGACCCAATAACCAATGTTTAATCTATTTTTAGGAAAAAATTGACATTTCCATATGTTTTGTACACAAATCACAAAAATGAGCGATTTTCGGGCTGCCTGCAAAAACAAAAGGTCACGTGATTTTGTAACTGTAGGTCCGATTTTCAATTTTTTGTTTAAAGATGCGCAAGACTCGGAAGAAAAACGTCAACGAGCGGCAGGGCGCCATCCATAATTATGCGTTTCCGAGCAATCGGAAAAATCGTGGAGGGGGGGGGGGGGAGCATAATGGCCCCCCGGCCTTATTAGGGTTAACGAAATATTTGTTTCTCATAACTTTGAGACTTAAAATATTAATAACATTTGCAGTTGGATTGAAGGGTCTTAAACCCAAATGGGTTTATTACATAATATTTGGTAGCCGTGGAAGAGCTACATTGATGAAGTCAGTATAGAATTGGTGATGATGATTACAATGATAACGATGGCAATACTGATGCGGGTAACGATGATATGATGATGATATGATGATGATGGTGGAGGTGGTGGAGGTGGTGGTGGTGGTGGTGGTGGTGGTGGTGGTGGTGGTGGTGGTGGTGGTGGATATAACTTTGTTGATAATGATGATGGTAGTAACTGATGATGGTAGGAATGATGATGACTATGTTTATGCCATTGATGATGGTGATGGTGATGATGATGAGCAATTAATGAAGTTTCAGTTTGTTATGGATCACATAAGTACTGTTTTGAAATATACACATCAGATTTATTTAGCAAATATCTAAAGTAATAATAATGTACAGACGTACTGCTTACCTATGTAATGCACAACACATGTTTGGCCAGCCTGTGGGTATGTCCTTCCTGAGGTCAAACGAAAAGACGGTAAATTTAGATATAGGAGAGAGAAAGAGAGAGAGAGAGAGAGAGAGAGAGAGAAAATAGAAAGACACCATTGACCCTCCCCTTAATTGCAGGATCCACGCTATGCTACTACGTCACAGACATAGAGACGAGTATAAAATGATTGCAAGAAAGAGATCACAAATTGGACGAATGAATGATATCCATACAACTATACACACGAACGCGCCATGCCTAATAGATGTAACAGATCTCATGGGGATGATTAGAATACCATTGCCGCTAGACACTGTGTCTCAAACCTATTCTTCCCACTGAATGTAACTTAGCGGGCTCCCTTTCTTTTTGTTGAAAAAACGAACGAATTCTGTTGTAGATGTACAGCAAGAACAAAAACATCAACAATAAATTTAAAAAAAACACAACAGCAGCAAGCAAGCAAGCAAGCGATCAAGTAAACAGACACACGAGCGAGCAAAAACAAATACAAAAACCAACCTCTAAAAATTAACTATTAAAGGTACTATGTCCCTTTTGCAGCCAACCTCAAATTCTGTAGAACTTTGCAGGAATTATGAATATGGCATGTATGTCCTATCTGTGAAATTTAAACGTTAGCAGTGTCCTCATATTCAAATTATGCAAGGAAACCTGTTTACTTGCTAGACTTCACTGTCAGACACTATTGAGTGACTGGCTGGCCTTTTTCCTTCTTTGGTAATAACATACATGAAAAGAGTTGTAAAGGATACATGAGCATTTGTCTACATCAATAACCCACTTCTTGTGATGGCCAAGATTAAACTGATTAAATCTTTGCGCAGCATACAACGTATGACCATTCGGTACAATTGTCTGAAAATCAAGACTATTACTTTTGGGCTCTACAGCCCTAAAGTCCATTTGACAACTAATAGTCATTATTTTCCCACTTGAAGACATTTTCAAGCCCCACCTTTTTTAGGGAAGTTCTAAATTAATATTATCTTTCAAATGCAGTTGGAATTTAACTTTTTCATTTTTTGGGCCTGCAAATGGGATATAGTACCTTTAAAGGAAACAGCTTAAAATAAAGATATCTTAACTGTAACAATATTGATGGAAATGGTCGCATTTTTACTGCGATTTTTGTTTGACGATTCCTGTTTGTTATGTTGTTTAAATCATGGTTCGCTATGACAAAAATTATTTACAAAGGCAAAAAGATAGGGGCAGAAGTACAAGAAAAAGTTTAATACAATTAGTAGTAGTAAGTTGAAACAGAAGGAGATGAAGAAGAAGTAGAAGTAGAAGAAGAAATAGGAGAAGTAGAAGTATAGAAAGAGAATCAGAAGAAGAAGTAGAAGGAGTAGTAGAGGTAGAAGTAAAAGAAGAAGTAGGAAGTAAAAAGAGAAGTAGAAGTAGTAGAAGTAGAAGTAGAAGCAGAAGTAAGAGTAGAAGTAGAAAGAGCAGTAGAAGTAGAAGAAGCAGTAAAATCATGAAAAGAAGTAGAAGTAGAAACAGCAGTAGAAGTAGAAGTAGAAGTAGAAAGAGAATTAGAAGTAGAAGTAGAAAGAGAAGTAGAAGTAGAAGTAGAAAGAGAATTAGAAGTAGAAGTAGAAAGAGAAGTACAAGTACAAGAAGAAATGGAAATAGAAGTAGATGTAGAAGCAGATATAGCAGTAGAAATAGAAGAAGCAGTAAAATCATGAAAAGAAGTAGAAGTATAGAGAGAAGTGGAAGTAGAAGAAGCAGTAGATTATGAAAAGTAGAAGTAGAGATAGAAATAGAAATAGAAATGGAAGTGGAAGTAGAAGAAATAGAAGTAGAAGTGGAAGAAGAAATATAAGTGGAAGTAAAAATAGAAGTGGAAGTAGAAGCAGAAGTAGAGTGAGAAGTAGAACTAGAAGAAGAAGTAGATTATGAAAAGTAGAAGTAGAAATAGAAGTGGAAGTAGAAGTAGAAGTAGAGTGAGAAGTAGAACTAGAAGAAGCAGTAGATTATGAAAAGTAGAAGTAGAAATAGAAGTAGAAATAGAAGTAGAAGTAGTCAAGAAGTAGAAGGAGAAGTAGAAGAAGAAATAGAAATAGAAGTGGAAGTAGAAGTAAAATCATAAATTTAAGTAGAATGGCGGGGCAAGCCGAGTGCAAGGAAAAGGCTGCTTTCTTGTATCGCTTGCCATTATATACATCATAGTAACAGAGTAATAACATAGACTATGATGAAAAATAATTAAATCGAAAAGAAGAAAAAAAATCAAATTCATAAAACATACATAAGGTTTTCTTTATTTGCAAAATTTACCATATGGAAACGTTCATAAAACAAAAATGTAATAATGAATTAATTTTGTTCTACCAAATTGTTACACCAAATTTACATTTTTTACAACATGTATATGAATTTACAGAGTCTCTGAAATAAGTATGATACTCATAAAATCGTTCAACCCAAATGTTAAACTATTACTGGTTAGTCACTAATCGTCTTTAGATGTAGCGTTCAAGTTTCAGCATTAACTTTTAACTTGCACAAATGTGCACCATCTCCACTTAATGTAGTTTAAGGCGATTCCCCACAGTCAATGCGATTTTCTTTACGCGTGAATAGCGGGATACGTGCCCCTTCACTTATTCTTATATGGGAGGAAGGGGCCTCCCATTTGGCATACCAATCAAGTCCTGATCGGTGTCAGATGTTACACCACCACGGCGCGCGCAAAGTGCAAACCAAATATTAATCCCGCCAAATAATTCCCGCACGTCGGACGACATGCCCGTATGTTATCGTCTGCCGATACCAATTGCTCGACGAAAAAAAAAATCAACTTTCGCTCCCTACATCCGATGAAATGAAAATGCAAGAATATGATGGATGAAAAAAATAGGGGCAGGTTTGAAGGTTCTTACCGTCCCCTGCTCTCTGGATCTTTTTTTCCAAGACCATGGCGGCGCTGCTTAAGTTCCCTGGCGCTAAGCCGGTGTTTCCTCACGGAGATATTCTGGGCCCGAGTCCAGTACGGGTTTGTCACTCGGGCTCGACTCAGGTCACTCGCGAATCGGAGAAAAAAATCTTACCAGTATGGCTGAGAAGGTTTCTAGCTAATTCTGAGGAAGGTGGCCTTTGCCCAAGACGTGCTGAAGACGCGCTAAAGAACTATAATATGCTCACTTGTGGATCTTATAGAGCAGCTAGACACAGGTGCCATTCATACTCTCTGATTGTCGCGGCGTGTAGGGTAGAAATAATTTCGAGAGCGACTTGACGCGAGGCGGGTTTGTTGAAAGTATGCGCGCAATGCAACTTTAGTCTTTCTGCGAGTGACTGTTTTCATTTGGACACAGATACAACACGTCGCAGAAAGAGCATCGATCTTGGCATCAAATGGCCATGTCATCCCTCCCAGCACATCTCAGCTCGCGCTAAATGGAGGTTAGCGATTTACTGGGGGTGGGGTGTAGCAGTGCCGGATATTAAGGGGATGGAGGCATAATTCCGAGAAAAAAATTACACAACTAAGGGAGCAATTTTTGTTGTATAAACTACCTAAATTTTACATTATGGGTATAAAAAGGTGTGGTGCGTGCCGGATGTGCGCCTAAAATCCGCTACTCGGATGTGGCCCCCTTGCGGTGGACTCGGGAAGAGGGGCGGCATCGGGTGCATTTATCACTCCCTCCCCTGCATGCTTAAACGCGCGCAATCAGATCGTTAACCCATCCATTATAAGTGTCTGATGCCACTCCCCCTAAAACTTAAACAGGTGCTTATCAGTAATGATGAATGCCAACTATTAACAAAAACGGTCACTCCGCCCCTCTTTATAGCATGAGGCTGGATACGCCTCTCCGTGTTTTCGAGAAGCGGGGATGGCATCGCAATGGTTGCGAGGAGGTATGCTTACAATCAAAGGAGGAGGGAGGCGAGATGAAGGGTACCTTCTTGAATTCAGTGACATGATAGGGGTTCAAGGAGAAAGGCCTCATGTAAGTACTATGTGGGCCAGAAGGAGAGGGGGAATCTTATCATAACCCTCTAATAATGATTTTCAGGGCTGGAGAAAATATCCTATATACAATGTAGTTTCGTATACAGTACGAAACCTATGATTATCCATCACCATCCCTTTGCCTTCCAATGAATATCACTCCCACCCCTCCGACCCTCTCTGAACCCCCTCCCACACCTTGCTAACACCCCCTCCCATACCCCCTCTACCACCACAATGTTACCCCTTACCGGGACGGTCTGCCTGTTGGTGTGAGAGTATTTATGTCATGCTGTTTGAAAAATGTGCTTGCAGACATGTTGTTACGTCGTCAATGTGTAATGTATATAATAAATAAGTCAGCTCCCCCATAACAACATACTGTATATCACGAAGAGTTGTGCCTTATCCCGGGATACAAAACATACCGTATAATGTAGTGGCGTCGCTAGAGAATGGGGGGGGGGGGGGGGGGCTATTTAGATCAAATTTGAAATTTGGAACAAATATCCACATTTCCTGCATTATGATGTAATTGTTGTTCTGATTTTTGTTTCTTCATAATTTTTTGTTTTCATAGGTTTTTATTCATTTCTCTCATAAAGAAAAATTGTACATTATTTATAACATTGTATACAAAATAACAAAATAATTTTAACATAGGTCTTAATAAATTTGCCAATGAAATTTTACATTTACATACAAAAGTTACACATTTACAGATGAAAAATATTCACATAAACAAAATTATATTTTCACCAAAAAAACCCCTAATTTTTCGACCAGTTTGATTATAAATCTCAAATTATTTCTTTTCCACAATATTCTGTTAACCTATATTCCTCTTCAATTTCCTTTAGAGACAACAAAATATATATATATATATATGTATATATATATATATATATATATATATATATAAAAAGAGAAAGAGCTAGAAAACACCTACTACCCCTCGCCCCACACAACATTTAAACACATAACAGGTACAACAGTATACAAAAAACACACCAACATAGAACGAACAAACAAACAAAAGTAAAAGAAAAAGAAAAGAAGAGAAAAAAGAAGAAGAAAAAAAAAGTAGAGAAGAGAGGAGGGTCTGGAAGTTGTATATTGAGAAAATTAAAAACTGAAAACATTTATTCTAAGCTTTCCAAGGCTTCCCATTTCCTTAAATGAATTGAAAGTGTGTCTCTTTCCAATGAAAGTTTTTTCTCTTCATTTCTATTTTCCAACAATCTATATTATATTTCTTTTGCTTTGGAGGGTTTCCCTTTTCTTTACTGTGGAAAATCATATATTTAATCAAAATCAAAATGTGGTTCAATAATTGCTCTGTTTTAAAAGTAGTGTCATCTATTCCTATATGAATTTCTTTCCAGGATAATTTCTTCAGAATTGGTAAATTAAGTCTATCTCCACATTTCCCCCAGACTTCCTTTATTGTATTACATTCAAAGAATACATGGTGATAAGTTTCTTCAAAATTTTTGCAAAATGAGCACAACCCATTTTCATGGAACCTGAATCTATGTAAATGATGATTTGTATACACAATATTATGCAATAGTTTGAACTGAAATTCTCGCAGTTTACTACTTAAGGTACACATCCTTGGTTGAACATAATTATATCTTTTCTACTTCTTTTCTTGGAATATTGTAAAGTGTCATTAAATTGCCGCCTGCCGAGTTTGTATCTACATTCTTTTTTAATTTGACTCTTATATACCATTTTTGCAGTTAAATCTTCAAATGTAAACACTTTCTTTGAAAAAATAAATTCTAAACTAAAGCCAGTGTGAATTGAATTGACGTGAATTGACATAATGGAGGTGCCGTGGTATCGTGGTTCATTCACTTGCCTCTTAATCATGTGGTTAAGGGTTCGAATATCAGCTTGACACTGAAGTCCTTTGGAATGGAAGCAATGAATCCACACTTGCCACTCTCCATCCAAGTGTAAATGGCTACCTGGAGTAATAATAGTTGTAGGGCCCTCAGGATCAAACAGATTTATTATCGTTATTATTATTAATACCTTTATCATTATTATCATTATTGCTTTGGTGACAGATAAGCTGATAAGCTTCACATTTGATGAAGCGATTTGAACTTTCTTGAGGAAATGTATCATGGGGAAGACTTATCCGCACAACTTTAACGATGTTCTTGAAAAAGATAAACCTAACAAACATTCCGAATGTTCAGAAAAGCCGTCTCAAAAGGCAGAGCGCTCTCAAACTTTCTTTTATTCAAAACAGATGACGCCCATACATGAACAATATTTTGTTATAGAAGTAAAGTACAAAAGTATCTTAAATTTCACGATTTCTTGATTTTTCGATGTTTAATCGATTTTTTAATCTTTACATCTACTACTGCATAAAGTTTGAACGAAGCCCCCAAATGCTTTGTCCTTCAAGGAACGATAATATTTTCGGACTATAATCATGTTCATGTCTGAGGATTCATTCGACACCGATAAGTAAACAAATCAAATCATTTATTTTCCATTGTATAAACAACATGACATTAAAATTAAACGACATCATTATTGGGATTAAAGTTGCGGGATCATAACTTGCACAAAAAGGGTTTGTTAGAAATTACAAATGTCTTGTGTTGTTGGTACTCTTAGATAATAATTCGTGATTTATCATCATGCTCATCGAGCTTAATTCGAATGATTCTCAACAAAACGACCTCTTAGTTTTGTTGTTGTTATCGGTGTTTCATTATCTCATGCAAACTATAGACTTGTGTTGAAAGTTGGAAACAGATATTTCCGCAATGCCTATGCCGCTTTCAGAGCGTAATAAGAAAACCAATGTCCGATTCGGTCTCAGGGCCCGTGCATGACTAACGAGCATGACATGGATCGTCAAGGAAAACACAAATTACCCCCAAATCCATAACTATCGTATAATCTAGTTTAAGTGGTATAAGCTGTCTTGTTTAAAGTGGTTTGCTACAATCTGCCCTACCCCCTCAAAGGTTATAACTATTCATCCCATTGCACACCATCCCGTTAAATCGATAAAGGAATTCAAATAAAATCAGTGAGCCCTATATGTGTGTAATACTGGTGTCCCCTTGAAGATGATGCAATGACAAGGGTTTTCTTACAAATAAAAGATTTAAAACTGTGCGAAGAAAAGAAGGATCATGTATTATGCATCGGGTTTGTTTTCTTTTGATTGTGACCCAAGGAGAGATTAGCCACCATAGCGTAAGGTGTTTTACTTTTCTGTTTCATGCAATAACTTAAAGGTCTTACAACAAATTATTTGTATCCTCCTTCTCAATTCTTCCTCCCTCACTCACTTACTCTCTTTCCCTCTATCTTTCTATCTGTCTTTTTCTCTCTCATTCACTCTGTCTATATTTCTATTTTTCGTTCTTTTTGTCTCTCTTATATTGTCATTCACTTTCTCACCTCACCCCTTTTAGTAGTAGTAGTAGTAGTAGTAGAATGGTTTTTTATTAGACAACTTCAAAATGGTAGCCCGAAAGCTAAATTACATTGCAAGTTTTACATGTATTAAAAAGCATTTCAACAAACTTAGATATAGACAAGTACACATAATACACAGTCGGGTAGATCATAACTAATTACATATTCCCTATTTGCAAACAAATTGATGAAACAAATAAAATAGATTCGGCATTATTTTGTTTTCCGTAATCATTGTTAAGTGAGGAATATTCATATTTTAAATATAAATTGAGGCTGATTAATGGAGTTATAACAAGTAAGTACTGAAGATTTGTTTAATTTTGAACCGTAATGCGCATTGAATGTCTATAAAGCTACACAATATATAAGGATTTATCATAGAAACATGATTAAACAATTACCGAAAGGGAGAGAAAAGGTTAGGGAGAGAACGATGTAGAGAGAGAGAGTTAAAGGTATTACAACATTTTGGGAAATTTTGAAAAATGGGTGGATAGTGATTCTTTTACAATTTTAATATATTTGGATGCCCCTGTGGATGAATTAAAAACACCAAAAATTTTAGCCCCTAAAACACTTCTGCTTTCGAGAAAAATTGAATATAAAGATTTACCGGTGCTCCCGGTAAATTTTGATAAATTTCAAATAGCTCCTACGGCCGTACAATGGTAGCTGCGACCATGAAAATCTCAGAGTATGTAGTTGTGGTATATAATTTCCGAACGAGAATAGCTAATTAGTCAATTTTAGTAAATAAACAATGTTTTATAGCTTAATTAATATCTTGACCTTGAGAGGGAGCTATTCAACATAAAGTGTTTATTATTTACAATATCATAACTTTTCCCCACATTTCTATTTCTCTAAATTATCCATCCATCTTTGTCTCTCTGTATCTCCGGCTAATATACCCCACATTCTCTATTTCTCAACGTTCCTTCTTTAACCCTTTCTCTATACCCTACCATTCCCCTCCCTCACCCCACTTTCTCCCAATTTACCCTTCCCTATCTTCTCCATCTGCCCCTTCTCTCCCTATCGGGTTCCTCCACACCCCTACTGTATCTCTGGCTTTCTATCCATTAGCTCAAATCTTTCTTTTTCCCGTCATTAATACGTGATTATATTTCAGCAAAGGTCTCTTAATTTCAAAGCTTTTTTGTTAATCTGTTCGTTAATTTTATTCATATTATTATTTCTTTGATTAAGTTTGTTTTTAAATAGCTGTTATCCATTTGAATGCCTTATCACGAATCGTATTGCTCAAATAAATGATGATAATCAGCCCTCGAGATTGATTGCATAGATTATTAGGTTATTCATATTTTGAAGTGTGTATACTGTGATTAGATATATGCGTTCAGTAAACAAAATGATAATGTAATACCTTTTCCGGGTTGAGCTGCAAAAAAGAAAAGAAAAGGGAGCTGGATATAGGTAGATCAAGAAAGAAGGAGAGAGAGAGAGAGAGAGAGAGAGAGAGAGAGAGGGAGAGGGAGGGAGGGAGAGAGAGAGAGAGAGAGAGATAATGAGAGAGTAGGGGGGAAGCTTATTTGGATGCCAACACCTTAAAGAGACAATTATTGTCTGTTGGTGCCCTTCTTTTATCAAAAACAAAAGAATGTATAAATGATTATGAGTTTGCGACCTTCTGTCTCTCAGCAGACGATACACGGTGGTCACAACTCGATTATGAATCGATATCATATTTGTGACCTGTGTTTTATTTTCTTATCCATTATTATTATCAATTTCATTCCAAACTGCTCAGTTTATAGACACACATACCCTAATTAATGTTGAGGTTATATACAATCATTATGAAATATTGTTGTCCTGAGCTTATTTTAATTCATTTCATAATATGTAATAATTTGATTGTACTGCTATTCATATATTTATGGATCAGACTCGCAAATTAATTTGACTTCGTGTACATTATTTCTACCATTGTTATCTAGGTTTGTATTTTTATTTTTATTTGAAATTCAACCTCACGTTTTGGTTGCAATACAGAAGTAATGATAATAATGATAAAACTAATCTTATCATTTTAGAGTTTTATGGACGGGAGCTAAGTCTTTGAAGGCCAATGAAAAACAAATCGACCTATTTATCATATCGTGAATCAACTTTCGTCACACTTATTCTGTTTTATTCGCCATTGGTATATCCCGTCCTTTAATCACCATAGCTGTTAATAACAATTACATTTATTCGTAATTCTTCTCTCCGGAGATTTAAAGACGACGAAATGTAAAACAAATCCTACTAAATGGCACACTCCCGTAACTCACGACATGTTTCTATTTCTGTCACATGATCGATAATAAGAGTACTTTCAAATATGTTCGGATTGATCAAAAAAACCTCTTGAGCCCATGTCAGCTCTGCCTAGACACTGGAAACATGGTGCTCAACACAATGCCAGCAAAGCTCAAGTGGTAATACCGAGACGATTTTAGAACATCCTTTAAAGTGTTCAAACAATTGTAACGGGGACAAAAAGACTAAGGGGGCTTACGAAGGGTGAACAATTGCCCCCAGTCCCTGTGGACCCATTGTTAAAGCGAGGATAATCAAATAAGTGGACCCCATTCTCCGCGCCTCGCCGCACAGCGTAGACAACTTCAAAACACCCCTGAAAATGGTCACTAACGTCTGTCAATGAATAACCAAGTTTATCATATTTTATCAGTATAAGTGTCCACTAGATAGTATAAACCGCTGTAGAATGTAACTGATATAGTTGTTAGCAAATACTTGCAAAAGCTGATAAGGCGAAGTGGGCGTAGCACGGTATAACAGGGGTTAGATAGAGTCAGACGACACTGCATAGCAACGGCCTAGCAACGGGGAAGCGAGGAGGTCACAGATCGGGGACTCAAAAGCCCCACACTACGATCGATATGTGGGACTGTGCCGTATGAACTGCTGTGCGCGAAACTTTAGCAAAGTGAACGGCGTGTACTCTCCCCTACACTACTAAGGGTATTCCACTTGTTAACGGGTTATTTCGTGGATTTATTGCTAAATTGGTGGAAATTACTGGGACAATTGTGTCATAAAGTGCTACTTGTTCTCACTTCAGCCGTGAATTACTTGGATATTTATGTTGAAGCGAACTTTGTAACTATTCAACTGCGGGCATGAGTACACTTTTCGCTGCATATGTACTGTACAATGTAGACAGATGTAACACCACATTGGTAAGTTATAGACAGTGTCTTTCGATCATCGTATTCGTTATCTACACACATATATATATATATATATATATATATATATATATATATATATATATATACATGTTTTTATCTGACATACTATCTAATTATGTGTGTATGAACATTTCTCTACATGTTTACCAAACGTATGTGTCGAGATTCATGTTTTTTAGATACTTATTCTGGATTCAATAGGTTATTATGTAGGTGCCATTTTAATTTCCCATATCACACTTCAGGGCCTCATCTAATAAAGAGTTGATATTATTCACAACTATTTTGCGATTCATTTCAATCGCATCAATGTACTTCAGAGATAGGGGACTGTAAACTTGTGATTGATTAGATGACTTGATAATGATTTGGATCAATCGCAACTCTTTATAAGACGGGGCCCAGATCTATAAACATTACATCCTGGAGTTGCAAGGAGCACAATATGCCCAGCTAAGTTTACAATTAAAAAAAAAATCCGTTTCAGAAGTGAAGGAAACAATAATCTGGCATACTGTCCTTATTTCAGACAAAATGTGAAAACTATAACTTAATATATTAACCATTGCATTATAGTGTCAAATTTATATTTGCAGTATGAGCTTATCAGCAAAGTAGAAATTAAAAATAATCTTACCTTTTCCAATTTCAATGTTCATACTATTTTATAAACAAATTATCTTCAAGATCATGTTATAACATTTTTAAGAGCTCACACATAATCTTATCATGGAGTTCCATTAAAAATGTTTGATAAAATTTTAATCAATATTGATATAGGTATTAACATTTGAATACAGTCTTTGAACACGTTTCTTAAAGGTAAAGACCAGTATTGGAAACGCCCCAATTTCAAAAACTGAAATGGAAGCTCTCATTACCAATCATGTGAAAGAATATGTTTTGACTAATACATGATGATAAAAAATTTGCCGGGAAACCGCCTACTAATTCATATATTTGGTAAATTTGTTTCTCTCATGGTCTGTGAGAGATATAGGGTAGTCCCATATACATCTTTCTGTGTATAGTGCTTGTAACTTTACGAAGAATGGGCCAAATTTCTTATCATTTTGATGATTCCAGAACCTTGCAGATGCTAGATGCTAGATGATCAACCTTTTCTGATCGATTCCATAACGTTTCTTTCACAATGCAATCGCATGACCATAACTGGTCTTTACCTTTAAAACGATAAAAAGAAATGGCCATTATAATATTCATTCTGTTCTAAACATATAATTTCCGTCTAAACAAATATAGTTTCCGTGCTTAATACATTATAGGGTGATTTAAAAAGAAATCATTATTACATGTACATACAGTCGAACATGCCCTAGTCACCACCTGTATAGAAAGACCAACTGAACAATTTTTGTTCCCTTTGAAAGTGGTTTATCATTGAAATGTATCATAGGAACCTGTAGATAAAAAACACCTGCTCATAAAGACCATTTTCGTTGTCTCCCTTGAGTGGTCTTTTAACATAGGTTTCACTGTATATTAGAAACCATACCACTGATATGTATTTGTATACGTGCAGGTATATACGATAATGAACACTCAGTCATCTGATTGACATATACGACCATAATATTATAATATTTTTAATCACCGCCATCGCGTGCTACTCACATCGCTTCTCGTTTCCCTACTCAATAGCTCTCGTATATTAATTTCCCCTTTTGAACGCGATGTTTTGAGCTCCCATTGTTGTTCAGCATCACAATACTCCACACATCTGCAGGAGGCCATATTAAATATAAATCGAATGGTTTCGGAATCTCATTTTCGAAAGAGGATGCGTGGTTTTCATCACCATGGCATGCGTGCAAACTGTATGGCATCGTAATTTTGTTGATTAAAATTGACGCATCACTTGGCGGGGTTGGTATTGTACGGAGGCACGAAGTAGCAATTATGATGGATTTGTTTGAGGGATGTCGAGATATGACATTGTTGTCGGCAATGATTTTCGAATGGTAAATGTAAATCCAATATAAAGCTGGTTTGATGTCCATGTATATAAGTTTATGTGTATATAGGAAATACATAGGAAATACATAATTTAGGCGGTTTTCTAAATCTGTTGCTTCTTTCATTATGAGAGTTGAAATACAAAGTAGTAATCAACTCAATAATATTCAATTCAATATGGTTTATCAATATTAAAGTAGTAGTCCAGGTACTAATTGCCATTTAAAATATAAATGTTGTCATAACATATGATCATCGATTAAAACAAAAAAGGCTATTTTAAGTCCATAATCATTACAAATCAAAATAACAATTCGAAAGAATTATGATTATAATAATGGTTATTAATAAACCCCTGGAAACAAAACGTTCATAATAATCAAGCAAAATAGAAGTAAAGTTAGTTATACATTATTATGCAGTATAAAAGACACAAATATTTAAATAGTTATTCCAAAATACATACTTTTACAATTTTGTAATACAAACACAAAGGAAAATTGTGATGTTAAACAGTTAATGACCGATTTGGAGTATTAATTGGAATCTTTTGCATCTAGAATGTCTTGATAAAATCAATCAAAAGAGAAAATATACATGATTGTAAAGACATACATGTATGTTTAGCTTTTATCGTACTGTAATAGTGTCCATTAAGCAAAGAGCATTCCTAAACACTAATTGAAAACACACCAAAAGAGGTTACGTGTATTTTGTTTAATGACAGTAGGCCCCTACCTAGAAAATGTCGCAAAGAACTAAATGATTTTACTCAATAATTGATCCATGTGAGGTACATACAAAAGAAAAACAAAATGATTGCGTTTATCTTATATTTTTGTCATTCTAATGAAAAAGCGAAATATACTGGCATTTTCTGTCTTGTAGAAATGAAATCTAGCCTACACTTTTATTTTTATTTTGGTTCAATCGGAATGTAATTATGCTTCACCGCTTTTTGTATATATCTTTTCTTCTCGTAATTATTTTTTTCTTAAATAGATATCTATATAAATTATATTATGTTTCGTATCTCTTTTTGTTGATGTTGACAGGCTTGAGAAACTAACACGCTCCGTCTGGGAATATTCAAGAAGAGGGGAGTACCTCAAGAGGAAGGGGACTTTCCCCGGACAGCCAGTTTCCGCGTAAGTAGGACACGCATGTTACAAAGGTTACCGAAGGGTGATTAAATGAGGTAGATTCATAAACATAATATCATAAACTTGTCATATTTTATTTGCTTGCGGAAAATGACAACCAGTTCATGTTTTTGTGTCTTTCTTTTTGATTCGTTGTGTTGGCCCAGACATTGAGGAAGAACTGGCATCATTGGGGGGGGGGGGGGGGGGGGGGGGGGTAGGGGGGCACTGGTCGCAATGGTGCATGAACTACAAAGAACGATTGGGCGTGCATGAGTGGGTCCTTCTTATTTCCCTTTCTCCCCTTTTCCCTTTTCCTCATCTCCTTCTTTTAATTTTATTTGTTTGATCCTTTTTCGTCATGCGATAGTGGTGGTGTTTCGACTTGCCCACAATATGCCCTTTACTGTAACAACGTCAGTGTAATGGGTTGCCAGCTTTATGTTTTTTGAAATTGGATTCTTGCTCGCTTTATGAACTCACATTTGAAAATTCATAAACATAATCTTCGTGTGAGCCATTGTTTGCCGTTGTTTCAATAGTGATGATGTTTATCGTGACCCTTTTCTTTTCGATTTTTATCTTTGATAGGTTCAGGAACTTGACACTCTTACCGGCCAATTATTTTGTTAGAAGTGGATTTTATAATGCCAACCCCATCTTAGAGGATATATTACCAGAGTGGCCTTATTATACCTTTCACGATCTTTGGATAAGCGTTTGTTCAAGAAGTGCACGCGAACCCAGTGACTCGACCCAATAAAGGATCATTTAAATTTTTTTTTGGACGGATCTAATTGAGCGAATTATAAGCACCGCAGCATTTATCATCTCCAACGCACATCCCTTCGTGGAAACCTATATACAATTTGGACTAACAACAGGCCTAGAAACTCTCCAAGAACATCGATCGTGTTCAAAGAAAGGACTCTGAATGAATTGCTGAAAACCACTCGAGATCTCGCCAAGAACAACATCGTTAATACTTCGCGCAAACAGTTATCCCGTCGAAATGATGTTCTTTATTAACTGTTCTGTATGAAGAACTCTTGAGAATCTTCCTAGAAGGTTATAAAACGGCAATTTAGGTTGGAATGATTTGGAGCCACAGAACTTTCATTTGTGTTTCTTTGCGTGCGAGGAGTCATTAGTCGGGACCTGAACGGAAGGAACTCAACGGATTAAAGTTTTCATGACCGTTCCAAGTCTGTTGTCAAGTTTATAGTACAATGAAGGTAAATCTTGGATCTTAAAAGTCACTATTCCCGAGCTTCAGAAAGTCGTTCATTCGTCATCGATTGGCATGTGATACGCTACATGGCATTTGACTAACAGTAAGGATACGTCATTTTCTGAACGCGGTCGATCATTAATGTTCAAGGTCGAGCATTGTGAATCCGAATGAGTTTTCAACCGCCGCATCAATATTTGTAAACACCTAAACCAGAAAATCTTTGTCCAATTTCGCGCCCTAAATTTAACAATTGTCAGTGGTTTCGGTTTTTTTGAAATACGAAGGATATGAAATGCGAGTCAAGTGAGACTAAACTTTGGTCATCCTCAATTTTGAGGCCTTTTGAATGTGTTAGACCACAGTTCACCCTTGTTTTTATTTCGGAGAAAGTGCTAAGTGTTCTCGCTTTGAGGTGAGTTACATCAACGTTTAACTATGGATTAGCAGAACAGCTTCATAACAAACAGCGGTCGGATTTTTCAATTTGCATTTCATTTCGTTAGAGATCCTTCGGCCTTTGTAAGCCCTTTTCATCTAATCAAAATTCTTCTGTTGTGGTGGAAGGTGCCTTTATACAGAAGACAAACAGACTTGTTAAACAGTAATTGTATTGCGACCACTTGTGACAGATCGTCGTAACTATTTGATTAGGAAGCTTTGTTTGATCAGTCACCAAACCCTCCAAGGAGACGCTGATTTTTCGATCGAAAAGAGATAATGAGCTTTAGTCGCAATGTTGTCCAACTTTTCGACGCACTCGACAATGAATTTAGTGGCTCCTCCGATTCTAGATCTACAGCTGTAAACAAAATGACGAGTTACTAGCCTCTACGCTGCCCGTAACAAAACATTTCATAGATAATTTTGATTAGAATATTTCGTCTGGAATTTGGAAGTGAACATGGCGACTTCAACGAATCAGAGACCTCGTAGCGTAAGCGCTCGGATGGGGAGGGGGCTCCGAGCCAGTTGGAACACGACAATGCCGCTCCGAACGGGACAGGTTCATCCTTCGGAATCGCGCGGATACATCGTCGATTCGAACTTTATGATTCCTCGAGTGCGCGACCTCGAATCTGAATTCCAACGCGAGTTGGGAAAATGCCTCTTCGAAAGGACGGTACAGTTTGCAGAGGAAGGTGCTATATCGGGAAGCATTCCCACTCAAGTTAACGTTAATAATAACAACAATAACTTAAAATCGAGATCTTCTAATCGCTCAGTTTCTGTAGACGATTTAAGTTCGTTCACCGGAGGCGGTACTGCGAATCGGGAATCGATGCGATTTTTCGATAGTAGACGATATTTGAACGTGAAGCCGACACGTTGTACGTCTGCGCTTGTGCAACAAAATGAACGTTTTGATACGTACTTTGTAAGGGGCAGTCTGAACAAGTATGCAGTAGCCCATGCGATGGGTCCCATTTCGTCACCGCATCCACCCATTGAGAAGGATGTTCATCGAATGCAGGTAGCGAATAAAGACAGTCTTAGACCTTTCTCCGTCCGAGAGGCTTTCACGGACAAAGAGAAGGAAGAAGCACCTGATGAGTATTGGAAGCAGAAAGCGATTGAGGAGAAGGAACGTTTGGAAGCGGAGGAGGAGGCGAGAATTGAGGCGGAGGAGCGGGCGAGGGTAGAGGCCATCGAGAGGGAGAAGCGAGAGCGGGAAGAAGAGAAGGCGAGGTTGATAGTCGAGGAGCAAGCGAGGAAGGAAGCGGAAGAACTGTTAGCATTCGCGCGGGCAGAGTCGGAAGCGATCAAAGCACAACTCACCGAGGTCGAAAAGGCGCGCGATGAGGCTCTCACCAAACTCGAAACGCTATCAACGATGTCGACGACTGGAAAAGGGAAATCGAAGGGAAAAGGCAAAGGGAAAGGTAAAGGAAAGAAAGGGAAAGGAGGTGGGTCAGATTCAATGTCGGAAGTCAGCGGTTCATCAAAGAAAAAGGCGGGAAAGAAGATTCTGAAAAATGGCGAGGCAGACGACAACTCGAGTACTACGGGAGGGAAGAAAGTTAGCTTCAAAGAGAAACTCACAAGCACAAAGACGATCAGTCCAAGAGAACGAACAAAATCTCCCAAACGTAGTTCGTCGGGCGGGGGAAAGAAGAATAATTTCCCGGGGAGCGCGCGGAGCAAGAGTGGCAGTGCGAAGGTCAAAGGTAAGAAGAAGAAGAAGAAGAAATCGCCCGAGCCTCCAGCGGAGCCCCTTCCCGAACCCGAGCCGGTGAAGGAGGAGCCCCCACCCGTTGAAGACATCACGGAGAAACTCCCGAAGAAGCCTAAACCAATCATCTTGGACGAACCTCCCATGTTCTGCTTGGCCACCGAGTACAAAACACGGCAGCAGATGGTTGAAGAGTGGCTCTACGTCCGTAGTTGTAGCGCATGTCCAACATCCATGCCACTTGCGTGAGTCTTTAGCCTTTTGTCTTTAGTCTGTTGCTCACGATGCGTCATATAATTGTCTGACGTAGCACTGCGTCAGTGACTAGAGGGTCTTTGACGCATCACGTGATTGCAAAATGAACAGTGCACAGATTGCGTTTAATTATTGACGCATGGGCTAACTGTCTTCACAGGTTTGATTGGCGCAGATAATAACGCAGTGCAAAGGACGCCATAGTAGTCGCTATAGAACTCCATTTACTTTATGAAAATTACCATTGCCAGTAGATCAAAATGTGTGGTACATGTTTATGATATGTCTATGATATGAGATATTAATGATTTGATCAAAACTAATAAAAAAATAAAATAAGTGATTGAAACGACTTGTCTTGGTCCGAGAAAGAATTAACTTGTTAAAACTGCTGCTCAGCAGAAGTTTTTTTCTCACTAACTTTTCTGCTTGGACAGAGAAAGTGTCACTGAGTAATCAGAATTCTAATGATGACAAAATCATTTACAATTTGAGGCTTTCGGTAACACCATGTGATAGCCTTACTGTAAAGGCTGTTGATATATTCTTTCGTTAAAAGAATGCGCTCATTGGACATTTAAAGATAAACTTGAGTTCTGGTAAAAAAAAGAAAATAATTTCTCACAGAATCAAATGAAACTTTCACTGAATGTTCAAGATTACAAATAAATTTCATTTGCCAAACAATTTTGGTAGAAAATGTACACTGGCTGAGTAATGAGCATAGAAAGATTAGGAAATCGAGGTTATAGTAGCCCCGACACCATCTTTCTGTGTATAGTGCTTGTTATTTTACCAAGACTGGGCCAAATTTATTATGATTTTGATGACTCCAGAACCTTGCAGACAGTACACACCAATACTTACATGCTACATGATCAACTTTTTCTAATCTATTCCACACCTTTTCTTTCACAATGCAATCGCATGACCAGAACTCAACTTTATATTTAAGGGATAGGACGGAGTATAAGGGACAGAAACGAAAAGATGATAATGGACTGTTTTTTTTAAATTAACCACTGACACGAGAGTGACGAAACTTTTTAATTTTTTTATTTTCGGTGTTGTTCACACCAAATATAAGATGAATCGGAAGGAGATTGGATCGAGATTGAGAAGGTCATGTCTCCCCTTGACCCACCACTTTTCTTTAAGTATTGCCGAGTCTTCATGAGTATCATATGAGTATAGTATTTGAGATTAGTGATCAAAGGACAAAATTCCCGTTAAATTAAATGTTCAAAAATTATTTTTAAAGAATGGATTATTATACCGAGTATGAGGGCTTGTGATGGAAGAATTTGTCGCTGTAACCTTTTGAATCACGCCCCGGACAAAAATGATGAAACACGAACATGGGTATGTTTTTATTTGTCAGCGGATGTTAAGAAAACCGTTTTTAGTTTGCAGCTAAGTTAAACATTTTTTTGCCGTTGTTAAATATTAAGTTGGTTTGTAGACATGAACAGTTGAATAATGTAATCTTGTTTTATTGTTGCATTCTGTTTATGAATTCAAATGATATTTTGTGTGATGTTAAAACGGGATTATGCAATAAATAATGACTAAAATGATATACATCACGTTTGATATGTTGGCATTAGAAGTGTACCGTTTTTATAGAGAAACAAACCTAGAAGACGTTTTTCATAAGAGAAAATTGGATGGAGAATAAGAACAGGCAAGAGGAGAATAAGAACAGGCAAGAAGAGGGATAAGAAAAGGTGGCAGAAAATTGGTTTTTAGAGGGAATTTGATAATACATGTAGAAGAATGATAGACGAGAGAATATGGTGAGCGCATGGAAAGGTTATGATATATTTTCATGAAAGTGGGAGAGGGAGAGAGAGAGAGAGAGAGAGAGAGAGAGAGAGAGAGAGAGATAGGAGAGAGAAGGAAAAGTGATGGGAGATGGAGGGAGAGAAGGGAAAGAGAGGGAGCTACTTATAACGTAGCTGGCGAGAGAGGGGAGTGCATGTAAAGGCAGAAGGAAAGGAGAAAGGGGGTAGAAGCGAGCAAGAGAAAGAGATAAATAGAAAGAGAGAGAGAGAGAAATAGAGGGGGAAAAGGGGGGGGGGGGGGTGGGGTCGGGAATGAACGGCTACAACATACAGTATATACAATCTACACTTTCTCACTCGTTGTCTCCAGATATACTTGGCGTCACATTTCTTTTTCCCCAACCCAGTTTCTGTACATTCATCCCTTATCTCCTCCCACCCCACACCAATTTTCTCACCTTTTCCTCTGTACATGATCGCATCTACATATACATAATGTACCTTTAAAATATCAAAACGAAGCGAATTTCAATACCCATTCCATAGAAACCATGTTTGGATTGCCGAATACATCATCGTCATGTTCGCACTTTTCAATAGGTAATGGCCAAGGCTATTAAAATTGCCCTGGAGTGATTTTTTTCTCAAGTAGTTGCAATCATGTTTCTATTGCTCGTTTTCGTTCTTTACCATCTCGTATGTCTCCGTTACTTGAATGGCAAGACCCTCCCCTCTCTCAAATCACAATCTTGACAAACTAAAGAATACATAAAACACAAAAGTTATTTCGTTTGTCGTATATGTGAACATAAATGATCTTTTATTTATCACTGACGCTGGCTTTCTCCCAGTTCTTTTTTTATTTATCAACGATCCAATGAATGTCCCAGACAGATTCAAACACAAAAAATTAAATCTTTTTCTTTTATGCAAATGTTCATGTTCTGCACCAAATTTCGTCTTCTGAGAGATCACATTCACGCAATGTATAAGGAAATAAATTCTTACTATTTTTCGCACGCACGCGTACACTAGATCATAACATTCATAGAAGTCCACACTTTGAATTCAGTAAACTAGACAATCATCCTCAATGTCAAACGCATACTACACGCATTCAAGAGATTAATTTCATGTCTCTTATAATATAGATAATTTCTTTTAAATTTGTCCACAATCTTCGCAATTCCGAGTACTTATAAACTGTAATAAAGAAAACATATCTCTCAGAAGACGTAACGTTTGGTGCAGCCGGTACAAATATACATTACATTCCATGGAAAAATTAAAAATCATTTTTTTTCTTCATTCATTACTGGTCAATCATACACGTTAATTACACAATTTAATACAACTGAATCAATTGTTTTGAACCATTTCTAATTCTGTTGAAAGTAGAAATTCATAGACACACATCAAGTTCGTGTAGAGTAGAGTTACAATTTCGTTTGCATATCAATACACAATAGCAAATATTTTTCTAGACAATTTTTAAGGTTCTTGTATCTCTCTCTCATATATTTTCACTTGCATACCCTGATATACAGCTCTCACACATTTTCATAATTGTCATCTCTCTCAAAAAATGTAACCAAAAAATTATAAGTACATTATAGAAGTGATTATACCTTCAATAAAATTCGAAATGGCTCAAAAGTAACAGTAGAGTGCGCTATTTACAGGCGTGCCGATACATAGACACTAGATATATATAAATTTATGTACAGGTACATTTCTTTTCTCATTCATATGAATAATCAAATTGTTTTAGGCTTTTCCAAGCATTCATCAGACATTTTAATACAAAAATAATTTAGCTGGCTTGATTTCTTTTTTCTTTCACGGCTTTCTTTAAGCTTTCTTAAATGATAACTATTTTGATTTTTGCCTATCCAAAGAAAAAAAAAAAAGATATTAAAAATAATTTCCTTAACATTATCACCTCTTTCCTTCCTTGGCTTAAATAATCTGTTCCCTGTGGAACAGATTACAATCACAAATAAACGTTATCAGATCATAATCAAGACAAAAGAAATGTGAGTTTGTGAACAAAATGGACATTTAAGTGAGAAAAAGTCACTTTTGCTGCATCATAAGATAAACAAAGAAATGATGAAATGCGTGACTTTCTCACACTTGAATGTCAAAGTTCAAAGTTCAGGCCTGGTCTATATAGGCCTGTGTACTATGCACACACTGGTAGGTCAATAGTTTTACTCCATAATCCTGGTATCTGTGTTAACATAACATGAAATGACATACAACATCAGAGTATCAGAGCGACAAGCGTGTTTCCACTATTGGAGACTTGCGTTTTTTGTGACATAATCAACGTTTTTCAAAGTTAGTGCACTTATTCACAACACACCTCAATCAGTGTGTGTTATATAAAGATGCTTGCTCAACATACATATATATATAACAAAAGTGCTTCGTCAACTTACAGTACGTCATCTACAACTTGATACTCTGAAGACATAAAATAAGTAGTGACCATATGAAAAGGATAATTTTGAAAGAAAATAAACTATATAAATATCAAGAATGAAATGGTTCTGATTTGTGTACCTTTGCTTCAAATGATACTTAAAAACAGAAAGGAAAACAGCTAGAGAAAGTTTGTGTACAGTTAACTACATGTACTCGTAGTCAGTAACCCAGTGACCCAAAATGGGGGAAAAAAGTCAAATAAATGGAGAAGATGGAACATTACAAACATGAAAAAACAAAACCTAACCGTACATGCAGGTAAAAAGGACATATGCATAGCAAAGGGCATATGCATTCAATTGCATTGTAAGCAGGGTATTATGATGGCATTTCAATAGAGGTTTCATGAAAAGAAGATATTTTCAAGCGCAACACAAATTTACAGGGAAGAATTACGCAATGAATGGTGGTTGGTGCATTTGAAAAGGTCGAAGGTCATCAAACACAACATTTGAAGTGTTCTATTACTGCCCTTGGAGACAAGAAAGAGTAGCTAGGATATTAATCAGACATTGCTTTATCCTTTTTGTTCAATTTAAATAGCCTCGATCACATTAAAACACATGCATAGCTGTTTAACATTGGGTATGAAGCACCTAATTGAGAAATATAAACATATAAAATGAATGGAAAAGGGCTCGGGCTTCAGATCTCCTGTTCCATCTTTTGTTACCATTGCAAAAGTGGGCCGGGGGAATATCTGTTTCATGTCCAGTTACACAGCAGTCACTGGATTCATTTGCGATCTTGCACATTACATCCAAACACCACAACGTTTGCAATTTTCTGGGGACCCATTTACCAGCTGGGTAGAGAGGAGCAATGTAGATTGAAATACCTTGCTCAATGATTAAGTGCCATGCACAAGGACAAATTATGATACACAAATTAATCAAACAGATTACAAGTGAAAAAAATAGTGATGGTGAAAATGGTTGATGTGAGAGAAGCGAAACACAAGTACATTCTCATTCCAGGTCAACTTAGCAAATCTTTGCACATACGCCATCTTATCCTACTCTAAGTGTCCCTCCAAAGTCCACTGATTAAAACAAAAACAAATAAAATATAGTGTACCAACCAAAAAAAGAGACACAAAATCAATAATAAAACAAAATAATAATAATTAAAAAAAAAAAAAGTCTACACAGTACTAACAGATGCTCTATACAAACATTTGGCAAACTCTTGTCATACTACTCAAAATGGCTCCACTACTAATCAAGAAATTTACAATCACATGTTCAGATGATATAATATTTACAACACAATTGCTAGATCTTCCTCAAATTGTAACTCATTCCAACACCTCCCTCACTGCTCATTTGTCACAATCATAAACCAAATGATCAAGCATCTTGCTAGGATGTCCTACTTGCTGCCCGCAATGCCTGCCCCTCTAATTTAGCCATGCCCTTTTTGCTGTAATGAAGTTGGTTTGTACTCAATTAGCCCAGAAAGTGACATAATAATCCTAAGAATAATAATAATCAAATGGTAGTTTTTACATGGCAATATACGGCCTGATGCATTACATCTATTCTTCACATAACTTTGTTATCATAAAGCCATGCCTATTTGTAAATGTTCTGTTACACAGATACAATAATTCAAAACAGCCAATTGTCATGCACTTGGGAACATATCCCATCGGTTATACCTCCTATCCAATCCTCTGTAATATTCAATTGGCAGGTAGAACTATGCAATCTTACATTTTCTTGCATATAGAAGTTATATTGAGATAATGGATAAATTAAAAGGTATAATGCCCAATTGTTTTGGTAAAATGTAAGATTTCCAGCTACCGGAATACATAATACATATTTTTCCATAACAAATTTGTACATTGGTCTACCAGGTAATAGGTTTTGAATAAATAACAAATTCCTATAATCCGAACATTACTTTGGGATAACAACAAATCACAATTCTTTTCATACAACCAACTTGCATGGTCTTCATTTTAATAAGAGTGTGATGTTCAGATGCATCTTTTCTCTGTAATTCAGTGCAAGGAGGGTGTAAGTATAGCAGTAGTCAGAAATGGCTGAATTTGAATTTTTAGGACCAAACTTACATGCCACATGTGTGTAGCAGTCCCATAAACCAATATCTGTGTGCAGTGCTTGTAACGTTCAGGAAGACTGTGCCAGTTTCTTTCCATTTTCATGTTTCGAAAACCTCACAGTCTACTAACAAAGTTTATGTACATGTGCTACACAAAGAACCTTTCCCAATTCCTTTCTTACAGTTTTTATCACATAACAGCATGACCTGGGCATCGTCTTATAAAGAGTTGACATTTATCGCGACATATTTGCATAAGAGATAGGGGACTGCAAACTGGCGATTGATAAGAGGACTTGCGATTGAAATTGGATCTATCGTAACTCTTTACACGACAGGGCCCAGTACCATACTTTATCTTGAAGCAACAAAGACCCACAGAGTTGCGTATCATAAGAAAGTACGTTTTTTAAATGGATTGTTATAAATAGCAATACTAGGCGTTAAATTTCTTCACAGAACAGGTAGATTCTCCAGGGCTTTTTTGAAGCCAGACCATTTCAGCATTGGTAATTGAATACAGTAACATGGTAATGCATTTGGGCTACTTGAAATTGGAATGCAACATGAAAACGTCGAAAACATTTCTTTACAGATTTTGAACATTCACCGAGACTCAATGAAAAGTGAGATTTCGGTCACAGAGGGCTGCTTTTAGAGGCATCGCAATGAGTTTGATATGAAAGGGAGAGATGGAGAGAGAGAGAGGGAGAGAGAGAGAGAGAGAGAGAGAGAGGAAGATGAGAGGGAGGGAGTACAGAAAAGGGAATTGATCAAGCTCTGTTTTCAACAATATTTCTCATCTCTTGACATGCCGACGAACTGCCTTCTTGATTTTCCGACCGGACTGAGGAGCACCTGGTGTCGCGGAAGCACTGAATGGGTTGCTATCAATGGCTCCAGCGGACCCTCTGTAAACAAAACCAAAACAAGAAAAGGTCACATGTAGACAATGCTCAACACTAACAGGCGCCTAGGACACATGAGCAGCCACAATCAATGTCTATACATGCCAGCAAGATTAAGAAGTTCTTTTTTTTTTAAATAGGGCTCATGCATACAGATTATTAAAAATTCAGACTGGACTGCCTTCCAAAAAAGTTAGTATGTAGCCCTGCATGAAGAAAAGTAAAAGTTATAGCTTTTACTAGGCATGGTTTAACCTTTTGGATACCCATATTGATATAACACACAATTCCCATAAAGACTCAACCCAAGTTATCTTGTACTCGGTATTCAGCGGGCTAACATTCTTTCCATGCGTATGTTATAGCTGGATTGGCATATGACACATACATTTGTATTTGTTTACCCGGTTAGTGATTTGTGTATGGGAAGTAAGTATCCAAAACTGCATGACTTCCTTTTACATCATGGTTAAAAAAAAAAAAATGCTTTTCACAAAGGTTGCCTCAGATATTGTTGAATATGTAAAAGACATATAATGTTAACACAAACACACAAAAAAGGACCTACACAAAAAATAAAAAGTAAAGAAAAATCATAAATCTCCAGTAAATCAACTAATGTTACCGATATATGATACAAAGAGGACACTTTCAGGGATTTGGTACTACTTTGTCCCCAAACTCGAAACATTGACAAAAGTATTTTCAACAACCAGGGACCCATTTCACAAAGTCTTTTTTCAATGACAAATGACAAAAATCAGTGACAAATCTGCTGATAACCAATCAGAAGCAAGGATTTCAGTAGCTTACAACAAAAACTGTCATTTGTCACTGATGACAAGTTTTGTGAAATGGGGCCAAATTTTGCACAAGAAGCTGGTGAATACTCACTGGAACTGAAACGCTGTAGCACCAGCCTGCGGAGCAGCACTCGCCCCAAAGTTGAAGGACGGTTGCCCAGCTCCGGCAAAGTTGAAGCCACCAGCTTGTTGAGGCGTTGCCGCTGGGGCAACCTGATGAGCCTGGTTGGGCTGGTTGCCGGTGAACTGGAAGCCTCCTGGGGCCGGTGCAGCTGGGGTAGCGTTGTTGGTCGCACCGAAGCTGAAGGAGGGTGCCGTCTTGCCAAACCCGAAACCACCTGAATGGAAAAGGAAGAAATGTAATGGGTATGTTAAGCTAGGAGATACATTTGTGAATTGCATGCTGCTATTCTGATACTGTTCACACAGACCTGCATCCACTCTCAAAACAAGAAGGAAAGAAAGAAAGAAAGAAGGAAATGAATAAAGCTCCTTTGGTAAAGTCATTCTTTATCTAAACATATTACTATCATAACCTCTGCAATGAGATATAGAAGTTTAACCTAATATAATACTATAAAACAGGTTAAAGGATTTGAGCTTGAAAGAGTCAACAACTAGGCATAAACTTTTGTGCACATGAAGTGTCACCAATGTCAGTTTGAATCCCAAAATCTCCCATTTATGCTCTTAAATAGCTAGCAACAACAAAAAAAAAAAAATGCCCATTTTGTTTTCTAAGGGATGATTTTATGTTTTCTATCAACATACAATGTATGTCGTTGGTTTAATTGGTCGCTTATAAACAGTGAATATGAAAGGGAATCAGGGAAAAAATTAATATTTATTTTTCGGGGGCTACTTTTCAACCTTGCCTGCATGAAAATAACATTCTAAAATTTGTTTTAATTGAACTCTATGCAAATTTAAGGGGGCTCTTTTCTGACTTTCAGGGGCTATTTCGCCCCGAGTCCTTGTTTTTGTTTAAGAGTTGAAGACATTGGGAGCTCCTACCTGGTGTGGCATTAGCAGGTGCACTCCCAAAGGCTGGAGCTGGTTTGTTGCCAAACCCTGGCGTTGCATTGGTGGTGGAGGCGCCAAAGGCCGGGGCACCTGTGGTGGTACCGCCCATTCCACTCCCAAAGGTGCTGTTGCTGGTTGCGTTGGTACTGCTACCACCAAACACCGACCCCTGGGTGGGCGTGGCTGCTCCGAACCCCTGTGGCTGGGTGGTGGCCGATCCAAAGGTGGGGTTGGTGGGTTGTCCACCGAAGGGTGTGGCATTGACCGAGGGGGTGCTGCTACCACCAAAGGGGTTGGTGTTGGCGCCTGTCGTGGGGGCTGTGGAGCCGAACGAGAAGCTTGAGGGGGGTTGGGAGGCGGCAGGCGGGGCACCGAATGCTGGAGAGGGGTTGGTGCTACTCCTGTTGCTACCGAATCCTCCAAATCCACTTGTTGTTGATGACCCTGGGGAATGGGGTAAAACAATTGAAGATCAGAGGTGGTTAATCTAAAAGAAAAATATACACTATCCGTAAATTGCATCTAAAATTAACTATAGAAAACATCACCATAGAGTGGCGTGATAATTTATAGGGCTTTAAGCTAGTGCTCACAATATTCCAAGAATTGTTGTTATCGTGTACCCATTTACATTAACTCTACAATGGAATACATGCAAGAGAAAAATGGCCTAACTCTATCTATAATTTAGGTTGTTAGGCAAAATAAAGTTTGGGATTATCAAGCATACCAGGGGTTGTCACATGCCAAAGGCATATACAGTCAAACCTACTATAGTGATCACCTGTCTACAAAGACCACATTTTTTCACCCTTGAAAGTGGTTTCTTACTGAAACATATACTAAAGGAACCTGTCTACAAAGACCAACTGTCTAAAAAGGACCACTTTTTGTGTTTCCCTTTGGCGGTCTCTAGTCTATAGACAGGTTTGACTGTATATCCCAGTCAGTAATGAGACAAGTGTATTTACACAAAGTGAATGTCATACCTGTAAACTGAGCGTTTGAATTTGGTGTAGCTCCAAAGTTGTACCCTCCTGTAGAAGGCGCTGCTGGTGCCTTGTTAGCTAAATAATGGATGGAAATAAAAAATGAACAGTCATAAATACATAATTGGCAAATAAAAGATGAATAAATGCCTTAATAAAAAAAAATCACAAAGCTTGTAAAACAAAATCAAATATGATATTAAACACCCTATACAGACACTGTCCACCCCCTCCCTCCATAATGATGATGATGATGTAATGGAATTCCTTTGTTTCCATTGCCTTACCTATCTTCATAAACATGTCTCCAGTTCGATTGTAATCCATCCATCAATTCTAATGATAACGTGATCACAAGCTACTTTTGAATACATAATGAACCCTGTGACCTTTTACCTTTCACCTCGTCAACCCCACAATCAACCAGTTCATTGGCTCTGCAAGATACATACATGACCCAAGTTTGGCGGGAATCCATTAATCAGTTCTTGAGATAATGAGATCACGAGAACGGGACGTTCGGAAAACCCAAAAACATAACGCCTCTGGGTACTTTGTAGCCGAGGCATTTCTAGCAAGCAGAGTAGGTCTTAAATGCAAACAAGTACTGTATATATGGAATGTGATGTAGAATTTATGAATACCAATCATACAATTATTCAGAAATGCCCTTAGTTACCTCAAAGCGCAATAGAAAACAGTATGGCCACAATTGGTAAGACCAAGTCATCATCTATTGAAAGCTAGAGGGGTATTGAATGTGTTCAAATATGTGAGTTAAACGTTCTTCTGGTTCTTGGCAGATGCCATGTTGAAAAGAATACAGGGTATATGCTCACCGTTTCCGAAGTTAAAAGATGGCGCCGTCGTTGTCTGAGCTGGGGCTGCTGATGAAGCAGCTGGAGTTCCAAAGCTGAATCCCGATCCACCTGCACAGGCAAAGAATCAAATCTTTAAATGTTGACTCCTTTCTTAAGTTTTCCCTATTATAACGAAATTCTTATTCATGCTTTAAAAAAAAAAATGTCATGACTCTCGTGTGAATTTATGTACATTATGTGACGTATACGCCTAAGTGTTTATCAATTATCTTGTAAATGCATTGTATTTTGTTTATGTGCTGCCAGTGGAGGCCAATTTTTTGTGTTTTGAATATGGATCAATAAAAGAATCTACCGGTATCTATTTATCTACCTAAATCTCATTAATTCTCCAACCCCCCAAACAAAAATTTCCATGAACCTTGCATAATTATAAGCTTTTTGATAAAGACATGAACAAACCTTGATTACTATTCGGGTTCTGACTTCCGAACGTAAACCCTTTAGCCGGTTCCTCCTTGGTCTTTGCTGGTGCTGGTGCAGCACCAAAGTTGAAAGATGCTGGTGCTGCTGCTGTAGCTGCTTTCTCCGGTGCTACAGGAGTTTGTCCAAATGTGAAGGCGTTTGCGGATGTGGCAGCAGGCTCTTGGGGTTTGGCTCCAAACGAAAGGCCAGATCCAGCGACTTGGGAAGGGGCCGAACTACCAAATGAGAAGCCTGGCTTACTGTCTGTATTCAATGCTTTCGCAGAATCAGGCTTACTGGCACTGCTGCTGCCGAAGTTGAAACTGGGTGTTGTGGAAGAGCTGGTAGGTGCCGAGGAGTTTGCAATTGATGTTGCAGTGCTTCCAAAGCTAAATGCAGGTTTACTTTCCGGTGGTTTATCCGTAGAGTCTGTTGTCTTTGCACCACCAAAGGCCGCTGCACCAGCTCCAAACTGAAATGCAGGGGGTTCAGCGTTCAAGGTTGTTTCTTTGGTTGAGGAACTGCTGCCAAACGAGAGTCCTGGTCCTGCTGCTGCACCATCAGTCTTTTTCTCACTGGTTCCCCCACTAGTGGGTGCGGCAGCACCAAAACTGAATGCTTTCTTCGCTGATGGACCGTCTCCCTTTGTCACATTTGATTGGAAAATGTTCACATTTGGGGGAGGCCCTTCTTTGTCCAGTTGTGTCTGTCCCACAGTGGCAGGGCTTTGTCCAAATTTGAATCCACCCCCTATACTACCTGAACTATTTGACTTTGAGCTAGCATCGTTCTGTCCAAACTTGAATCCTCCACTGGGTGCCTTGAAACCACTGCTTGTGGTATTTGACTCGGACGAACTGGCTCCAAAACTCATTCCCTTGGGCACTTTGACTTCAAGCTTTTGCTCCGTTTTAGCTTGGCTTAACACGGACGATTCTACGCCTTTGGCTTCCGACGGAGCTGATGTCTCTGTTGTTGACGAGTTGCTACTTGATTTGGACAGTTTGGACAAAGAAAAGTTGGGTGGTAGCTTAAAGCCAACCCCAGCAGAAGGAGTTGTTATACTGTTACTGTCTGTGCTGGCGGGCTTTAGACTCTGCCCTAGACTCATACCAGCAGGAAGTTTGAAACCGCCACCGCTGGCATTTGAGTTTGAGTTCAACGAGTCTGAGGTTGTGGAATTACCAAACTTAAAGGCACCGGTTGCATCTCCATTGCTCATGGGGGTACTTCCAAACTTGAATGATGAAGCTGGAAATTGGTTTGAAAGAAAAACAAAGTCAAACATGTGCTGATTAGATTGATGGGTAAAGAACAATGTCCAGATCTTCTAATAAACTGTTCAATATTTTTACCGTGCAAGCTAAAAAGTGATACTCAACATACAGTTACAGAATCTAACTTCAAAGAGCACTTTAGTATATCATTTCAAAAATAAAAACAACCAACCACCAAACCATAATATAAAACAAGCAAAAAATACTTCTGGACTATTAGGATTAGCTACAAATGTAGAGCTGTTCTTTTGGTTTAATCACATATACCTTCAAAAAAGGGCCTCCAATTAGATCACACTTCTTCCTTTTTATGAACACCTTTTTTGTTTAAATTTAGAAGAGCATCGAAATGTAAAAATGCGATTAACCAGTTGTGAGACACTTGCTTCTGTGACAATTGCTTCGCATCAATCTCCTACACAAACAAAATTCTTCCCTTCAACCTTCAACCCAACACCACACCTTACCCTATCCCAACCTGAACCTTATACCTATGATCAAATAAATCCTGGAGCAATCCTCTCAGGATCAAATGTAGGATGAGAGACTTACCAGGAGGTGCGCTCAAGGTCGGTTGGCTCCCTGGCTTAGGCGTCTCACACGCTACACACTTGAGTATCGTTGCTTTATTCCTGATCATGCACATATCACACTCCCACTCGCCGGCACGCGCTTTGAACTTCTCCGCTATCACATTGTTCACTCCATGATCATTCGGTAGCGTCTTTGTTGCCTTTGACTTGCCCGGCCTTGGAGTTGTACAGGACGCACACTTGTCCAGACTGTCTTTATTTCGGATCATGCACATATCGCACTCCCACTCATCAGACTTTTTCTTGAATTTATCTGCCAGGCTATTGAAGACCGGGGGCGGTTTGGAGTCTGATATCGACGAAGCTGCAGGTTTGGAGGCGCTTTGTCCCGGCTTGGGCGCCGTACACGCCACGCACTTACTAGCATCTCCACTGTTCTGTACCCAGCATGCATCACACTCCCAAGAATTTGCAGCTGGCTTCAATTTGTTAAAGAGAGAGTTAGACTGAGCTCCAACAGGGGCGGTCGACGTTGCTGGTTTCGTGGCACTCTGTCCGGGCTTTGGCGTCGTACACGCCACGCATTTACTGACATCTTCATTGTTTTGTGATGATGCAGGTGGTTTGAATTTGTTAAAGATTGAGTTTGATGTCTTAGAGGTGTCGTTTTGAAGATTGCTTGCACCAGGTTTGTGACTAAGACCTCCTGTCAAGGGACCATTGTCCATATTTGTTTTGGATGCCTTGACTAGATGTTCTTGCACCTGATAAAGAAAAAAAACACAAGTAATATGGAAATCAGAGACCGTGTCTCAGGATGTTAATCAAGAGGTCACTGTTCAGAGGTCGCATTCAGTTTTGGAAACTTCTCAAAACTTTTTGTCAGATTTCTTTGATTTTAGATGATATAGGAAGATCCTAAGCTGCTGTGAAGTTTTTTTCCTCCTCCTCAAGTGAAATATATTAAACAAATGAAAGGTAGTAATAATAAAGATACCCATCCGGGGAAGTGAATTATAATAACGGCACCCTCCACTTAAAGCTTAAGTTGAGTTCTGGTCATGCGATTACATTGTGAAAGAAAAGTTGTGGAATTGATCAGAAAAAGTTGATCATGAAGCATATAAGTATGGGTGTGTACGTATTGCAAGGTTCTGGAATCATCAAAATTATAAGAAATTTGGCCCAGTCTTGGTAATGTAACAAGCACTGTACGCAGAAAGATGTATATTGGACTACACAAACATGTGGCATGAAAATCATGCCTCATTTTTAAGCTGTTATTTGTCATATTTAAAATATGAAGGCATTTGAAGAGCCATGCTTTTCAGGGAACATTTTTTCTCTGATGTTCTTCCACACTTACGTAATAACAATGATAACGCTCGCAAATTATTTTTCACCTCTCCCCATAACTCAACCTTGACTGAAATGATATACTCACTTTTGAACTCGATGAAGGAATGGGACCATTCTTGGTTGGTCCTGCAATGAAGAAGAAAAGTCAAAATACAAATCAATCAAAACATTCCTTTTTCTACCTGTTCAAAGGGAAATCCAACCTTGATAGCAAACAACTCTAAAAATAAAGTAGAAAGATCAGAGAACGAGACTGGCGAAAGTATGAATCATATCTGACAAAAAATTCATTGATTAAAAAAAAATTGTAATCACTTAACCCTGTTTAGCCCGGGGGGGGGGGGGGGGGGGGGGCTTTAGAAGCCCCTCCTCGACATTTCTCGCGATAATTTTTTAACGCAAGAAAATCTTGCACTGAAATTTTGTGACTTTTTTCTTTCGAGTCTTGCGCATCTTTTGAAAGAAATTTTTCAAAAATCGGATCTACCGTTACAAAGTCACCTGTCCTTTTGTCTTTGCATGTCAGCCAAAAAATCGCTCATTTTTGTGATTTGTGTACAAAACATGGAAATCTCATTTTTCAAATAAAGAGATAAAACATTGGTTATTTGGTCTTGTTTATAGTTTAGGTGTTTATTTTGGGGTCAAAATAGTTGAATTATAGTTGGAAATGAATAAAAAAACAAAAACAATAGATAAAATAAGGAATAACCCTGGTTTTTCAATTTTTTGTGTTGTATTATTATTCCAAATGGTCTAACAAATATATGTAGTGAGAAAGAATGCTTAAATATGAATAATGTCTGATATATGGGCAAAAATGTGAATTTGATGACCTTATTTGCATAAATTACCATAAATATGCAAATGAGTGAATTTTTCAAAAAATTGAAATTACCATAGTATTCTATACACTTCACTTGACATGTATGCAAATTTTCGCGGCGATTGGTTGTTTAAACGGCCGAGATCATAGGGGGGGGGGGGGGGGGGGGGGGGGGAGGGGGGGGGGGGGGGGACCCCCCCCCCCCCCCCCCCCCCCCCCCCCCCCCCCGGGCTATGCAGTTTCAAAATAGCCCGGGCTAAATAGGGTTAAGGTAAGGGCTCTTTAAATTAACTGAATCGGTAATGTCACTGTGATATTGTGATGGTCTACATTCCCATTTCTTCAAACACACAAAATGACTAGCATTTATTTTCCTTCAATATGAATGACCTTGGATAATCGTTTCTCTTTTTAATCTTTAAAATTTTATAGAAGACTTGTAATAGTATACTTTCCATAATATATTTTGAGTAGTGCTCCAAGGGTGAAGTATTATTTTCGTTTCTCCAATTGTGAACACCCCAGGCAATGTCTACTTGAACACAGGGATTCACGTCATCTATCGGTAACCAAATGGAGCTGAACTGTGAACTTACGGATACCAAAGGCTTCTAGACAGCTTCCTGTCTTGAGTTCCTTCGCCACTTTGATGCCACCCTCCTCTTCCTCCTCCTCATCGTCATCTTCAACCTGGACAACGTCTTCGTCATCGTCTCCTTTCCTCCTGGTCCTCTCGGGGGTCTCGAAACTGGGCTTCTTACCTCCCCCTAGGGGGGCGCTGCTGGAGGGTCTGGACGTTGAGTAGGGGGTCTGGCGTGGCATGCTGAATTTGAAGGTGGTCTGCAAGAAGAGTAGGATGATGATGATGAGATGGAAAGATTGGACCAATGATTGCAAAGTATGCTTAGAAATAACACTAAACATTGGACTCTATATAGGGTTCCGGTGAGGAATGCCTCATTTTAAAGTTAATTCCACGGACAAGAAACTAATGAAATGAAACAGTGACTGACTTCAATTTATCGCAGAAAAAAAGTAGAGAAACTGATCAAATATATTATGATTGAACAACACATTTTCAACTCTGGACACAACACAATATCAATCAAGAACTTAAACCTTATTTCAAACCTAATCAAAACCTTGACCCTCAATACAATAATGAAAATAGAGCCAAAGCAATGTCAGTTCACTAACATTACAAGTAAACAAAATTGGAGGGCTTTGAAAGAAGTTTATTTGCCATGATATAGTAGTGATGGATAGAAATATCTGAAGTGAATGTAGAATCTCTGGGGTTGCACACATGAAATCAAACATGTGGGACTGACTGAACAAAGTATCCTAGAACTCACCACAGTGGAAGAACTATTAATTGAGGACGAAGTGGAACCACCGGTGCCGGTCTGCTTCATAATGGGTGAAGCAAACGTGAACTGAGGACCTTCTGGTGATGATGCCGGAGAGGCAAACTTGAACGATGGCACTGTAGATGACGACTGGGCTGGGCTCGGTTTAATGCTGCTGCTTCTACTTGTACTGCTGGTACTACTACTACTACTAAGAAGGCCAATGCCCATTGTTGAGGCAGCAGTGGATGATGACGAGGGTTTGGAGATCGATGACGACGACGTCAATGATCCGAAGCTGAATGTTGGGAGGCCCTTGGGTAAGGGAAGTGCTAACTCAGGTAAATCTGGAATCTCACACTGAAAAAACAGAAGGTGGGAAGATTGAGGTCACTTATTAATTCATCATATAGCATGAGAGAATGTTTTCGTGCATTCTATGTCACACGATCCAGCAATAGTTGTTCTGTGTTCAATTTCAACCACTTTATGAATCATGTAACTTCCATCCAGGAGTGAACGCTATACATCATCCCCTCCCGAACCTGTACAGAGTCTAAAACCTAATTGTAAACCAATTGCTAGAATAGGAAATCATTTCACGAGCACAAAAGCATACCAAGATTTGAAAGAAGTTTGAGTACTTGAATACAAAATTTGACCTGATTCTGAAACACACAGCACATAATAAATATAAAACTAGTTATTTTTTTAACTTTGGAGCAGTCAAGTAATACAAATTGTAATTTTCAATCTAGATCATGTTAAGAGTATGTTATTAACTTATTATCATGATGTAAACCTAAAGAGTGCCACAGAATTGACAGAAAACTTTACATGAAATGACTTTTGAATATAGCTGATGGGAGCATAATGGGCGTTTACTCTATACTTCGCGCCGTTGTGGCTCTGATCAAATGATAGGTAGATTGTCCTTACTTCTTCGTCAGCCTTCTGAGCTGAGTAATGCATTGTATGCCTACTCTTTGATTTCATCTTGCCACCAGTCTTCTCTCTGCCTACCGGACCTTCAGCCGGAGTCGAAGAGGTGATGGGTGCTCCGTATCTAAAGAAACAAAAGAGAAAACGAGAAATGAGAACATTCTCTGTGAATAATTTGACTTAACCTTGTCTCAGTTTTCTCCCTGCCTCCTGGACCTTTATCAAACCCTGACAGAGTTGGTGGGTGGATGTGAAGAGAAAATACATCAATGAAACGTGTAGAGGTGTCGTGGTCGAGTGGATATGTCACCGGACTGTGGATCACAAGGTCTGCAGTTCAAGTCCCGCCGCGGCACCAATGTCCTATGGCAAGATATTGACCTACATTTGCCACACTCTATCTAGGTGAGGTAAATGGGTACCTGGTAGGATTATTACTTGAAATGCACTGTGCATTGATTGCAGCTGCCGGAGCTAAAGCTAGGGTAATAATTCTAAAGCTCTTTGAAAGCACATAGAGACGTTATATATTGTGATATGCGCTATACAAGAACCAAATATTTGTAATAGTTATTATGAATCAAACCACATTAATCAAACTTACCGGAACGAGGGCGCTGTAACTATTGTTGGCGCAGCTGTACTTGTTGGTAAGACCTAGGGAGAGAGTATAAAGTGCAAATGAAAATTGACACGTTTCATATTCTATTCATATTAGATTAAGCGTGAAGTGTTGAATATATGCATTTGATTTAATAACAACAGTTCCTCATTTGCAAGTATTGGGCTGTATCCTATAAACTTGGTTATATTTTACAATCATGAAAGTGATAATCAACATTATTTCACTAATTTATTATATAACAGTTTTCAAAATGTCACCCCTAGGTTATTTTGAATAAGCGCAAGTTGTTTTCTCACCAAAATAACAAAGAAAAATAACATTTATAAATCTATACCCTTGGATAGTTGAATATTTCTTTACCTCAGCACTAGATGGCGCTGTCACCCTCTCCTCCCTGTCCAGATCAATCACTGTGGTGACGGTGGAAACAGGAGGTTGTCTGTTTTGTTTGATGCTTGCCTGATGAGCGATACGCAGACCTGATGTTGGAGGAGTGTTCATTCTGGAGGTCCCAGGTCGGCTGCCGGTGAGTCGACTTGTCGGCTGTAAAGACACAAACATTCATTTTATTTAAAGATAAAGTTGAGTTCTGGTCATGCGATTGCATTGTGAAAGAAAAGGTGTGGAATGGATCAGAAAAAGTTGATTATGTAGCATGTAAGTATTGGTGTGTACTGCAAGGTTCCGGAGTCATCAAAATCCTAATAAATTCGGCCCAGTCTTGGTAAAGTAACAAGCACTGTACACAGAAAGATGTTTATGGGACTACAAAAATGGTGTCGGGCCTACTTACCTTCATTTCCTTATCTTTCTATGCTCATTACTCAGCCATTATAAATTTTGTACCGAAATTGTTTGGCAAATGACAATTATTTGTAATCTTGAACATTCAGTATAAAATTTGTTTGATTCTGTGAGAATTCGTTTTCTATAACTTTTGCCTTGCAACTTGAGCCTAAAGATGATATTATCTTCCTATCTACCATAGGGTAATCAACTATAAATTTCTACTGCATACTTGAAAGTTCATTGAAATTTGTTTAAAAAACGACACAGAAAGGGTTGAAGACCACCTGCTTCTCTTGTCTCAATTGAGGGAGCTTAATATACAGGTTTGAATGTACAAGGATGCTTCAGAAGATATGATATAGGGATTAGCCTGAAAATAGACAAAAAATGTTGGAGCCCCGTACATTCCACACACATAATGAAATATATTCAAAAGCAAATATTCAAGTATTTTAGACTTTTCATAAACTCCACATCAAGAACATGAAATCTTCCATGATGAAAGAAAATATGAATCATTTGAATCAACATTTCATGCTTTTTACAAAATATTTTAATACATGCGAATAGCTTTCCATAATTGTTAAGTCCAACTTAGAGATAAGTCCAACTTAGGATCTTTGTGAAACACCTCCCAGGACAACTGAAAGAGCCCGACGCAAAGAGATAGCAGGGCTCGAATTTAGGCTAAAGCCCCGTTGATAACACTTTTGAATCATAACGAAACGGGGCACGGATGTGTTCACACTAACCCTGAAGGAGTAAGGTGAAGCGGTAGGTGAGAGAGGGATCCTCTTGACGTCCAGGAGCGGTGTGGACATCCTCTCTAGGGTATCCAGGATCTTCTTGGCCGTAGAGCTGGTTGCTCCCAGGCCATCCTGGAGGTTCAGCTGGGCTGGCTTGGGCCGGATGTTCCTCTTGACCGGCAGGTGCACCTGGTCAACAATCAAGGTTAAGTTAAAATTTCATAGTCGTAAGTTGCAAAGAAATTTGGTTCCCATGCAGAATATGAGCAAGACTGAAGGTGACTTGTCATGGCAATAATTCCAACTGAATGAGACACTGAGTTACTCTAATTTGAATGCTAGTAAGCTACAAAGAAAATCACTCCCGGACAATCACTTCTCAGATAACTAAACCTACCCCCAAATAGAGTTGAATAAAAAATCATGCGCAATAAACGTGTTGCAGTAAATGCACGCTGATATAATTGTGCGCAGCTTCGGAAATCACGCTCAGCGTGCAATATTGTAACGATATTGCATGCTGATTCTCCATCGGTCAAGTGTCGTATTGTACGAAAGAAAAAGCAACACGCTAACAATATTGAACTCGACCAAAGAAAGGGAATTAAATACATGATTTTATTGAACAAAATGTTGATGAAGTGATGAAAGATTACACAAGAATGGTTTATTATTATCATTACGCACGTGGATAACTGGACGAAGTGGTATTGGACCAAATGGTACTTTGTGACAGCCTTACCTCATAAGGGGAATCCCTGGGTCTCTTCAGGGCACTACGCTGTGCTGATGACCCTCCAAACTGAGTCCTCCCGGGATAGAACGGAGAGGCATGCTTTGGTCTTGGCTCTCCAACCTGAATCAGAAAGAGAGCAGAAATGACAGATGAAGCAAGGCGGGAAAAAAAGATAGTCCAAGGGGAGCAGGAAAACTAGCCACTGTAGATAAGTGGCCTTTATAGACAGGTTCTACAACACACGTTTCCTATGTGGGTGAACATTATAGACAGGTGGTCTATATGGAGAGGTGGCTTTTAAGACAGGTTTGACTGTTATTTTGAAGCTATTGAGCTACGAAAAACTCCAAATGAAGTCTGGTAAAACAAGTTTTACTATGACAAATACGAAAAGGGCTCCTGTCACTGAAGGTTATTTCTGCACACTGAGCATGCAGCATACTGGAGAGCTTGTGTACAGTGATCAGGATTGATCAAGTCTTGAAATTGGTAACTGTTTTGTACTGGGTGCCAGGTGAGAATAATATCAACACATTTAGGAGCCTGAACAAACATTCATTTTCTACACACCTGTTTCCTTTCACTGCATTATGAGCAAAACAATGGGGGGGGGGGGGGATTGCTCAATACAATTGTAAAAGCTGCATATCCAGTAGCAAAGGTAACCTGGAGAGATTTAATATCAATATGCTGGCCTAGTAGGGCCATGCTATAATGGTGTTCTGACATAATGCTCCAGGCTTTATTTCATCAAAGATGTAGGGTTAGTGCTATTGGGTTTTAGGTTAGCTCTAGGTTTAGTTACAGTGTCTTAGCTAGGATTGAAGTTAGTAATTCTGTTCGTGTATGATAACGACTGTGGAGCAATTGTTACCAGAACACGAGTGCTACAACCTGCTATAATCACACTACATTTCTTAAAGATTCATATCACAGACCCTTCACGGTCACACATTACTTACAATGTAAAAAAAAAAAAAAATTCTCATGGGGAATTTGACACCAATTGGGTGTTTATCCAAGAAGTTACTAGCAATGGAGTTACAGCCAGCATTTTTACGACCAGAAGTATTATGCAACAGGCGAGATAACGACCGACATCAGAGTGACGCTCGCCGGAATTTGCCCGAAGGCAACAGCTAGGCCGCTCTCTGATGTACAAGCTTCCAAGCCGCCGTCCAAACCCATTCACATTGAGTGGAGTAAAGATTCGCAAACGAACAAAGCAACTGGGTACCGACCTACTAGTCGTGAGCATGCGCAGTTGTTGTTATCGAATTCCAATTGTTTTTCTGATTCCAACGATGTATTTTTCGTCAAAATCTACCCAGAAATGGGCTAGTTATGATACTTTTTATGACTCCATATTAAATTTTAGTACTAATTTCATAATTCGTTATAAATATGTTCCGATCATTTGCAGAATTTAGATTGTATTTTATTCGAAAGAGCATGTTTTTATCTTTGAAACCCACCCTATTGAAAGAGTGCCCAGGGGTGCCCATGCGTTTAGATTTGCATGTGAAGATGCCTATGCATTTGGTCAGCTTGGATTGCGCCGTCTGCTGGGGAAAGATATGCCAGCCCTAGGCGTTTAAATTCGTGTTCTGTGCACCTAGTGATTCTGATTTTCTATTTGGCTTGTTTATTTTTTTCTGAGTGCAATCTAACGAATCACTCTAGATCTCGATCTCCATAATTTTACAGGGTCTAACGTCTATGTAAATCAAAGTTAATCTTTTATGAACAATCAAATTTAAAGTTAGTCTAGTCTACTAGTTTAGTAGGGTCTAGAGCCTAGTTATAATATTTAGAATCTATAGTGTTTGGACTTTGGATCTCGACAATGATAAATTGAGTCTAATTTTGCTAAACTCGCTAATATAATTATACTAGAAGTTTTTGAAAATAATCCTTGATCATAGTCTTAATTAAAAATCTAGATTAAAAGTTACTCATGATGGTTCAAACTTCATTTTTAGCCATCACATGTTTTATACTTTGTTGTTTTCAGGACTGTCCGAGTGTCATTTTTCCAGGGCAAGGCTAAGGAAGGAGTAAGGTCTAGACCCTAGGCCTAGTTGATTTTGATGGAGGGGGAGGTGGGGGGGGGGGGGGGGGGGGAGTAGTGTTCAGGAAATAATAATGGCTGTATTTTCGTTATAATATATAGGGGGGTCTATATTGGTCTTGGATCTCGACAATGATAAATCAAGTCTAATTTTGCTAAACTTGCTAATGATAATACTAGAAGTTTTTGAAAATAATTCTGTTGATCATTGTCAAAATCCAAAATCTACATTAAAAGTTACTGACATGCATCACATCATTCATGATGGTTTGAACTAATGTATATGTTACTTAATGATATGATAACCATTGAAAAGATATGTGAAAAGCCTGTCATAATCGTGCAAGGCTATTTCCTCAAAACATTGCAAAACCAACACGGAATGCAATGTACGGGACTGAAGACGAAGTCATTACTCTAACGTTTGTGCTTCCTTTTAATAGATCTAGTCTTAATTGTAATAATACTTCAACAAACTCATTATGAATTCCGATTTTCAAATCATCTGGAAAGAGTTTCAATTCACTGATTTCAGATAACAAAGATAACTCGTCATTTAAATCGAAGTTGTACTCGGAATCGGTGCTTTCAGTCATTGTTTACGATTGTCAAAATAGTTAGTCCAAGAAAGCAAAATACGAAAGTAGCAACTGCGCATGCTCACACTGCGCGATATCGAGAGCGAACCCAAAACAGCTGTCGTAAATCATCTCGCGAACACCCGCTGAGTTTACGAGTCGGCTTCGAACCTCGCTCAGACGGCTCTCGCTACACTATGAATATGACGGACAAAGAAAGCGGACAAAATATACAGTTCCTCAGGTAGACAAAGGAACATCCCTTCACTGCTATTATGTAAAAAAAAAATATGCATGTGACACCTGTTCTACACATTTTTACATAATAGCGGTGAAGGGATGATCCTTTGTCTACCTGAGGAACTGTATATTTTGTCCGCTTTCTTTGTCAGTCATATTCATAGTGCTAGCTAGTACTCCATGGCTAGTAACTTCTTGGTTTACCCAATAACAGGTGTTGTCAATCACTCACCACTTTGGGCGAGCCAAAGTACGAGCTATTGAAGGCTGGTCTCTTGGCACTGCTAACAGATGGCTGTGGTCTTGATGCCGATAAGCCAGCAGCACCAGCACTAGAGGGCCCTGCGCTAGACAGGTCTGTCCAAAGGCTGCTCTTGGCAAGAGAGTTGGAATGCCCCATTTCTGCGAGATGATGACAGGAGGAAAAGAACAGTTTAAGTTTACATAAATTGATAATAGTAGAAATGGCATTAGTAATCACATAGACAGGGCTTGACATTAAGAGGTGCCTGGAACACATAGGTGCCCGGAACACATAGGTGCCCAAAGTCTGTCGGTGAAAAAAAGAAAAGTGAAAAAAAGAAAAGAAAAAGAGAGGATTCAACCAATTTTATTTCAATTTGATTTGAATCAACATGAAATAAACAAATTATTTTTAACCACATGCATGTACAAAATTTATTGATTATAATCTTATAACAAAATTTGTTTATTCTTGTGTGACAATATTTTTATAAGACACGCAAGTGTTTGACCGATTCTTAAGTCTAGCCCCCCCCCCCAAAAAAAAAACCTACATAAAACCATAAGGAGCATCGAGTGTCAAAGTCACCATTCTGTAAAACTAAAATAATTATGTCAGTAACTATAAGAATGAAAACAAAAATCATGTGGAAAAATTGATCTTTCATTTCAAGTTCATGGACCAATTAATTTTGTTCCAGAATTACAGTACCTGGGACAAAATAAAGTTGATACCTAGAGCCCTGAATACCAGTAAACTGTTAACTTAATTAAGCTACACTATTTGTGACATGGTCCATTTGTATACATGTAAACATGTTTTTACAAATTATTTCATATTACAAAAAAAAGAAGGTGTTTATATTGAAGTTGTCCCTAGGTATGCCTTTAAGACCTGAAAGTGAAACTTTGATAAGATAAATCTGCTCACCTGATAACCGATCTAGATTCTTCTTGGATAACTTCTCTCTGTGATCAATTCTATCTACATGGGGTACGAGAGACGAACAGCCGCTGGTTGAGACGGACGTATCAGAGGCATCGTCTGGATGATGGACAGATAAAGGAAGAGGTAAGGAAAGGAGGTGAGGTGAGAAGAAAAGGGAATGGGAGACAAAGAAAATGAGGGGGGGGGGGAGACCACATAATTAGTAAAAACAAATTATACCCTTATCAAAATATTAATCGCTCAGTGAGGAATTTCATCCCCCCACAAGACAATAATCAAGTGTGATATAATTACCTTTCTTATACGAAAAGGATTCATAATACAGTGAAACCTGCTTTAGTGATCACCTGTATAGAAAGACTACCTGTCTACAAAGACCACATTTTTAGTTTACCTTGAAAAGGGTTTCTCATTGAAACATGTACTAAGGGAACCTGTACATAAGGACCACCTGCCTATAAAGACCACTTTTCTTATCTCCCTTGGGTGGTCTTTATGGCAGGTTTCAATGTAGAAAAAAATTTATCCAGAATGATTGAAGGACAACTCAAGAATAATTGTTACATGTACATCATTAAGATGTCTTCTATTTCAATCACATACCACAAATTTGACATGTATAACTCAGATGCAGCTGCAGGGTCTTAAGCACTCTAGACAAACCTAAGAGCAGGAAATGAGGATTAATGCATAAGATTGAACTCCTACAACTTCACTAATCTCCTTCGAGACAAGGGATTTTTTTTCTTGGATGTGCCATAATTTATTCTGTATGCTAATGAAACGAATGCTTTATAATATAAAAAAGTGGATAATGTATGATAGTATGAACATTGTAGTCACGCATTATTTTTTGGATTAACAAAGGAAGGATTTGAACATTGCTTTATAGGCTCTGTGTGAATAGGAAAAGTCACTAGAAATTTGCTCAAGGCAACTTCAACAATCTTTTTTTTAAAACAAAAAAAGATATTTCTTAAATGCACTGACAGTAGGTATCACAGAAAAGCTGCGTTGAGCTCAACCATGCAAATTCTCTCTTTATCAAGGAAGATTTTTATATCATGGAAAAAATAAATATTATAAAATTGTCTCTCGAAAGCTCAGGATTCTGTCTTTCATGTCATGTCATTTTCATCAAAATCCATCAATTACTTACGACACAGTTGCTTGTGATTTACCCTCTAATTTGTACCGTGTCACTTCGTTTGTCCCCATTTTTATTTGATCGCTGGTTCGTATCACTAGTTTTAGCTCAATGCGTTTGAACGCCATTTGTCTTTGAGTTTTAAAAATCCACTGGTTGGAAAGAGCACATCTTAAGCTTTATTTTCATATAAAAAATGATGGGGGTATGTTTCAAAAAGATCATGAAAAATCAGAGTGAAAAGTTTGAAACAATTTTTCTATATCAGAAAAACATACTTTTAATTCAATTTTGATACAAGAAGAAAGAGAATTTACTGGAGAATACGATCATGTAAATATTAAGAATGACTGAGAGATGGCGCTAGAGTGCAAATCTGATGAATAACAGCTGTACCCTGAGTCTATACGCACTGAGCGAAAGTGACTACAGACAAGTGCTATTCAACATGGCGTCCACTCGTACATCGTACAACATCAAGATCCGAAACGGAGCATGAATCTGAGGCTTCAAATATCAAAACTGATGCAGGATTTGCAGCATTTGGCGAACAAATTAGGAAATAAATATTATTTCGACGAAATTATTATGCTAACGTAACCTAAACAGATTTTAAAGCGATCAAGAGACCAATAATACATGTTTGTGTTTTTCCACTCGCAATTTTTCTCGCACGTCATGCAAGTGAACTTTGAATAAATATTAGAGTATTTGCTTGCAAGCCTGGGAGTGTACCCGGGTACCTCATTACACTGTTGTGCACAGCCTTAGTTGGATTCTTGTCTATCATTTAAACAATCATCTCATTGTTTTATTCATTCACTTGCATTTTGATTTTATATTCTGGCACTATGCACTATGCACAATGAAATGCTTTGAATGACAATCTTAACAATAATACCTATTAGATCAATTTATAATGCGAGCTTCTATATAAATATACTCTACTGCGATGAACGATTTGGGTAGCCCACCATTTCTCCTGGAGGGGTAGAATAGAGCTAATTCAATGTTTCATCTTCATGTTTACTACTGTTATTCTCTGTAAAGCATATAAGGGTTATGCTGAAAGGGGAGGTATACCTTTTCTTAATCCCGAAACAGCCGAAAAAAATACACAGGGGCGGAGGGCGGATTCGCCCCGGAAACACCATAAACAGCCCCCGAAATAGGCTCAAAATCCTATTTCAGGGGCGACATCAAAAAGTGAAATGATCTCAAATCACCCCCGTAACCATTACGAGTGGCTGCGCGCTCTCTTCTAGCTTCGTATTCATTGTGTGTATTTCTTGGTCCGCGCACTGAATCTTTGTGTAAAATTGTATACACAAAAATCGGTCATAAAAAACTCGAACCATATTCAATACCTTACCTGGCTTACCATGTCGCACGCAAGTATTCCAAAACATGTACATTTTCGCAGTTGCGAGATCCGTAGGGGTCGAGTTTTTGGCGGTCGATTTTGTTTTGGTAGATCAAATTTTCTGAACCTAGACCATTTAAAGCGAAACTCATGAAACTGCAATCAATTTCCATCACAAATTCACGATTTCCGCAATTTTATAAAGTTTCCATAAATAGAGGTATGAAATTAAAGCCTATTTGTGATTATTCTCGCCATGTTTTCGTAATTTTGATAATTATTTTTTCAAAGTAAAGAAAATCAGACAAAATCACTGTGACTGACACCGTTGTGCAGTGTGTGTGAGTTGAGCTGAGCTGCAGTTAACTCCAGGAAGCTTGAACACCGGCACCGCAGGCGTCCGATGCCTGCGGCGCCGGTGTTGGAGCTTCCTGGAGTTACGTTGCAGTTACGTTGCAGTGTGTGAGAGTTGAGCTGAGCTAGCTGAGCTCGAGTCAAAGAGATTTGACACTTTGAAATTGTTATCTGTTGGTTTGCATCATTATTGCCGGGATGTCAATATAGTTTCGTGAATAGATTTACGAAACCTGAGCTTAGAATTAGTAAAAGTATTACTATCTAATGTCTACGTTTTTAAACGACTGTCTGATTTTCTTGTGATTATTGAAATTCATGGTCAGAAATAATCACAATCTACGGTCTATTATGTTACAGTTCTTGCATCAAATCAATGCATGAAAACTTAGATATTGAACTAGAAAAAGGTTTTTTTTTTAAAAATAGGCAATTATGAAGCAGGAAGCCTGAAACCTTAGCCTACTAAACAAATCTCAACAAACTGTAGGCCTATCCTCAGTGAAAAAAATACACAGGGGCTTGGGGCGAATTAGCCCCTGAAATGCCTAAAAGAGCCCCCAAAAATCAGAAAAAGCCCCTGTAAATATGCATAGAGTTCAATGCAAAACAAATTTTAGAATGTTATTTTCATGCAGGCAAACTTGAAAAGTAGCCCCCGAAAAATAAATATTAATTTTTTCCCTGCCTATCCTATTATGAATTAATGAAAAAGTAGCCCCAGAAAAAGAGCCCCCGAAAGTTGAAAAAGTAGCCCCCGAAAATTTCCCAAAAATCTGAAATGGAGCCCCCGAAATGAAAAACTTAATTTTTTGCCTGTCCCGAAAGGTGAGTATCTAATTGCATAATTGTATTTTGAATGACGTACATAAATCTAAGGTTTATGTCTGTGAGCTTACCAGCAAAAACAAATAATAAAGCGAGGGGTGAGCAATTTCTCAAAAGCTTCAAAAGAGGTCTGGTAAAAACAAGAAGATACTTAAATGTCACTGAGAAAATTACACTCATGCAACACCAAATCCTAAAAGAGCTTCTGCAAACAGAAAAGCATCTTTTTTTACACTGGAGCTTACCTTTATCAATGACTTGCTTCCTTCCACCCAACAACTGCATGTCTTCATTAGGAGTTGATGTTCCTATAGGGTTAGCATAGTTCCTGAAGGGCAGAGGTGTGTGTCTGACCCCCGTACTGGTACTCGGCTGTTCCTCCTCAATGATCACCACATCATCATCCTCATTCCCAACGTTTCTACCTCCTCCATCCCGCACAACATCCTCTCGCAATTGCACTATGGGTGTGGTCTCCATCCTGGAAGGCCCAGGCATGCTCAGGGCCTCTTTACCGGTCCGCAGATTGATGTCTGGGGTGCTCGTTGCAACTGCAGAAGGCATGAAGTTGGGGGTGCCTGCCACATGCCCATCAGGCTGGGGTAGCTCTGGGGTCGAGGATCGCGAGCTACCCTCTCCATCGTCATCATTGGGATTGTTCCACAGATTGTTTAGCCATGACGGTGTGATGAAGTCTTTGACCGAGTCAGAAACGCGAGCTAAAAGAGACTGTGGCAGAGAGGGACAAAATGAAACAAAAAATGAAATCCCCAGAATTTCATTTTTTTGAAAGAAAACTTCAAAGGTTGAAAATGTGAATACTTCATGATGTTTTTTTCAGGTTTGCAGCGCAAATTTTCTGCAAGAATCTTCAAGATTGAAGGAAGCAGACTACACCAAAGAAGAAGAAGAATAAGAAGAAGAAGAACAAGTGGCCTCGCTGGCCAATTATAAGCCCACTAGCTTCCCACTACAGACCATTCGTGTTACACTGAGAGTGTGTGTGGCAGTTTGTTCATGCCTAAGGTGCGACTCTAGTTTCAGTAACACACATTACTAGAATTATGCACCTGTATGCATTGCCATTGTCCATCAGCTGTACAATGAACAGTAGGCCCTAGGGGCGCTGGTCCGAGAATGAGGATATCCTTGGAAACGCTGACAAATCGCGTCTTAAAAAACAAGGATCGTCCACATTTCTGAGGTTTTTTTTCGTTGGTGCTCTGTGGGGGTATGGTTTCCCTACAAATGTATATGCGCGCTGGCAATACGAAAACGGGTCCGGCATAATAAAATACTCCCAGTTCATCGTCTACTTTTAGGGGTTGTCCGTCTTCCTGAGGATTTATCGTTCATAACGTGAAAGTCTCTGCGCATACTGTAGTAAGTGTAAACTGCATCAAGGCTAGCAGCATCATTGTGGAATATGTTTTTCGTATCGCCAACGCGCGGATCGGAAATAAAAATCATCCGCGAAAAGGCGGACGATCCTTATTTTCTATGATGCATCTGTCTGGGTTTACGAAGATGATCCTTATTCTCGGACCAGCACCCCTCCGCTCTGGAGGTGGTGTATGTTTCTATATCAAAAATGATATTGCATTTAATATTATGGATGCTATAAGTACTGGAGATACGGAATCCCTGTGGATAAATTTGCTTATACCAAGATCAAAACCAATTGTTGTTGGCGTTCTGTATCGACCTCCGAAAAACAATTTGTTTATCGAGAAATTGTCCAATATTCTTGATACATTAAAAAAGGATGACGAAATAATTCTTTTAGGAGACATGAATATTTGTCTTCTTCGCAAATCGCCACTGGCTAAAAAATATATTGACTTGTTGAGTCTTCATGGGTTTAGTCAACTCATTAAAGAGGCAACACGCGTTACACCTACATGTTCTTCTCTATTGGATCATATTGGTTGTACCAAAGAAAATAAAATAAGTCAAAGTGGTGTCATTGATCTAGGTATTAGCGACCATTATTTTACTTTCTGTACACGGAAAAATGTTAGACTGGCTATAGGTCATCACAGGACTAATGATATCAGATCCATGAAAAAATATACAGAAGAGTCTTTCAATCTTCAACTATCTGTTGTTGATTGGTCACGAATAACTGACTGTACAGATGTAAATGAGGCATGGTCAATATTTCAACATGTTTTTATCTCAAATTTGAATATGATAGCGCCACTGAAACGGATAAGAATAAAACAAAGATCAGAAACTTGGGTGACTAAAGATATTCTTTCCCTAATTCAAGAGAGAAATATAGTATACAAAAAATGGAGGAAAAAAGCAAAAGATGAGAAGCTCTATAAAAGATACAGAGTATTAAGAAATATGGTCCAAAGAGAGGTGAAAAAGGCTAAACTCGTTTACTTACAAAACAAGATAGAAGAAAATAAACAAGATTCGAAAAAACTTTGGCAGAATCTAAAAAGCTTAGGATTGAAAAATAAGAAGCGAAAAGAACAAGAATCTGTCATTAAAATTGATGGGGAATTATGTCATGATAAGATGGCCATCGCTGATGAATTCAATTCTCATTTCACAAATGTGGCTGCCAAATTAGTAGACAAACTCCCCCCTTCCAAAGACTTTTTCAGCGCAGACAATGATTGTATTCGTGACTTTTACGAAAGAAAAGGTGTACGTGAAAACAGCTTCGAGTTATTACCAATCAGTGAACAATTTGTTTTCAAAGAGTTACGTAAGTTGAATGTATCAAAAAGTACTGGGTTAGACTTGATTCCAGCTAAATTTCTAAAAGATGGTGCGAAGGTTTTATTTAAGCCTCTAAGTTACTTAATGAACCTATCTATCTTGACGAGTACTTTTCCAGAGGATATGAAAATAGCAAAAGTGACTCCACTTTATAAAAAGAAAGATAAAACTGATGTTAGCAACTATAGACCTATTAGTGTTTTAAGCGTAGCATCAAAGATTCTAGAAAAATCGGTCTGTGTTCAAATTGAAAGATACTTCAAAGAAAATGATATAATTTATGAATTTCAATCTGGTTTTCGACATGATTATTCGACTGAAACATGTCTAATTCATTTGACTGATTATTTGAGGAGAGAAACTTCCCAAGGGCGCTTTGTTGGTATGGTGCTCCTTGATCTGCAAAAAGCTTTTGATACAGTTAATCATTGCGTCTTATTGAAGAAGTTACAACTAATGGGTTTTGATAAGGCAAGTTTAGATTGGTTTAGATCCTACTTATCTAATCGGCACCAAGTAGTGGCCATTCATGATATTCGTTCCAAACTAATGCCTATAACTTGCGGTGTTCCTCAGGGAAGCATTTTAGGCCCAATTCTATTTTCAAGTTATATAAATGATATGTGTATATGTATAAAAGACTTCAAACTATTATTGTACGCAGATGACAGCGTACTACTCTATTCAAATCCTGATCCTAAATATATTGAGGAAAAGCTCAGTGAACAGCTGTCTACGTGTGTCGATTGGATGACTGATAATAAGCTTTCTTTACACTTGGGAAAAACAGAAAGCATTTTATTTTGTTCTAAAAGTAGTTCTAAAAAGTCATTTGAATTCAAAGTGACACACAATAATCAAGCAATCAAGAGAAAAGAGTCTGTGAAGTATTTAGGCATTGAGTTGGCTAGCGCAATTTCATTTTCATCTTTAGTAGAATCAGTTGTAAAAAAAGCAAATTCTCGTCTGAAATTTTTGTACAGATATCAAAGTTGTATGGATTTAAAAGCAAGACGTACACTCTGTTTTGCTCTTATTCAATGTTTATTTGACTATGCTAACCCTGCATGGTATAGTAACATAAACAAGTCAGATCAAAAGAAGTTGAAGATTATACAGAACAAAATGGTGAGATTTATCAACTGTTCTGGTCCAAGAACTCATGTTGGCTACAGCGAACTTTCTAAAGCTGGTTTTCTTGAAGTCGACCAAAGATCAAAACAACTCGTATTGCATCATGTGCATAAAATATACCATACTAGGTCGAATCATTATATTCGATCCAACTTCGATCTTGTTACTGACGTACATGATTATAATACAAGAAATAGACGATTCAACTTTAACTTACCTGAAAGAGTAGGTAGTATTGGAAATTCGTTTTATTACAATGCCATAAAACATTGGAATTCCCTTCCCAATGGTGTAAAAGAAATAGGAAACTATGATCATTTTAAGAGGAAATTAAAGGAATACCTAATACTTGACAGTCAGAGAAGAGAAGTGAATGACATGTTATATGATTGAAATTTTTATTCTTCTGTCGGTTCATACTTTTTCATGTTGTATATACTTATGTTTTCGTACGTTATAGAATTTCTACAAATTCATCATTATTTTCCTCTTCTTCCTTCTCCTCTTTTTCTTCTTCCCCTTCTTCTTTTTCTTCTTGTACTTAATATCATTTCTATCATCAGTTTAAATGTTGTTATTATTATCTTTAATAAGTAGTTCTTTTAATTTTCTTATCTGTCTGTAAATATTACTATTTTAACTTATTAATTTTATACATGTCTGTAAGGGACCCCACTGGAAATAAGCTCTCGAGCTTTCGTGGGTTATCCTGTTCAAGCTGACTTTTTTTGATCTGTTATTATTGTATATTGTTGTATGTTGGAAGCTTGTCGAATAAAAATCATCATCATCATCTCCCTACTGCTGATGAATCTTGTCTTGTGGAAGATTGACATGTACAATTTCTGGTACAAATATCTGATCAGTTTTCCCCTTAATTCTTTAATTGTACAGCACCTAAAAAGAAATCTTTCAAATTGTCCCATTTGCCCATGACATGATTCTAATTAATAGTCTGATGCGTTTTTTAAGTCGATGTGGTGAAAATATTTTTTGGAATTTTGGTGTGAATTTGTCTAGAGTAGACTCGTCTCGACTCTAGATCTACTAACAGCATGACGATCATCATCAACTTCAGGTGGCGCTGTAAAGTGCTGCTGTGGTCTTTATGAGAGCACGCCATGCAACTCTTTCATCTGCCATCATTAGGGGCGATGGTCCGAGAATGAGGATCGTCCTCATAAACGCGGACAAAATGCGTCCTCATATACAAGGATCGTCTGCATTTTTGCGGACGTTTTTTTTCATCGGCGCTCTGCGGGTTTCGGATTACCGAACCGAACCGCCCGCTGGCAATGCCAAATTTGGATTCCCCAGGGGAAAATAACCCTAGTTGACCGTCTACTTTTATGGGTTGTCCATCTTCCCAAGAATTTATTGCTCAAAATGTGACGGTCTCTGTACAAAGTCAATGTAAAATGCATCAAGAAAATCATCCGGGAATCCGTTTTTTTGCATCGCCGATGTGCCGATCAAAAATATGGAACATCTGCTTTTTAGCAGATGATCCTTGTTTTTGAGGACGCAATGGTCCGCGTTTACAAAGACGATCTTCGTTTATGAAGACGATCCTTATTCTCGGACCAGCGCCCGTACTGGCCATTTGTGTTGCACCTTTCATTCCTTGTCCATGACCATGCAGTGCAAAAGAACACGTACACTAGCGCCTACACAAGACCATGATGGCATGAAGACAAAGTCTGATAGACATGGTGGTTGCTCAACTTAAATAACGCAGCACGTTCAGTTCATCATTCCGACATCATTCTTTTCATTCATTCGTTCACACCATGACACAGCACAGGATTTCACTTTTCAGGGCTATCGCACATTCATTGTCAAATTTAGTAAAGGCATATAAATCGCTGATTTATCTTTACTGAATTATATTGTGTAAAGTCAATAATGTTGTGGGATACTGATATATTTAATGTAAAGTCTGTGGCTGTTGAATAGTGCCACGGTATCATGGGTATCCATTCATTCGCGCGCTCACACATGCATATTGCATGCATGCATGTACACTGCACAGTCGCTACGTGTGAGATACGTCGATCGACATGTATTTTCAACGCGGTTTGCATGCACTGCGGCGTGTGTGCTCGTAATAAACTCACCTTCGGTTTTGGACGTTCGTATGGTTTACGCGAGTAGTGAGAACGTTTTGGGCGAAATTTACCACCAGACGGGGTTGCCATGGCTAGTTGAATGTAATCTGTCCGCCACAGCAACCTTCAAGTTAGACAGAATATGTTGATAATCTTTGAAATTAAGAAATAACTTCCAGTGTTTCCATTGAAATTCACAGTGGAATAGTCAAGATGGCGGCTTTTTTCAAAGAAGAAGTTGATTGGTCAAATGTCACGTGATTGTCTGTACTTTTCCCCTTTTACATTATGATTTTATTATTGCATGGTAAACATATAGTTTTAAGCGTAAAAAACTAAAAATGTAAAAAATGATTAATATGTATCAAATTAAATAATATTTTAGAATGTATTAATTGTTTTAAATATTTTTTAAATATAAACAAATAATTTTTTATTAGCATATTATTTTAGAGGGTAATCTTTAATTTCGCCATTTTGAACTGTTAGCGCGGCGAGCTCTTCGCGAGACGAACAACACACGTGAATGAATGAAAGAAAATATTTCCGCATAGCCAATAGGGGTAACAACGGCATTCAGCAGTGCAGCACAGAGGCGGTATACATCACCTTCGCAGACCCATCCAACTCTACGGAACTACGTACCGAGCACAAACTCTGAGCTCTGCTTGCGCCCACGGCCACTGTACAGGACTTGATCACGACTCACTTTAAACTTTTTAAAAAGTTTGTTGAGTTGAGAGTCTGACTGAGCCTGAGGAGAGAAGACTCGATTGTCAGATATATTTTACCGGTAACTTATAACAGTAAAGTAACACTTTCTTACAAGACCTTAGTCTAGATTCTAGTCATTTTTTTAATGAGAGAAAAAAATAGGAAACAGAAATTTAGAATGGCGAAAGTTTGAAATAAATCAGCAGGATCAGACCAAAATTAGTACTAAGTGGCAAAACAAAAGCAAATTAATAATAAGAAAGTTGTCACCTTGTCGTTCATGTTGGTTCCACAATTCACATGTTATAATTAATGAATAGACCTAGACTAGGTCTAGACCTAGACCCTCTAGATGATGATAGATCTAGATCTAGATCTATGATGATTATTTAATGAATTGAATGATTGTTTCTGTTTGAATTGAAATGCGAAATCGGCGCTAGTTGTAGAAGTTCAGAAGCCTAGAGTAGAGGCGTAGTCGTAGAGCAGTAGACTATCCAAAATTTGACCCGTATTACTCCGGCGTGGAGAGACTACTAAAACATACTTTACTTACTTACTTTACTTTAATCCATCGATGCTTGTAGGGCAATGCCTGTTCATCGATCATTGGGTTAAAAACATTTCCATCTCTCTTCGGGCGTAAGTCTTGTCAAGTGAACATTTGTCTTTCATACATACATGTATGTTTAAACTGGATAGTGATGTGTGTGCATGGAGCAGAATCAGTTCTCAAAACATACCCCAAATGAAGTAAATATTCATCAAATGTCAAAATAAAGAACATGAGTTAAAAGTTGTTATGTTTCTTACCTGTTACATGTCATTTTTTTTGTTATTTTTGGAGTATTTTTTGGAAAAACGTTGATATTAATATACACTTTCTCACAGGTTTCACAGCAAACTGCTGCACAATACAAGTACATACCGATGGTGGGTTCGGGGCAGGTGCGCGCCTGTGCTGTGTGAAGTTATCTACCGTAATGTCTCAGATCCTCATTACGGTAGATATCTTCACACAGGCGCGTGCTCGCCCGCAACCCACCATGATCACCATCAGTATCATGGGTGTCCATTCCGGGGGGATGGGGGGTGGGGGGATATATCCCCCCCAATATTTCAGGTGGGGGGGATGGCCTGTACAATCATCCTCCCCAATAATTCACCATCAAAAAAAAAATCAAGAGAAAAATTAATGATGAGAGCCTGATGAGAGTAGTTAATGATTATTACTCGCAATATGACCATCAATATACACATTTTGCTATCTCATTTTCATAATACATACATATATACGAAGTAAAAGAGACAACCGTATTATGTGAGTGAAGAATAAATTGAATTCTCGTGCATACGGCTTCATCAGGAATTCATGAATTTATTCAATTTGTTCAATCAACAGCATCATAGAAATGCAATGCACCAAATGCAAAGACGCAGCGTTAAAAAGCAACGAGCGAAATGTTATGCACAAAGCGCAAAAGTAGCAATCTGCAATGCACATCAGACAATCCTAGACAGTGTAAACATAGATGAACTCTGTGACAAATTCGTGATGAGATCGGAGACAAGGAGAAAGGGGAAACTGAATTCAGACAAGGATTTAGAGTCGAGAACGGTACAACGAATCGTCTTCTTTCTCTAATAGTTTAAAGAAACGTCAAAGCTTCCGCGCTTTGCGTGAGAGGGGGGGGGCATACTGAATTCAGACAAGGATTAAGAGTCGAGAATGGTACATTGAGTCTTCTTTCTTTAATAATCCAATGAAACGTCAGAGCTTCCGCGCTACGCGCGAAGGAAGGGGAACTTGATTCAAACATTAAGGATTTAGGTTCGAGAACGGTACAACGAATCATCTTCTTTCTCTAATAATTTAATGAAACGTCAAAGCATTCGCGCGGGAGGGGGGGGGGGGGAAGGGAACTGAATTCAGACAAGGATTAAAAGTCGATAATGGTACATCGAATCGTCTTCTTTCTTTAATAATCTAATGAAACGTCAGAGCTTCTGCGCTACGCGCGGAGGAAGGGGAACTTGATTCAAACAAAGATTAAGAGTCGAGAACGTTCCAACGAATCGTCTTCTCTCTCTAATAATTTAAATAAAACTTCAAAGCTTCTGCGCCTCGCTGGAAAGGGGGAAACTCCTCCTTCCTGCACTCAACCCCCTATAGGGAGCACGCTTTGCGTGCTCACTACCGCCCCTCCTTAAATGAAATCCTGGCTACGCGCTTGGGGAGGGGATGCAACCTGCCACATGCTTCTACATCTTGGTTGCTTTGATCCATTGCCGAAAATATTTTGGCACCTATCATCCCCCCACCAACCATGGATACAAATTGACACCCTTGATCAGTATGCACTTGTATTGTATTCTCTTAATAAAAATAATAATAATAGCTCGTTCTTACTCCTTTCTCATTTGTTCAGAAAAGACTGACTTAAGACTATGGTACAGAAATTGTAGAATTTGATTTCCATTTTCATTGTGATGATAAAATATACATGTAGATGTAGATCTCTACTCTCTATTGTTAAACCCCTGTACATCTACCCACACAGATGATGCAAAGTCCACTGATTCACTCTCCATGAAAATTCCCCCCTTCGCTTGGGAAGAGTGAATCGGTGGCCTTTTGTGTCCACATGCGGGTAGACACTCTAATTAACAGTTATCACATTAATAACAGACAAAGCCATTCATTGTATCTGTTTCTGTTTTCTTGTACATTATGCTCCTATGCCCCCATTCTCTGACATAGGGCTTTTTAAAAATTCCATTACTGTCATGGATGTACTAGTCTAGGATATATAAAAACTGATGTCCTAAGAAATAGCTCCCATGATTCTCTCAGTGTCTTTGTAGTTTGTATAAGGGAAAGTTAGGATGATGAGCTTTCATTATGGGACGGTTGAAAGATGATGCAATGCATCATATACGGTACATGTAATATCTAGTGTCAGTCATAACAGTAAAGGCCACTCCTGGGGCCCGTTTCACAAAGCCTTTTTTCAATGACAAAAATCAGTGACAAATCTGCTGATAACCAATCAGAAGCAAGGATTTCAGTAGCTTATAACAAAAACTGTAATTTGTCACTGATGACAAGTTTTGTGAAATGGGGCCCTCACTTGAATACCTGAATAGTGTCAAATTCCCCTTCGAAAACCCATATGTGTCTTTATGTCCAGGGGGGTGTTTCCCAAAGATCCTAAGTTGAACTTAACTCAAGTTGGATTTAACAATTATGGAAAGCCGTTAGCATCTTTGACAATAACATAAACTATTGATTCAAATCATTCACATTTTCTATTGTCAAGGAGATCTCATGTTCTTGATGTGGAATTTATGGAAAATCTAAAATACATCAGTTTGGGCATTTAAATATATTTTATTTTAAGGCTACAAATGGCTCTCCATAATGTTTACATGTAAGTCCAACTTAGAGTTAAGTTCGACTTATAATTCTTGTGAAACACCCCCCAGAACTAGACTCCATCTTTATGTGTCATTAAATGCCATTTATTGTTTCTGTGATTATTCTGTCAACAGCACCATCTGCAGTCTTCCCTTAAAGATGGCATCGGGTGAGCAAGACCTGAAGAACCTTGCCAGCTGTCTGCAGCAGACTCTGTCACCAAACATCACTGAGAGAAAACAAGGTATCAAATGTGCTTTATGGGAATTAATACGCCAAGTCAAACATAATCAGTCATTTGATGTCTCATATGTTCATAAGCATTATGAATTTAATGATATAATGAACATCAATTGAAACCCCAAAGTATCCCTTTGTGAATTGCCTATGAAATCCCTTGCATGTATATATATATAGCTCTATACTATTTTGTTTTTAGAGTGGATCTGGACCTAAAATCTTAAAGGGATCCGGTAACTTTTTCTAAGATCCTGAAACAAAATCCTGGATTTAGCTCATGCTGCAATGATAATTATAAACCTTTAGGTCAGTCAGGAACCCCATGACTTTTACAAGCCAATCGCCTGACTGATTATCAAGAAATTTTTGATTGGAATTACAAATACACTACAGTCTATTGGGAAAAACGAGTATGGTATAAACGGTCACTCAAAGATTTTTACTTTTTTGAGGTACTTCTTGATCATTTTGAAGTGCAATTTTTTTAGGGCTTCAATATTACACCATATCCCAGACACTGATAATACGTAGGGCCATGCCTCTCAGATTTAAAATTGTTAAACGATGCCTTTAAGGTGTGTAAATATTTGAGAGCCCATGGGCACTGCACCCCTGTTGGTGTGAATGTGCCCTTTGTACATTTAGAGGTTATAACTTATACTTGTAGATAAGGTTAGGTTCTGGGAAAGGTATAAATCTATTTGTGAGCTTTCTTATTCTGCTTTATATGTTTGTTTGGAAGAATATCACAATAAAAATGCCCTGAAAAGGATTGCCCTTCAAATGCCCTTATATTAGAAAATTTGACAAAAAAGTCAAAACATTTAGTAGACTGAACTAGTCCCTCATACCCATTTATTTGTGGAGTGCATGTGACATTTACAGCAAGATGGAGACAATTTCATATTTTCTTAAAATGTTAATGATCCTAAACCTTATGGTATTCACCAATTTCTATGTACTACATTATTAATCCTTCCCATTGGTTTACTAACATACAAATTTATGGATGTTTCTTTTCTGGGGAGCAAGTGATAAGTCATTCCATTACCCTGTTATTAAGGAATGAACTACAATACTTGGAATCTAGTCTGCATACATTACTTGTTGCTTTGCTGGGCAAGCCTTGGGCAAGCCTTGGGCAAGCTTTGTGTTGTGAAGAACATCCTTTGCTAAAAAGCATGCAGAACAGTTGAATATGTTGAAAACTTGTCTAGTACTTGTGGACACTTTCCTGCACATTGTAAATGGTGTGACCTTTTTATTTTGTTTGTAGCTGAGAAGTTTCTTGAGTCTGTGGAAGGCAGTCCAAACTACGCCATCTTGCTACTGATGCTGATTGAGCTTGACAGCGTCGATGCCACCATTCGCCAATCAGCGTCTATCACATTCAAGAACTTTGTCAAACGCAACTGGAGAGTGGTAAGCATCCCTCAAAATGTATTCTTTTTTTTGGGGGGGGGGGAGGGTGTACTTGCTTCACATCGAGCCATTCCAAGGTATTTGGTCCTTTTGACCCAGCAGATGCAAACATTTCATAGTCATTGTACATCACGTTAATTTTTTTTTTTTAGGGGGGGGGGGGGGGGACAAATGTGACTGGAGAGTGGTAAAACAACCCTTGATATCAAGATTTTTGTATTTTTCTGTGGGTGCTCTTTTTTCCAGTTAGAGGATCCAACGTATTTGGTCCTTTTTTTATGTTCCATGTCTAATACCAAATTATTATGGAATAATGAATATTACCACAGTGAAACCTTGTTTTATAATGATTACCCAAATAAAATGATTACCTGTCTATAAAGTTTTCATTTTCTGTATCTCTTGAATAGTGTTTCTCAATGAAACTTGTACCAGAGGAACCTGTACATCAAGACCACCTGACCATCAAGATCACCTGACCATAAAGACCACTTTTCTTGTCTCTTTTGAGTGGTCTTTATATGCAGGGTTCACTGTAATATGGAAAGTGGAATAGCGTTGTAAAATCCCAAACATACAGGGCAAAATACTATTTAATTTCCTTATTGGTACCCTTTCAATATGTCAGCTAGCTAGATAGATTACTGTTACACTTTCCAATCAAACCATTTTTTCCTTACTTTTCCTTCCTTTCTCGTTACAGGTTGAAGATGAAGCTAACAAAATTACAGAGGATGACCGCAACAAAATCAAGCAAAAAATCGTTGGATTGATGCTGAGCGTCCCACTTAAGCTTCAGAGACAGGTAATGTGAATTAAAAAAGGTTTAAAGGTGAAGACCAGTTATGGTCATGCGATTGCATTGTGAAAGAAACGTTGTGGAATCGATCAGAAAAGGTTGATCATCTAGCATCTAGCATCTGCAAGGTTCTGGAATCATCAAAATGATAAGAAATTTGGCCCATTCTTCGTAAAGTTACAAGCACTATACACAGAAATATGTATATGGGACTACCCTATATCTCTCACAGACCATGAGAGAAACAAATTTACCAAATATATGAATTATTAGGCGGTTTCCCGGCAAATTTTGTATCATCATGTATTAGTCAAAACATATTCTTTCACATGATTGGTAATGAGAGCTTCAATTTCATTTTTTGAAATTGGGGCGTTTCCAATACTGGTCTTTACCTTTAAAGGGATACTGCTAATTTACTAGGCATAATTCCACGAAACCCGAAATGCGTGTATGAATCAAATTTAACATGCATGTCATTGGGATGGCGGTGATACTTCTGGAAGTTTCGTGAAATGCTGCCCAGGTGAATAAGATCTTAAAGGTGAAATTGAAAGACGATCACAAATATGTCAACTAATGTATCACTAGAAACTGGTAAGCTAACAGATGGCCATCGGACAAGTTTTAGGTCAACTACATATCGGGTGATTCATACAAATACAAATACAACAACCTCCATAGCAGCTGGGATATACGACGGATTCGCTGGAAAAATAACAATGTTTTAATGACGTCACTATATGGACCAACACTGCCCAAGCAGACGACATCCCATAGAGAATGAACATAATTGCAAAGCTATTACTTCTCAAATTATAATGAGTTTGGTGTATATAAATGTGATGGCTTGTAAAACCATTCAAAAGGGGATATGACCCGATTCTGATAACTAAAATCTTTTGCTTGTAAATACACAGGATAGGGGTTAATTAACAATCACAGAAACCAGACTTTCAAATTGAAAAGCCCCGGAATGATATTAAGGACGGCATTTGTTCCCTCTTGAAATGCCGAACATACCCCGGCGTGTGCAGCTGAATATACAATGGCGCCTTATTTTGTTTACAAGCGACAGATTCCTTTATTTATGTATCGCTGCATTTGTCATCAAAATAAAACAATGCGCGGGGTTTGGAGTGAGGCAATAGATTTTACATTTAGCCTGACGGTAGTGAAGTAAGAGAAAGAACTCGAGAAGATGAAAACACAGGCACTGAAAATGTTTGAGATGTCATGGGACATCGTCTGCTTGTGCAAAACATGTCCATACTGTGATCTCACACATCTCAGCAGCGCTCGGAGAGCTCTTCAGGTGCTATGCCGGGCCTGTATTTAAGCGTTATTTAATTTATAATAATCATTACTTTGAATGTTTCCAAGCATTAAATTTTGATAATCTTGTTGAATCAAAGTTTCAACTTTGCAATAATGAAAATAAAGTTAGTTTTTAAAATCAATGAATATCTACTTTAACCTATTTAAAAGTAATACAAAGTTATGGTATGGGGTCATGAATTTTGGTTTCGAATGAACATATATGAAACAATATTCAGTGATTGTTCTTGCGGTTAAAATCGAGTCTAAAGTTACGAAATTGTAAATAATGTTGTATAGCCCCCTCTCAAGGTCAAGATATTAATTAAGCTATAAAACAATGTTTTTTTACTATAATCTACCCATTAGCTATTCCTGTTTGGAAATTATATGTCACAACTACATATTCTGAGATTTTCATGGTCGCAGCTACCATTGTGCGGCCGTAGGCGCTATTTGAAATTTATCAAAATTTACCGGGAGCACCTGTTAACTTTTATATTCAATTTTTCTCGAAAGCAGAAGTGTTCTAGGGGCCAAATTTTCTAGTGCTTGTAATACATCCACAGAGGCATCCAAATATATGGAAATTGTAAAAAATCACTATCCACCCATTTTTCAAAATTTCCCACAACTTTGTATTACCTTTTAACATAGGACATGATTTTGTACAAACTCATTTGTTGGACGGGGCTATTCAAACACAGACTCATGACTATATTTGTCTTGTATGTTTTAGCTGAGCGATGCCATCAGTATGATAGGCAAGGAGGATTTCCCAGACAAGTGGCAGTCCCTTCTTCCAGAACTCACCTCCAAGTTTGAGAACTCTAACTTCCCTGTCATCAACGGAGTCCTCCGCACTGCACATTCGCTCTTCAAGAGGTGAGAGACAATCTCTGATAACAAAAAAGAAAGAATTACAATGGAACCTCGTTATGACGAGGTCCGCGGGACCATGGAAATTATGTTGTCATAACAGATACCTCATTTTATCAGAGCTTTTAATGATGAGGTTCCACTGTACAAATAAAGCTTAGTTTGGTAGCAAAAAATGAAAATGGACAAAAACATGTTAAATGTAGTCACATGTTCTCCTTGTATAGAATAACATATGTTCAAGATCGCTTTGTATTTTGTCCCTGATTTCCTGTGCATTATAGGCTAAATATCTGCAAGGAATGCTAGGTAATGGTTATACTCTCCCCTTCGCTATATAGTCTCATACTCTCATACTGTTAGGATCCTTTCACCACGATGGTTCTGATGGTGTATCCTTTATACACAGTGCCCATAGGTTTGACATGTCTAATGCAGGTTGTCATAAGAATTAACTTTCTAGGATGGAATCTAAATTATTTTGTTTATTGCACAAAACAATGGGCACCAATTGATGGAAAAAATGTTTGTTAGCGTTTGCAAAACAGTCGTAAGCCTTTGCAAACGGTTGTTAAACGGTTTTGCTCTTTGTTTTCGTCAGTTCTCTGTGTTTCGCCAAAGCTAGCGACCACGTTACCATATGGTTCCTTTATAAAATCGACCCATTGAGTACCAGTAGTTAGCAAAAGGTCTCAAACGTTCACAAATAGTGGCAAAGGATTGGCAAATAGTTGCTAATCTTTGCAAAAGTTGTCGCTAACATTTGTTTACAGTCGCTAATAGTCGCCAACTGCCTTTCGCAAACACTTTCGGAGACATTCGCTTTAATGTTGCTAATTGTCGCTAAACGTCACTTAATGTCGCTGATTTTCGCCAACATTCGTCAGAAAAGTTGGCGAATCCAAATTCGCAACGTTCGCAAGCATTCGCTGCTCAGTGAGATAGGCCCTTTAAGAAAATGTTTAATTCATCTATGTTTGATTTATTCAAGGTACCGCTATGAATTCAAATCCAATGCACTGTGGAGTGAGATCAAACTAGTCCTGGCAAACTTTGCTGCTCCGCTCACACAACTCTTCAATGTAAGTCTCTTCTGATTTTGAAAAGGATATGATTCAAAACATTTACAATTTAAGATTTAAGAAAATTATTTTAGACAACAGTTTAGGCAGGAGATTCAATAATGAAGCCGTCGTTTAATATTTGTAAATAGGTGGATAACAAAGCCCCTGTCATATGGAGCAAATTTCATGAATTGTTTTTTTAGGTCGTTATTATACTGTGGATTGGCATAACTAATATGAAACTGCAATAAGGATAATCATTTGGTGAGAGAGTTTAGTAACCACCTTGGCCACCAGGACAGCACGGTTTGGTTGTGGGATGAGATTTAGGTGGTCGGTGACACCCACTGATGGGCAACAGCCATGAAATCAACAACATCCAGAACCGCAACAACAACAACAACAATATTAACAGTAGATACATGAACAACAAGAACTAGAGCCAATAAAACTACAAGAAGATGAAGAACAACTACAAAACGAATACCTCTACCACCACGACAACCATATCCATTACCACCACCGCCAGGAACCTGGTAGTTTTCAAGCTCTTGGTAAGAATTAGATTCTTTTAATGTTTTTTCATTCTATGCAGGTTACAATGTCTTTGATTGTGGAACATAAGGACAACAAAGAATCAACGACCATCCTGTATGACTCACTCACGCTCATCTCTAAGATCTTCTACAGTTTGAATTATCAGGTACAGTCAAACCCGCTTCAGTGACCACCTGTATAGAAAGACCACCCATTTACGAAGATCACATTTTTTGTTTCCCTTGAAAATGGTTTCTCATTGAAACTGCCTATAAAGACCACTTTTCTGGTCTCCAGTAGGTGGTCTTTATAGACAGGTTTCACTGTAGTATTATTTGAATGAAGGCTTTTGCTCCGACTTGAAAAATCTTTTGGCATAAGTACGCAGATGACCAGATGTCATATGGAAAATTGAAATAAATTTTACACGATTAATATAATAATACTTGATGGCTTTTCTTTTGTGAGAACAAGGGAAAGTAGATGGTAATAAAGATGAAAAGAAGGAAATAAGTTGAAGGGTGTAGAGATGGGCAAAGAAATTTACAAAACATCTTGGAATTTCTTTTTAATTGTTATAAGCCAGTTCGTAGATACAATCTGTGCATGGCCAGAAAGAGCTTCATTTATACCAATGTTGTAAAAACCATTGAGACGACTGCTGAATACATGCTCATAACAGTAATATAATCACCATTCATTTATGCACCAACAGTACATTTTTTGGAACACTGGTGGAAGTATTCTTAAGAGGGCAAATAAAATGCACTCATGAAGTACCTCCGTTACTTTGGCAGTGAATATTCTAAAATGCACAACGTCTGACTTCTCTGCTTTTAAAAGATCTGTGGATATTCAGGTCCTTTAAACCATGTGCTGGTTACGAACAGGTCTAGTGACTAAGAATTTATAATTTCTCTATTTCTCAGGACCTACCAGAATTTTTTGAGGACAATATGAAGATCTGGATGACCCATTTTCTTGCCCTTCTGACGGGAGACAACCCTCTGCTACATTCAAAGGTAAATCTAATCCCCTATTACTAAGTCTGAGTAATGTCTTTACACTCCGCCTTTGAAGAGTCTAGCCCTCTGATTGGTCAAAACTGCAGGCATGAAATTCGCTACTGTCTTTTGTGCTGTGTAGTGCAACAAAAATAATGACCGGGCATAGTTCTACCTGCATGTACAATGCAAAGATGCATTGGTTGCCCATGAAGATTTAAATGAATATGCGCAGTGAGACATGCTCATTACTCTTCAATGTGTAAATTTCCCTACAAATAACTACATTTTGATGGGCAAACACTGTTTTGTTAAAATATCTCTATGTGAGAATCAACAGGCGGGATGTCATGTGGTATATAAAATAAATATTGACTGCTTCTTTTTTACTGTTACTGTTAAAACTGTAGCTCCTCTGTGATCTTGAGACTGCGCTATATATAATCTGTGACTTCGTCTTGGGGGTACAGTATAGTTTCAAGATCGTGTTGGGCAATAGTTTTAACCGTGCCCCTCAAAGCAGTTAATATACTAAGTCGGCATGTTTTTATTGGGCATTGTATATTTGATGATAGTAAAAATTTGGATCTTTAATTTTACTTTACAGGATGAAGATGAGGCTGGACCCCTGGAGCTGCTCAAGTCCCAGATCTGTGACAATGTCGCCCTCTATGCCCAGAAGTATGATGAAGAGTTCCAGGAGTACCTACCCAACTTTGTGATGGCTGTCTGGAATCTCCTCGTATCCACAGGAGCACAGGTCAAGTATGATCTGGTGAGTGTCAAAGGTCAGGGGTCAGGGCACTTTCCTCTAAAGACACTGCGCATTATACAATCCGACTGCAATCCACTTATATTTTGAATTCTCTCTAAACTATTTGTTTTTCAAATCTTGTTTAGGGTTACAATGTTTGAGGTCTGTTTTTGCTGTCGTGTAATGTGTTTGATGTTATGTTTTATACGTTCCAAAGTATTAAGGGCGACACTCTGCACTGATCGGTTAATCAATATTAAAATTACCATGTTTATTTGTACCCAAAGCAAGAATCTATATGTGAGATATTCATACTTTACCTGTTTTAAATTATTATTATACCTTTTTGAATAATTATTATTACAATAGTTTTTGGCTACCTTTTACAATGAGTGTATTTGACAGTATTTTGCTATTTACTTTGTTTTTCTTTGAGTATATATTGCAAAAATATAGAAATATATTTTTATTATGAAATATGACTGACTTTTCTTTTCTTTTTCTTTTTTTTTGTTTATTTTTCTTAGCTCATCAGCAATGCCATCCAGTTCCTAGCATCGGTTGCAGACAGAGATCACTATAAGCACCTCTTTGAGTCCCCTGATACACTCAAGGGCATCTGTGAGAAGGTCATCGTACCCAACATGGAGTTTAGAGGTCAGTATCAATTCTTTTCCTGCTTAATAACAATAATAGTAGTATTGGATGTGTATATGGCACACATATCCACCACGCAAGGTGCTCAAGGCCTCCTATATTATCCCTGCTCAGGTAGGATACCGATTTCAGTGCTCACAGCATTTAAGGAAATCTTTCCTACCTGGGTGGAAAGTGGCAGGTGTTGATTAATATCTTGCCAAAGGAAATTACTGTTGCGGCAGGACTTGAACCGCAGACCCTGGGATCTACTAGACAACTCCTCCACCTCTTAGAAATCCTTTCAGAAACTTCTGTGACATTTAGTATATATAATTATACAAATTTCAGAATCTCCTTTTGAAATATAACACATTGCTTTCTTAAATAGTATCTTGTGATATCTACTCTATTCCTTGATCGTTGTGATAGCAGATTAAGAAATAAGTAAATATTCATACAAGTCTTGTGTATGTGCTTTCTCCCTCCCTCCATCCTGTTTAGGTGCTGATGAGGAACTCTTTGAGCTCAATCCTGAAGAGTATATCAGACGAGACATCGAAGGCTCAGGTATGGTGGCTTCAAATACTCAAATACCTTGATTGACTTTGAATTTTTACGCCTAAGTTAAAGCATCTTATGTTTTCTATCTAATATATTTTGATGTTTGAAGATGGCATATAATTTGAGACAGTCTCAAAGGCCCGAATTCACAAAGCAAGGTTTGAGCTCAGACCAAGGTTTGAGCCCAAACCTCCTTTTGTTTCGCCAAACCTCCTTTTGTTATTTATAAACCAGGTTTGTAAATAACAAAAGGAGGTTTGGCGAAACAAAGGGAGGTTTGAGCTCAAACCTTGGTCTGAGCTCAAACCTTGCTTTGTGAATTCGGGCCAGAATGTTTTCCAAAACACAAAATTATGTAGATGTGGTTGTAAGGGTTATATTCTTCATTCTACTTGATTTGTATTAATTATTTTATTATTTGTTCTGCTTTTGTTGTTCAGTTTAATGACACACACATACCTCAAAATAGAAATGACAAGGATCACATTCGCAATTATACACTGTAAGGCCACAAATGTCTACAACATGAATCTTTTGTGAACTGTAAATGACAACTATTTTCACAGCAAGAGGCAAGTGTCATTTGTAACTCAACCATTTTGTGGCATGAAACTTTTATGAGACTGAAGTACTCTGATATTTGCAAACATTAAATGCCTGCGAAAATGTATTGATATACAGTAGGTACAGATTTCAATGTGAAACTAATCAAAACTTATGTCTGTAAAGGGTAGGATTTGTTTACAGATCATGTCTCCTAAGCTTCTGTATTGTTGTTGTCTTTTTTGCTGCTGCTGTTGTAGTGGCTGCTGCTGTTGTAGTGGCTGCTGCTGTGTTGTTGTGTTTATTGCTATCATGTATTTTTACAAATGTAGCTATAAATACAATAAAGTCATTTGATTTGGGCGTTCCATATGATGTTAATCTGTTCTTATTGTTTCCCTCTTCTAGACATCGACACAAGGCGCAGGGCTGCTTGTGATCTGGTGAAAGCACTCACCAAGTTCTTTGAGGCTGCTGTCATTGAGATCTTCTCCAATTATGTACAGCTTATGTTGCAGGTACAATCAATAAAATGTATAATAACCATTAACAATTTGTTCATCAAGGTAATTAATACAGATAATTAATTGACAGAACATAAAAGAAAATGTGAACATTGAGTACTAGCTAAAGAAATGGTAGTTCAGCCGTAACACTCTTAGGAGCTTTAAGGTAATCAATTAAATTGAATCCTACTTTTTCTTTAGGCATAAAGGCTAATCAGTCATCCTGCTAAGAGTTGAACAATTTTAGGAGGGAAAAAAGGAAGAAAATTGGGACAGATAATTTCAAAGTATGTGGTTAAAGTCTGGAAACAGAAACCGGATTCTCTATTTCTAAATGTAGAAATGAAACAATGTAGAAACCCAATTTTTTAAATATTTTTGTTCCTTTTTGCAGGGTTACAGGAGCAACCCGGCGGTGAACTGGAAGCAGAAGGACGCAGCTACGTATCTGGTCACATCAATAGCATCCAAGTCAAAAACACAGAGGGTGAGTCTTACCACCTTTATGCTCTGACACTATGTTGCCTTATCTAAATAGTGATCAGACACATCAACTGGTGACGATTGTTCATCAACAGTTGGTGTGCCAATAATTGCCCTGCCCTGGCATTGTCTAGCGCTAGTGTTTACTTTAGGCTTAGCTCTAGGAGTAGTGAAAGTCAAATGGGGGTTTCAATTTTAAACAACGATTTTTCGTCATGACCTCCTGCAAGAAATTCAAAGATAAAGGGTCAGGTTCACTGTTAGGGTTGTGATCAGGTTTAGGTTTTCTTTAGGTGCTCCAACATTTGCGACAATTTCTTTCTATTTGTATTACTTCAAAGATATGGGATTAGGTTTAGGGTTGTGGTCAGGTTTAAATGTAAAGACCAGTTTTGGAAACGCCCCCCCTCTCAAAAAATGAAAGGGAAGCTCTTATCTTGTGAAAGAATATGTTTTGACTAATACGTGATCATACAAATTTTGCCGAGAAACCCATAAGTCCCATACCAACAAATGTATAAGTTGTCCCTTGCCTGTGGGCCAATAGTGTTCTTTGTGCTGAATATTCTTTTGTATTTCCTGTTTTGTGTACCAGCATGGAACGGTGCAAGTCAGTGAGCTCGTCAGTATTCCAAGTTTCTACACAGAGAACATTCTTCCAGATCTACAGTCAGCAGAAGGTAAGATCCTCACACTAAACCTCTTGACTTATGAATTCTCTTGTTCATTGAGGATTGATAGGAATCATCTGAGGTGGTATTCTGATATCAATATTATCTTTTTTGTTGTTAAAACTATGGTAATTGTCATAACAAATCAAAACTAAGACATTCCACTGGTTATTGTTTGTGCAAAGCTGGCTGCTTTTGCGTAAAGGTAAAAGCACCACTGGTGAGTGTTAGTTCTGCACAATTTAAGTTTGCCATGACAATTTACATCATTTTCTGTGACATACATGTAAGAGAGCATCTTTTTTCATCTAATTCCTGTAGTAGTGGGTCAATGCATTATGTAAATTATGTAACATGCATAGCACTGGCAATTTAATTGAGTGCTGCCAAGGCACAGATACATTTCATTTCCACAACTCTTGATTGGCTCAATATTCTCTTTTCTTTAACTCATAAAATCTAATTTCGGTATGGATTACCTCTTCTCCCTCAACAGTTGACAGCCTACCGGTCCTAAAAGCTGATGCCCTGAAGTACGTGATGACATTCAGGAACATCCTTCCTCCAGAGATGTTGATAGGGTCGCTACCGTTCCTAGTCCAGCTCCTCAAGGCTGAGAGTCAGGTGGTCCATACCTACGCAGCCAACACCCTGGACAAACTCCTCTTGGTCCGTAAGGAAGGCAATGAAAGACTGTAAGTAGGCCACAGGTGTTCCATAAAGGCTTCTGTAGATATAACACAACAAAGTGTCGCTAAAAAGCCACCGCTTGCGTTAAAAAGTGTAAATAATGGAAACTTTGCAAAAAGCACAACATAGGTCCTGCTTAGCTGTGTGTTATTATACAAATAATGCACTGTTGCGAGTGTGTTAGGGCAGGGCCAGTGCACAAAGTTTAGTCAGTGATAATGGTAATAATAATTGATAGTAATATCGATATCGCACTGTTCTAACCCGAGTGCACTGGAAGTGCCCTAACACACGAGTAAACAGTGCATTATTTGTTTTATAAGACGGGTCGGCAATACATTCTTATAATATAGTCTAGATCTAGAGTATAGATAGATATTAGACCTAGATCTTACTTAGATCTAACTAGATATAGGCCTAGAATATTCTAACGTTATATCTAGATATGCACAAATTTAATTTGGCTGAATTATGCAAAAGCGATAACGGCAGATATCGAGCATGTGTTATCAATTTTTGATGGGAGATGTTTTACACGGTGGGTAAAATAAATGCATGCCCATGTGATGTCAACTGACCAATCGGATTGCTTCTAGAACCCGTCTTATAAAAGAAACAAATGTAAAGCATATTACGTCATATTAAATTATGTCATAAAATATAGAAAAATAAAACTCGGCGGTTTACTACCACATATCTAAATGAGGCTTCAAAGCCTGTTCTGATATGCAGTGGGAAACCTCCGCAAAAAACACCCATGTTTTTTTTAAAATAAATAATTTAATGTAAATTTTGAGGAGGTGAAAAAACCCAGATGTTTATCTGTCTTTGATGGTCTAGCTTTATATATTGTTGTCACCTTGATGTTTAAACCTTTTGTGGGTACAGATGTTTCAGTTCTTGATTTTTGTTTCTTTTTCTTTCTGTAGGATCAAAGCAGAGCATCTTCAGCCTCATGTTGAAGCCCTTCTTACAAACCTCTTCAATGCACTCACAATGCAGGGATCAGAGGAGAATGAATACATTATGAAAGGTAAATTAGTCCTAACAGAGATGTCATGGGGGGTGTTTCACAAAGATCCTACGTCAAACTTAACTCTAAGTTGGACTTTAAAATTATGGAGAGCCATTTGTAGCCTTAGAATAAAAATATTCAAAAGCGAAAATTCAAGTATATTAGACTTTTTATAAATTCCACATTAAGAACATGAAATCTCCTTGATAATAGAAAATATGAACGATTTGAATCAACATTTTATGCCTTTCAAAATAACTTTTCAAAAAAAGGCTTTCCATAATTGTTAAGTCCAACTTAGAGATAAGTTCAATTCAGGATCTTTGTGAAACACCCCCCTTCCAGCTCTAGTAGATTCGTCACTGGACTATGGATCACATGGTCAATGGTTCAAGTCCCAGCCCAGCACCAATGTCCTTTGGCAAGACATGAATCTACATTCGCCACTCTCCACCCAGGTCTAGTAAATGGGTACTAAGTTAGAAGTTATTCCTTGAATGCTTTCAGCGCTATGATGCTGCATTAAGGCTGCGAGGCTTTGAAATTGGCTCAGTCAAGCTGAAATGCACATGTAGTGCACACATGAATGGGTATATGGGACTACATCCAAATGAGACATGAATGTTTGGACCAAACACTTCATCTACAAGTATTACTTGTCGACTTTGAATACGAGTGCATTTGAAGTGAAATCTTTTTCAGGGGACATTTCTTCTATGATATTCCTGTATTTATTCCTATTTCTCCTATTTCATTTGCTTTGCTGAATAGTAGACCAGTTATCAAATGGTTACAGATTACCCAAGCATGCATCACCCCCAAAATCCACAGATCTTTTAAACAATTAGAGATGTCGTAGTCGAGGGTTTAAGCACTTGACTTGAAATGCAAAGGTCGTGGGTTCGATCGTCAACACTACACTAATGTCCTTTGGCATGGCATTAATCTACATTTGCCACTCCATACCCAGGAGAGAAATGGGGACCTGGTAGAGTGATGTGTTGTGTGTAGTAATTGCCATATATGTCATTACAGTGACCATATGGTAGGAATACTCCCCAGGGAGTGGAGATGGTGCACATTATCCAGATAATTATTATTATCGTTAAACAATGTTCTATTGCTTTTTTTCTTTCTCTTACAGCCATCATGAGATGTATGTCTGTCCTCCAGCACGCAGCTGTACCGTACCTTCCCATTCTACTCACCAAACTCACAGAAAAACTGGTGCTTGTTAGTAAGGTAAGATCCTCGACCCTAAAAGGGCTGGGGTTTTGGGTGGGGGGGGGGGGGGGGTAAACTCCACCCCGCATTATTTTTAAGGTGATTTTTTGCACCGCAAGCTTTTATAACTTTGTGGCCCAGTGTCTTTGATACCAAATTTGTATCCTTTTTAAATTACCGGTATCGTCTCAACAAATTGTTGTGCTGTGCATGGCCAAAATGAACATTTATCATTAGGTAATGTATATACTGCAAAATCTCTACTACATGTATATGAGCATGTAAATAAATAATTAGAGATAATTCCAAATGTGTTTGTGAAATATAAATGAATCTCATGTGCTAAATTTCAGAATGTTTGTTCCTTCTTGCTGAGATCTAAAGGGGAGGCGGGTAGGGTTGCACTCTACCCCCTCATGCTGAGGGACCTTTTTAACCCTAGACAAGGAGTTAATGCACTCATTAATCTTCTATTCATTCATGTTGTACAATTTTCTTTTTTTCTTCTAAGAACCCTTCCAAGCCTCACTTAAATTAATATTTATTTGAATCTCTGAGTGTGACCATTTCTATCGTGCAGAATCCCTTTAACCAATATACATTTGAGTGTGACCATTCTTGAATATATTCTTTTCTTTTCAGAACCCTTCCAAGCCTCATTTCAACCACTATTTATTTGAATCAATGAGCGTGACGATCAAGGTGGGATGCAAGGCTGACCATGCCAACGTCGCTCTCTTTGAGAACTCCCTCTTTCCTCTCTTCCAAGAAATGCTCGTAGCAGATGTGCAAGGTAAGTTCAATAATGATACAGTGAAACCTGCTTTAGCGACCAGCTTTGTATTAAGACCACCTGTCTATAATGACCACATTTATATGTTTCCCTTGACAATTTTTTCTCATAGAAACCTGTACTAAAGGAACCTGTCCATAAAGACCACTACCCATAAAGACCACTTTTCATGTTTCCCTTGAGTGGTTTTACATATACAGGTTTCACTGTAATAACAAGAACTATTTCTCATACATGTATAGCATCTTTCTGGTTACTAGGTTATCAAACAAAACGCTTACAGTATTGTTACCCCGGTCACTGAATTCATTGGACAATTCTGCACATTGCAGTGCACATTCTCCACTCCTTTGGGGAGCATTCTAGCCAGTCACCTGTTGACAAGCCCTCAAATGCTAATCTAACAACAATGCTGGCGCATCCTAATAGGTAATCCATCAAGACATGGGTGGAGAGGAGCAATTAGGTAAATTGCCTTGCCCAAGGACATGTACCGTGCCAGGGTTTGAACCCAGGACCTTTGCATTTCCTTTCCATACATGTCTGTTAAAACCCAATCACACACACATCTCGCCTAAAACTTGATTGTAACACGAACTCTAAACTTATGTACTCGTCTGTGAAAATCTATTGCCTAGGGCGAATTGTTGCTGGAGCAAACATCTTGTCAAAAGCAGTGATTGATGAATATCCAGACCCTAAGCAATACTTACAATCACTTCTTGCTCTTCATTTTTTGTTTATAACCACTCCAGAATTCATCCCATACATCTTCCAACTGATGTCGATGATGCTGGAGTCCCGTACGGACTGCCCTGGCCCATACATGGAACTGTTCCCTTTCCTGCTGGTGCCTGTTCTGTGGGAGAGACCAGGCAACATCCCGCCCCTTGTACGGCTCCTGCAGGCCATCATAGAGAAAGGCGCAGCTAGCATCGTGGCAAGTGACAAACTGGTAAGTCATTGAGTCGTACAGTGTACTATGTATCAGGATTACCAACTCCGTACAGCTTCCTTCAAGGGAAACTAATCCACCAAGGACAACAAACCCTTTCAAACAAGTACCCCAATGAACGAATCCCCCATGGAACAAACCCCTCCCCATATGCCACCTTACAACTACCCCTGTACATTTACAGCCTGGACAACTGCCTCTTGTCAACTACCCCTGGACAAGTACCCCTTAGAATAATTACTATCCCATAGGACAGTCGCCCTTTGTACAACCATTCCAATTAAACTACCCTTTAGAAGATCTACCCCCTTAGAATGGTATGATCGACCCCTAGATGAAATACCCCTCTGGTGAACTACCCCACCTAGAACAACTACCCTCACATCTCTTCTGCTTGACATGTCGAAGAGGCTGGGTAATGGCTGGGTAATGGCTCGCCCCTTGTACGTCGAGCGTCGAAATCGGCAGCCTAGCATAGCCGGATAATGTTGGAGCGCCTTGAGGACCTTGTAAGGTCGATACGTGCGCTATATAAGAATCCAATATTATTATTATTACCCAGTTAGCATCGTGGCAAGTGACAAACTGGTGAATCATGCTGCTAATCAGTAAGATGTAAGGTTACAGGGAGATTGCCCTGGTTAAGAATTTCTGAAAGTGATTACTCACTGGGACAGTACCCAATAGAACATCTACTTCACAGGACACTTACTTCCACAGACAAACCTGTCTACAGTTGCCACTTTTTCTGTTTCCCTAGAGTGACCTTAATAGACAGGTTTGACTGTAATCAGTTATTGCTTAGAACAGCTTATGACAACCACCCCTCGATGGGACAGGTCCCCCAACCACCCTGACTTTAGGGTTAAAAGGGATAATTGTGTTGTGAAGTTTGGGGGAAGGTTGCCAATTTGAAGGGCAATATCTTATATTCCTCAGCATATTTGTTTTTGATACATAACTGTGTATTTTACTTTTACAGATGGGACTTTTGGGTGTGTTCCAGAAGTTGATGGCTTCCAAGACGAATGATCACCAAGGGTTCTATCTCCTTCAGAGTCTGGTAGAGAACATGGAAGCGTAAGTATACAAGATTTCCTTTATAAAGAAATTAGTAGCCAATGGATGTACTGCACCCTTTCTTACGAGTGATGTTTATAAACGGTGATTTTGAACTTTCCAATATGTTTCCAAATTGAAGGAATTCCATTTCATTGTCCTTTCATTAATCCTGTCATCAAACATGGTAATAAAACATAATATTGGCATAACAAGTTCAGAATATTTAGCTCTTTCTGATTTGAATCTAGTATATTTTGCAGGGTATTGAAGGAAACCACAGAATGTGGCCAGTATTTGGAATGGGTTAGGTAAAATACATATGTTAACATGTAGTTAAAAGAATTTACACTGAGCTGATTATGGTTCAAAATGTAGCATGATTGCTGGAGTACTGTTGTAAGTGGTGGTATGAATTATGTGTATGGTAAAATGTCATGCTACATGTACATTTGCATATGTTGGATAGTTCTGTAAATCTTTTTGCCATGATTTTTTATTTCATTTCAGTAATACTTTCAATGAGCACGTCAAATCCATCTTTCTTCTTCTCTTCAATCGACTGATCAGTTCCAAGACTACAAAGTTTGTAAAGAGTAAGTAATGTTCAACTTGTTTTTTATCACTACATGTAGTCAAGACCTTGCACCGGTAGGACAATTTGCAGGAAATCAAAGTTACAAGGCCTGGATTTTGTCTTGGAATACCTTGTCTATCTGCTTATTTGTTCATTAACAATACAGCATTTTTCTTTCAGAATGATCAGAATAATTTGGCAGATGATGTGTATTCATACCTAAAATATTTTATAACCGGTGTGTTGGCTCAGTCAGTAGAGCGTCGCCTCACAACACGAAGGTCGTGGGTTCGAACACCGGTCGCGTCATATCAAAAGACGTTAAAAGATGGGAGTTGCTGCTACCTTGTTTGGCGTTCGACAATAAGGGATAGAGCAACGTCGATCTGGCGCTGCTCAGTGGCTGCTGGGCTCATGATCAATTGGGCAAAAAGAATTTCCATTTTTGGTTTAACTTAATAAAATTTGGAGTGGACTTTAAAAGATTATTATTATTATTATTATGATTTGGTTTGATTCTATTAGAAATTATTATTGATGGTTACCAGAGTTCAAGGTTATGTTTTAAATAGGAATAAAAGTACTCAAACCCCATATGCCCATGTTTGTTTATCTATGCAGGTCTGTTAGTGTTCTTCTCCTTGTATGCAGTCAAGTGTGGTGCCTGTAAATTAGTAGAAATCGTCGATAGTCTTCAACCCAAGTAAGTCTTGAAATTGTGTTTTTCTTGTAGTCTACAAAGCATCATTGTTTTTATGCCCAGTATTCTGAAGTCTATTCTATTTTCGTATTCAGTCTAGCAGTCTAGTTGCTCATAATGTGGAAGTTAAAGGAGCATATTTCTCGTTTTAGGGAGCATGTTTCTTGTTTTAAAGGGTCATATTTCTTCTGTTAACCTCTTCTGTGCTACCATAACGGTTGTCAGAAATCAACTTTTTAGAGTTAAGTTTGGCTTATGCTTTATTTCATTGTAAAAATGTGATTTCCCTGGGAAGTGCTGTCTCTGCTCTTGATGGATCTATACATTAGAAATCTTGGGAATTAGGAATTAGGAGCTAGATGGTAAGAATATAATCCCTTTATAATCCAATATTTGTCCTTGTTTGTTTTAGCATGTTTGGCATGGTCCTGGACAGACTGTATATTCCTGAGGTCCAGAAGACATCAGGCTCAATGGAGAAGAAGATCGTTGCCGTGGGGATGACAAAGATTCTGACCGAGTGCCCGGCCATGATGAGTAACCCCGCATACCTCAAGTTATGGTTAGTTCTAAAAAGATTTTGATGGATTAACACAAAGCTGTTCAGAGTTGTCTGAAGGATAAAATGAATCAACCTTTTCTCCTCAAAATGTCATCAATTATTACTGCTCTTTCATAGTTTGAAAACAATGTGTATTGAACGAAAAAGTTTGGATATAACATATTTTAAAAGAAAGAAAGGAAACTGCATATTTGTACACAAATATAGTGATCATGAATTTCACTCTGCGTTGCCAATTTAGAGACTCCAATGCTAATCTTTTATTCAATCGCCCTTATTCATGAATGGCACAATGTACTGCCATATTGATAGACTCAAATTTGCCCATGATTATTTCACCTTCTGCTCATGCACAATCGGTATAAATGTAGAGTATTCTTGATCAAAAAATTAAAATAAAACCTCACTTAAAGTTGACACTATAAACATTTAAGGGATATTTTATTTATTGTGGTATACAAAAATATTGTACAAAACTGAATTAAGTACAATTTACATAAGGTAAGTAATAACACAAGGATACTGCACAAAAGACAATAGTATTAAAAAATCATTAAAAATAGTACATTCATAACAAAACACTAGCCACACCTTAGATCAAAGAATGTTGGTGGTGGGATAACTGTAACGGTAGTAGGTAATGGATGTGAAAAAATAAAGGTTTTATATGACTTAAGCAAATTTATAGGAAGAATATATTGTTGAATAATGTATGATTCATAATGAACAAATCCTCTTGTTTTTACAGGACACCCTTACTCCAAGCCCTCATTGATGTCTTTGAACTGGAGGAAGACGACAACGTACCCGACGACGAGCACTTCATCGAGGTCGAGGACCAGCCATCGTACTCTGCCGCCTACTCCCAGCTCGCCAACGCAGGCAAGGCAACGAGAGATCCGTTCAGTGGAACCATCCAGAACCCTAAGATCTACCTGGCTCAGAGTCTGCAGAAACTCTGCGCTGCTCATCCCGGACAGGTAAAAGATACCTATACAAGTTACCCTGAGACCTTGAGAAAGAAGTCGTTTTTATATACCTTGGAAGTAGGCATTTAAAGTTAAAAACTTATTTGCCTCTTGTTGACATTAGGATGAAGAATCCATATTGCGACACATGTTTAGTGGCGCTGTACAGCAGTTGACGAGCATGGACAAGCGAAGGACTCTTCTGGGTCAAATTGATCTTTTCTTGACGGCCAAAACTTAGACAAATTGGATTTAAAGCTATTAAGTGACGTGCTCTCCACAACTACAGAGGAGAGATTGTTCCATTCATTGATACATCTCTGAGAAAAGGAGGCATGTCTAAGCTTTGAGTAGACTTGCTTCTAAGCGATCTTATATCGATGGCCACAGGTTCTACTATCAGTTGGATGGTCAAAGAAGTGTGCTGGATCCAGTTCATCTAGGCCATGCATTATTTTGTATATCTGTATCATGTCTGCTCTATGGTGTCTGTAGGCAAGAGATGGCAAGTTGAGATGTTTTAGTCTCTTCTCGTAACTCGTAATTTGTGGTGTTGCTTACAGAGTGTATTCTATCTTTTGCTTGGTTTTTAGACTTTTATTTATACCCATCCACTTTGAAAGTTGCTACAATGACATTCATCAATGACCCCCTGCTGTCTTTTCTCCTCTCACAGATCACAGGAATGATCAGCGCTGGTCTGGATCCCAAAGCTTCCGGGTTCCTCCAGGCATATCTTCAGGCTGCCAACGTCTCTCTCTCATAACACCAAGCTCTACAGTTCTCATGGAAGATAGAAGCCTTGTAAGAATCGACTGCCAAACGCCTAGGGCCGTCTTAATCTGTCCTTTTCATTAATAGAGGAACATTTGAACTATGTCAGCAGTTTTCTTTTGTTTACAGAAGAATTCAGTATTAGAGTCTGTCTTATAAAGAATCAGGTTTGATATGGATAGATCCAAACCTTCCAATCAGTCAGTAGCTTTCAGAAGCCTATCTTTTGGCAGAGTTCCACACTAGCTTTTTTTGGAAGGGGGTCTCATTTGAATTCTTCTTTGAAGTCTACCCCGGTACATGAATATTAGAGTCCTATGTAAAAATGTCAAAATATTGGCGGCCCGGACATAGATTAAAGGTGCCCATGTACCCTGGGCACCTATTAGTCTTGAGTCCTGTCTTTAGTACAGAATTGCGATTGGTAACACATTATGGTCGATTTAAATCAATCGCAACTGTAGAAAGAAATTATTTGTTGGTGTTTTTTGACACAGTTATGTTGATAGAGTGTTGATGTCGGGGAAACTTATATATTGACATACTGACAGAAACTTAGTGTTGAGGTTAGTCCTGCTAATGCCTCTGTATACTTGTTTTTCAGCTCTAAAGAAGCCCATGAGGGTCATACTCGATGGCTGCAAATTTCTCATTTGTAAACGTTCCTATATATTAATATTTATAAATTGTGGAGCTTGAAATGATATTGGATTTTCGATAAATGAATGTACATGCCTAATTTTAACTGGTTTGAATAGTTAGATTTTGGTATTACACTTATTTTTCTATAGACCCCAGCTCAAGTTACTTGCAAGATGACGTTTGCCAAGCTATTCTTCCATCTAGTTACATGCCCAAACCACTGTAGCTGTCTTTTTTTCCACAATCGTGATGAGAGGATCGTGTTCCTCTATTATTTATATGTTTAAAGACATTTGTATCTAGTATTGGTTTCATTTTAAATGGAAATGTTTAAAAAAGACAATACAGAATTAGTGTAATATACAGTAGATGCTACTTTGCATACTGTACCATATATGAGCATGTACTTTGTACCAAATAGTGTTGTGACAATGGATGTCTTTGATAATGCAGTACAAGACATTCGATGAAGAAAGAAAGAAGAAGAAGGAAGAAAACATAACAGTGGAAACGGTTGTGTTGAATTGAAAAAATGATAATGGTAAATGATATGTAAGGTACTGTAAGAGACATATATATTCAGTACTGGTTTCACCAGTCTAACTAACCCAAGTCTTCAAATTGCGACTTTAAAGTGTTTTTTTTTGCCTTGAAAAAGCTGTGAAACATCAAATGTTAATAAACTTTACATGTACTCTAAGAAGGCCTTGACTGTAAAGGCTATAAGAAACACAATATGAGATTTGTGTATAATAATGTAGAGCATGTGCTTTGTATCTAGATAATTGTGCTGTAAATACAGTATATGGACGTATTTGGTGATGCAATTACAGACAGTCAATAAGGAAAGAAAAATGATAAATTAAAAATGACATAAAATACCTAGTAATGGTCATGTTGAATTGAAAAAATAATTATTGACATTTTGGTATCATGGAAGGTTCAGTTTCCAAAGAAACCTGAATAATATTTTTTATTTGTACTGTGTATAAATAATAAAGCTTTCCAAGCAATGACGTGCTATGACTTTTGAGTTTCATTATTCCACACCCCAAACAGAACTGCAGTTAACTTGGCATAAAGTCGCACAATTCAATTTTGAACTCGGTATGCAAAACGTGTTATTTACACTTCAGTTGCATTTTTGATGAATTGAACCATTTTAAGTGGTCCAAATAGATTCGACTTGTGCAGAGTTAACCGTACATAATGTCAACGTTAGAAAAAAAACATACATGAAACGAACACAACTCCACACACAATAAATGAGAAGAAAAGGTTTTGATATCATTTATTTTGTCTTTTGGTTTGAACATTGAAGACCTTTTTGATTTAATTTGATTTTGATTTGATTGGTTATTCAACGTTACACTTTGGATGGATAATTCATCAGCACCCTAAACATACAATTTGAAAAACGATTACGTTCATAAAAATTAAATGCATTAGCAGCAATTAGACCATATTAGACATTCAGCGTAAATATGAGTATGCATGTCTTCAATATTTGGGCACAATTTACATGAAGGCCCCCAAATTGTGCCTGTATGTAGCCTCATTCAGATATAAAATGGTAAACTGCCTCCAAAACAATCTTTTCCAATTTGGTTTGAATTTCTTTTAGACAAAATAGGGGGGCACACTCGTATACTTGTGTGTTATAAAGATACAGATGATTTTTTTATTTTGCCACCATAGTTTACCATACCATTTACAAAAGGGAGATTACCGGTATTGTTTATAAATCGTCCATAAAACAATATTTACGAAATTCAATTCAGTTGTTAGAACCCTTCCAACATATTTAAAGGAATCAGGTACATTTAATTACTTAAAACAAAAGAAACTTACAAATTGTTAAAAAGCATATTTTGATCTTGTCTTGGACATTGTAAGCACGTGTAAAAAATGGTTGCATAGATGTACTGTATTGCATAGATGTACTGTATTGCCGAAATTATGCATTCATAATCAGATATTATTATAAACAATTCCTTAAAAACCCAATTATTATTATATAAGTTACATTTCATCTGTATTTACAAATACAAACCATATACAGCAGTATCATAACGTGCATATTGAACCTTGCGTATCCAATGTTAATTTTAAGCAAATTTGTGTGTTCTTGCATTGTACACACAAATGGAGCTATTGAGCAGGCAATAGTTTTTGTTATTTTACCCTGCAGTCAATAGTGAAATCTATGCCTGCACCTTTGACCAATCAATGGTCTAGAATCCGGATATGGAGAATATAATACTAAATATGAGGTAAAATCAAAGGTATAAAATGTATAAAGGTGAATTACAAATAATACTGTTCACTTTATTGATTCAATGAAATCATCCAGTGTACAGCGAATGGAGAAAGCTGAGATGAGGATGGTGAGGTGGATGCGCAGGGTATCATTTCACGAGAGAAAGAAGAACAAAGTCCTCCTTCAATCAATGGGATTGATGGGGGTGGCACAGGTTATGAGGATGAATAGACTTAGATGGTTTGGACATGTGGCAAGAAGAGAGGCAACTCACTGGCTCCAGAGGGCTCTAAACTTCCCGGTCACCGGAAGAAGACCTCGTGGGAGACCCAGGAAAACCTGGAGGGAAGCCATCGGAGAGGATGCCAAAACATCGGGTGTCGGCCGTGTGGATCCCTCAGACAGGAAAGCTTGGAAGGCGGCCATTAAAGAAATGAAATGTCCAACCCCACAAAGTGGGACAAATGGACTCTAAACGATGATGATGATGATGATTATTGCATCACATCAGTGTTGATATGTCAGGCACAGCTTTTTATACAAATAAATTAACATATAACCATGAATCCTAAGAATAAAATCTGCTGTTTCAAATTCGCACGTACAGTTTACCTGTACTTTGATTTCATTTTGTAAGTAGCACATTTTTCATATGAAATAATTAATTGCCATAATACCAATCCTAAGAACAAAACTGGATTAAATGAAAGAGGTAGAAGTCAAGGTGCAAAGTTAATACTATTTTTACAGGCAGTTATGATAATTGTTCAAAATATACATATTAAAAGATTATTTGATCTCCCGAAAGGCAAGGTGATTAATTTACAACTGGCAGGAGCACATATAAATTAAATTATCATACAACAAACTGACACAAATCAACAACAAAAAAATTAAAAAATTGAACTGGACACAAATAGAGGTGTACTAGCAAAACAGTAAAAAAAAAAAAAATCCTGCTGGATAAACATTTTACAAGAAACATGATGAACTCTTTTACACTCTAAATAAAAACACATTTCTATTTCTGATTGATTGCTGACAGCAGGTAGTCTGAAATACTTGAACATCATTATTACTTATAATACTTTGGTGCAAATTGCCTGTAAATGTAAAATGTAGCACAATTTACCTTTCATAATTTTCTATTTGATTGCTTTAATTTCTTCCTTTAATCTTGAGCACCTAGTTGGATTTAGAGATCAATGCCATCATGGTTGTATATTAAGTTCTAAGAAGTGCTATTACAATGATCAGATATACATGAACTATTAGAAACCTAAAACCATAGATGTGTTGGGTAACGTATAGGACACAATATTCAGCTTGGACTTGCCAATTCAATATATGTCTGGCCCACCTGAAAACTCAACCCATTGTCTAATGGAAATGAGTGATCCCTCTATTATTAGCCTATAGGGACTAGAATATTCAGTAGTCAACTTGTTAAAACACCCCTGCTGTAAGATTTGAAGGGTAATAGTATCATCCAGGAGTCATTGCTCAGTCAGCTAGAAGAATGTGGTCGAAGTTGCAATGTTGGGGCAAGAATTACTTCTGTGAAGATAAAACAAAATAAAACATTATGTTAAAAAGAGAAATATTAGGAAGAGGTGAAAGAGGAGGATAGCAAGAGAGGGAAAGAGAGAGAGAGAGAGAGAAGGGGGGGATAGAAAGAGGGGGGTTAGGTGGGTTTGGGGAGAGGAAAAAGAGAGAGAGAGGGATGGGGGGGGGGAGAAAAGAGAGAGATAGTAAACTAGTGCAAGAGCATGAAAGGATTAGTTTATAGCTACATGTATAAAGAGAAAATAACAAACTGTAAGTATAATTGTCTGTTTGGAGCCAGAAGGGCATTAACTCATACACTATCAACACAAAGCCAGAGCCCTTTTGGTTCTGATCAGACATACCAGGAAGAAGGTGAGAGAAAAAGAAAGACAGAAAAAGCGAGAGAGAGAGAGAGAGAGAGAGAGAAAGAGAAATAGAGGCAATAGAGGGAGAAAGAGAGATATTGGGTGAGGGTGAGGGATTCGGAGGGAGAAAAAAACTTACTTTTGGTGTGCTTCTCATTTTGATCAGCTCCGCCAAGTCTTCTAGACGTTTCTCCTCCTCGTCCAGATAGTCGTCCCTGAGTGACCTCTGACCTTGCCTGTTAGCATCCTCCTTCCATAGCTTCTGTTGAAGGTATTCCTCCCGCTGCTTGCGTAGTTTGCGTTCTTTCTTGTTCTCCGCCTCGATCGTTTGCATTCTGGAAAAGTAAATATAACAATGACGAGCAAACTTAGGAATATTGTCAAAGCTTGGCTATTAAATTGTAGATTCTTGGTAGAAGCTTAAACTCCAAGAGGAGGCATGATAGCTCAGCGGTAGAGCAGTGGTCTCGTAATGGAGAAGGTCCGGGTTCAAAACCAAGTCAATGTGCTTCAGGCCTTTGGTAAGGCATTGATCCTCATAACCAAGTCCCTCAGAGAGGACTTAAAGCCGTCAGTCTCCTGGTTGCTTACTTAGCAGTCGGGTAAAAAATTTATCAACCGTGTAATGATTACCCTAACCAAAAAATAAAAAATATATATTAATTATTTAAAAGAAAACACAAAAATAACTAACAAAAAAGAAGAGGGAAGTCATTTGTATTATTACATATGATAACAAAATTAAATAAATAATTTGTTAATGATAATGGTCAAAGTTGACTGATTGCCATAAAACACTAACCAACAACAACTATCTTTAGTGATTTCAAAGGTTTGCATGAACATGGAGAAAATATACACTTTTTAGGATTCATGAGCCAGCATTTGCTTGATAACTAACATATCCTCCTGGTGGAAATGAATTTTCTCATAGATATGAGTTGAGGTTAGGCTTGACATTGAGTTTAAGTTAGATCTATACCTCCTTCACTCCAACACGAGACTGACTTCACACCAAACAAGAAATTAGTTATAACAAAAACCACTGCAGTTTACCATGTCATATCTCACACAAAGCTTTAGGATTCACATGGCCGTTTTATAACAAAATACTAGAGCAACTGTCACCAAGGAACATATATAATATAGGTAGAAAAAGGATTAAAGCATACCATCACAATTGAAACTGAGGAAAGAGGAATAGGGATATCATAGAAAGAATGGATATGCTGTAACTGGTAAGGAACTGAAATCAACACATAAGCAGACAGGCGCGGATCCAGGATCCAGGGGGGGGGGGGGGGGGGGGGGGGGGGGGGGGGGGGGTAAGCGGACACTTTTTTTGGGGGGGGGGGGGAGTCCCAAAAAAAAAATCGCAACGACTCAACCAGCCGAAAAGTCGCTCAGTGGGGGAGGGGGGGGGGGGGGGGGGTGGGGTGTGTGGGGGGTAGTGAGCAAAATTTTTTTTTTTTTTTTGGTCCTCGAAAATTTTAAAATTTGCACCCCCCCCCCCCCTTGAGCGCCAGGGGGGAGGCCCAACCCCCCAAAAGGTAAAAATCGTGTGATTTTACATGATTTTTTCTCAAGGGGGGGGGGGGGGGTGGTGGGTCCCCCAGGCCCCCCTGGATCTGCCACTGTAAGCAGAGACCGTTGACGTATCTGTTTGGAGCCAAAAGGGCATTAACTCATGAACTATAAAAGCATTAATGCCCCTCTAGCTCTGCATCTCTGAACAGATGACAAGTAAAAGAAGAGGATCTTGTAAATGAAATAAGCAAACATAAAGATAAGGCTTGTGCATGTCTTGAGAATGATAGAAGACAGAATCCCAGAGATAAATGTAGCACTAAAATGGCAGAAACCAGTAAGAAAAAGAAGAAGCAGGACAGAGCAGCTCTCACCTAGAACAGAACCATAAACCTTTCGACTACAATTGTAACACAAACCCATAGGCCGGATTGCACCAAAGAGGTTAACTCATGTTTAAAAAAAAAAAAAAATTACTGGAAAAAGCTGACCATATATTTTAAAGATTTTTTGGTCGGTTGCAAAGGGCAATACAACATCTTTTTTGTTTGCGCCTAAGCGAAGTACATGCATATCCTTGTGTATAAGGAACAGAAAATACTGTTGATTCTGCATATCTTGAAGTGGCACAAGTCAAATGATTTGTTAGGACCAAGCTATGCCAAAAATTTGTAATTTACACTTCCCGAGTTGAATTTCCCATATTAGAAAGTTAAACTATTTTTTATGATCCCAACACTTATGGTTCCAAGAGATGAGACTTGTGCAGAGTTATGTGTATAATATGCATCGATCAGTACACTTGTTTTTAGGCTTATTTGAGTTCAAAGAGAGGTGAAGACTGTGGGCTGAATCAATCCTCTTTTGGGAATTTGACCCATACTGACTATTTTAGTCACGAGGATTACCATAATTCTCTGTGTATAAGACGCACTTTCTCCCTAATTTTTTTTTGAAAGTCGGGGGTGCGTCTTATACACAGATACAAATTTTTTAAAAATATTTTTTTAAATTTTTAAATTTTTAAAAAAAAAGTTTCGATTTATGCCCTCCACCTGGCAATGTCCCCCAGCTCAGTCATACCACTCGGAAACTAGAACAACACTACCTGAATATCTGTCATATTTAGTTTTAAAAACTAATTATCAGAATAATGAACATTTGTTTTTAAAACTAGATGTTCATCACTGTGATAACTTGATTGTTACTATTATTTGTGACAAGTTCACAAGCAAATATTGGCGCCTCCAACTGCACCTCGCAGTAAAATGGAGGTCCTTTCCCGCGTTGGTTTTTTAACACGGACCTGGATTGATGGCTACGGAGTCGGGCAAAGAAAAAAATATATATATATATCTTATACACAGAGATTTACGGTAAATAGTTGTTCGCAGATGCCAGCTCATGGGTTCAATCTCCGGCACAGCACTCAAACGGATTAAGCAAGGCATTTTATCTACATTCCTTCTCCAACACAGGTGTTAAATGGGTCATCCACCTACCAACATTTCACAGCAAAAATTAGGAAACCTCGCTAGGCAAAAGTAGGAATACCTGGTAGAGTCTATTTTGTATATTTGTATACTTTGTACAAAGACTTTTAAGAAAAAGGGAGGAGTCTGGTCTGGTTTGTTTGAAGGTAAAAATGTAAATCATTCCTCCAAAATAGGAGTTGTTTACAGTTATGATTGGGTATCTGTAGAATATCTGTAGAATGCACATAGCATTTTTGTTGGTCTCATTATGGTGCACATCTGAAAAACAAATTCCTTCTGGCTGGAATGCTCCACAGGGAGTGGATAATGTGCATACATTGTGTGTTGTTCAAGTCAATGCAAAACGAAACAAGCTTTCTTTTTTAAATAAAACAAGTCACATGAAGAGTATATCACACATCTAATTGAAAGCGACTATTGATACCTTCGTTGTTGATCATATGGCTTCCTCTCAGAACTATATGCAAGGAAGATATAAATTATGAATTTCTAATGTTGTCTGCTCACTCTGCTGAGAGATAGAAGGGTGTTACCTGGTAATTCATAAAATACTCAAAAAAGACTGAATGCCTATCTGGCTCTGAACAGAAGATGCTAACAGATGATGTTACGTACTGAATTCCTTTACTATTTGGTACATAATAATTAATAATACACTGCTATAAGCACAAGATGGGACTAATCAGAAAGCGTGACTATATGCACTTTATGTACCAGCACAGCAGATGAGTTTTTAATACTATAAGAATATCTGCATAAAATATATGAATGATTCATGTATAAATAAAATGCAAATATTCATAATCTCACAAGTACATAAAAGCTGAGTCCCACTTCTATTACAACTATCTGCATAAAATAAGATAAGATAAGATAAGATATTTATTCGTCTTTCTTTCAAATGACATATAGAGCATAACAGTATGAATTATCAATGTAGTCCATAGAATATGAATATTCATGATCTCAGAAGTGTGTAAAGGCTGAATGGCATTTCTATCAGCCCTACTTTTTAATAGGTTCCTCACATTCTACTTAATCTATTATATGATTTGAGAATCATTGAGACGTGCTCATTTTATATGTATGTCTATATTTTTGTAAAATGTGGAACAAATAAAACTTGAAAAACTTGAAAACTATCTGTATAAAGTACGTGAATCATTTATGAAGTCAACAGGATGAGAATATTCATGAGTTTGCACGTGCACAGCAGAGTGGCTAATAATGCCGTTGACAACGTCCAGTTGTTTCTAGCATCAGACAGAAGGCCTTGTCTAAGGGCTACCTTTGTTCAAGCTCTTCAGCTTGGGGATGAAAGAGAGATCCTGACATTAGAGTTGAGCGTCGCCTGAAGAATCTTGATGAGGGAGGCACACTCTCTCTTCTCTCAGTTCTAAAAGTAATTCAATTCAATTTAATTTATATTTATTTCATTTCCAACAGAAAGATAAACAAAGGTATTACATATAATATTACAGAAAGTATGAACGTTAATTCATTTTTTCTTGGTAATGATACAAATACACTTTACCGGTACACATAATAAAATTATTACAAGAAATTGCTTATGGTTTGTGAACCCCCCCAGAAAAAATAAAATTGTTTCAAATTGTGCCTATGAAGACTTGGAAAACACAAGACAATATTACAAAACAGCAAACAACCACGTAACGACAAGGAGAAGGAAAACAGATAAAAGAAGAAGGAAAAGGGGGAAGAAGGAAGAAGCAGGACAATTCTAGATTACATCTCTTTGAAAAAAAGGTTAGGGCTTATGTTTCATTTTAGTTCTAGATTAACAAATTGCACTTTTTACACAAAAATAGAAAATACCATGGTGTGTTGCCAATTTAAACATTTTTTCCACTTGTTTTATATATAAAGTATCAAGTACCATTTATTTCACAAGGCTGGTTGAAACCACAGGCTTATTTAAGCATATGCATACAATATACATGTACATGTATGAGAATACATTTCTAAGCTTGATAGAATAAACCACTCTACAATGAACAGATACATGCATATGATAATGTGCAGGGGTGATAATGAGGACTAAAAAACACTTCTCAACCAAAAAATGGCATCCAACATTATTCCCCCCTTTTGAGTAAGAAAATTGGGGAAAAATTGGGTGAAAATCTGGAAAATAGGGGTAAAATCAGGAAGAAGAAAAAAATAAAAAAAAATAAAAAATAAAAAAAAAGATCAGGAAACCAATTTAAATCAGGTATTTATCAGGCCTGAATGTGGTAACATGATAATATGATGTTAAATATATGATAGATAAAAAAGTACAAAGGATATTAAAATACAATACATATAACAAAACAGAACAACAACAAAAACATTACAAAACACATCAAAAACAAAACAAAACACTCTAACATTTCTTCCAAACATTTTCATTCATGAATGTCATAACATAATGGAACAACAATCTTACAAATTCTTAATTTCTACTCTTTATTCTAGATCAAATGATAACACAAAAACACCACCACAAGGTAATGCTGTTCACTAATGTGTTAAAATGGAGTTCTAGTCATGTGATTGCATTATGAAAGAAACTGCCTTGACGGAAGCGATTGGAAGGAAGATGATCATGTAGCAAGCAAGAATTGATGTATACTGTGAGGTTAAGGAATCAATGAAAATAAATTGACCGTCTTGTTAAGAGGGCAAGCACTGAATCCAATGACCAGGTTAATAGTATATCTGTATAGTGCTTAGAGACATCCGAGATGTATTAAGCGCTATATAAAAGCTGAATATTATTATTACTATTATTGTTACAAGTCAGATGCATTGTACACAGAAATATGTATAAGGGACTACACAAACATGTGGGCATGAAAATATGGTTCAAACACTTCTGCTACACATTTCTTGTCATATTTCGAATACAAATTCATTTTAAAGGCCATCCTTTCTATGATATTCTCCCACACTGACACAAAAAGAATGAAAAAATTCAAATATTTTCACCTTTCCCAGAACTCTCCCTTATCTCCCTTTCGGGGCAAGATTCTTTAAGAGGGCTTAATTGATTACAAATATATTTTTCTTTTATTGCTACAATTTTACATTAAAATTTAATGTCTCTGAAAACAAAAACATGGGTGGTAATTTTGTTGAATAGTTGATAACATTGCCAATTTTGATTTAAAAACAATTTGAAACTTTCATCCTTTTGCCAGCTTAAGGATTTTAAAGCTTTTTTCCCTCTTTTAAATTCCTAGCATCAAACGCAATATGTTCATGCAACATAAAATGGATGCAGTGTGCAGACTTTTTGCCAATTCTACTTGTGTATCTGGTATATTTTTTAGGGCTCTGAATCGAAAGTTATTGAGTCGGACCACAGAACGTTTGATGCGAAGGATCACTTTACCTGATATCTTCCGCTAAGGCTGGTAGATGAAAGAGGGAGCCAGACATTAGAGTTGATCGACGTCTGAAGTACCTTGGAGACAGTGGCTCGCTGTCATCTTCACCCTCTGGTCTCCGAGACGGGCTTATAGAATGGTTTCTAGGTTCTGCATTGCACAAAGACATAAGGTATTGCATTGTACATGTGTATTGTATTTATTTAGTCACAGTAAAACCAGTCAAAACAAGACTACTTTTCAGCAAGTCCATGCACCTTGTAAAAAAACAAGTAAAATTAATACAATAACATTGAAATTTTAGATGTATATGTACATCTAAAATTTCAATGTTATTGTATTAATTTAACATCTCATGAAATTTATATCATACAATTATATTTGTATAATACTGGAAAGTTTTGAGGTCAGTACAGCAAAATATTGGATGAGATATGCCAATATATTGGACAGGTCCTAGCTCAGCGCAGTGTATAGTAGTGATCTAGCATGAATGGAATATCAAATGATACAGGCAGAACAACGTGAAACTACTATATTTTAGAGGGTTTTAGGCCAATTTTCTTTTTACTACATATATGTTACATGAACTTAAAGAATCTGTGCTAATCAAACTCATCTTGCAATATGGTAAATATGGGTTCAGGGCACATCTCTTACCCTTCCGTGCCATTGCGTCATTGGTGTCATTACGACTTCTTCTTCCACCTCTTTCTCTTCCTCTTCTATCGTCATTCCTATCTGTTCTTCCATTGTAGTCATCTCCGTCGTCTCTCCTCTCACGGTGGAAAGATCTACTTCGTGAACGGTCTCCTTGTCGGCCCTGATTGCCGTCGTCATGGTAATCACCGTTTCTTCTGGTTTGTTGACTCAGTGATCGTCCATCGGATTGTCCTTGTTTTCTACTTTGATTGTTATAATCTTCATCATCATCACTTCGTCCATGACTACGACCAACCCCATTATCTCTGCCCCCTCTTCCTTGATTGGTTCCACGACCAGACCGACTTTGTCTCCCTCTTCCGTGGTCATCGTAATCGTCATCTCTCCTGTCGCGACGGGAAGATCTGCTTCTTCCGCGACTGCCTCTCCGATCCCGATCACTACTTTCATCATCGGGATCATCATCTCTTCTACTCTTTCGCCCGGAGTGTCCTCCTTGCCCGCGATCATCATCATCCCTTCCTCCTCTCCTACCACCACCATCTTCATCTCTTCTTTCTCCACCTCCTACTCCTCCTCCTTTGCCCATCTCTTCAAGCACAGTCATGAGCAAGGCCTGGATGGTTTTCATGTCTGCATTCGTTTTCTCTGAGACTTTCCTCTGGTTAGCCTCAAGAACGTCCATCTTTCTTTTCAGCTTTGCCAGGTCGTCCCGCTGTCCCGGGGAATGCTGATCTCGAACAAACTCATCGAGATCCAACAGTGCATCCTAGAAATTAATATCATTGTTCAAATGAAGAAGATATTAAGCCATGTTCAGAAACGATGCTCTAAACTACCACAAAAATACTGCCATGATTTTTTCTAAGTATTAAATGAAAGGCAACTGCGTACAACAAAGTACAAATTCATTTATTTACACATAACTCAAGAAATGTAACAAATCGGAAAGAGGCAGCAAAATGTATGCTGAAGATATTCATAACAGAAGGCATCAATCGGTAAAAGTAACAAAAAAAAGCAAGGAATGAAAATTAGAAAATGAGTAAATACATAATACATAACATTAAATTTATAAGGAGTATGTGTGTGGGGGGATTGGCAGAGGCTAAAGGCTTACCCAAGGCCAATCTCTTATAGGTAGAAACAGTATTAGTCTTGCAAAAAATCCTTTAAGTTTCAAGTTCTAGATTAAAGTACTCTTTACCTGAATGTGAAAGGTCATCTTTCTGAGGTCATCACATTGTTCCTTTACGACATCGTCATCGTAGAAGAGGCTGAGGGGGCTGCAATTCTCTTCGATATGTTTCCAATATTTCTTCCTCGTCCCCTTAAACAAATTGTCCTCAATTCCTAGGGTGATCTTGGTCTGCTGCATAAGGGCAATGGCTGTAGCATTGTCATAGACCCTGACATAAATAAAGGGTGGGGGGAATGTTAAAGAGTATTTGGAATATTTCTTGAAGGTTATAATATTATCAGCAAGACTGTGATGACGATGATTATCATCATATTAAATTGCCATCATCCTCATCATCCCCAGTATCAGCATCAGAATCATCATCCTATCTTGCGTCATCATTATCATCATCATAATCATAACACATGTACCTTTCGTTACCAGTATCACTGTTATCATCCATGCCCCCCTCCTCCTCCTCCTACCCCTCCTCCTCATCCCCCTCCCCCCTCCTCCTCCTCCTCCCCCTCCCTCTCCCCCTCGCCTCCTCCTCCTCCCCCTCCTCCTCCTCCTCCTCCTCCCCCTCCCTCTCCCCCTCGCCTCCTCCTCCTCCCCCTCCTCCTCCTCCTCCTCAATACAAACCTCTCTCACCATAACTCACCTCTGGAATGTATTAGACAGTTGTGCAATCAGTACATTGATGCAAAGAACGGCCGAGATGAGGAAGAAAGATACCAGTAAGATGTACGTCATGATCATATTCTTCTCCCGCATGTTCTGGACAGAGAAAGAGATCAAATAACACAAAAAGTCACAATAAAGCACACAAAAGTCCTAATAATCAACATATTGAGGTGAGAGAGTGATTAGAAGATGGACTGGGTACTTAGCAGAGTTACATGTACACCCATTGATTTATTGTTGTGGTGAAATGTTGAAGGGAAAGCTGACAAATATAGCTATTAAAAATCCATTCTGAAGTCTTGCATGTTCCATGTGTGGTAATACACTCTGGGCAGACTTACATCATAGTCGTATTCATCGACCAGGGTGATCCTGAAGAGGCTGTACATCATGGAGTCTGGTGTGGACATGCTGGGGATGGTTCCATTGTTATTGCTGTAGATCATCCAGAAGGCACAAGCTGGATTTCAAAGGAACAAAACAAAATCACTGAGATATTAATTGTGATTTGATTTGATTTGATTTGATTTGATTTGATTTGATTTGATTTGATTTGATTTAATTTGATTTGATTTATTTATATCTGTTTGATTTTTTATTTCTTTTGCAGTTTTACAAATATATAACAAACAAAATTTAACAAATCATTGCAATTTTTGCACATGACAAAAAAATATAATGTAAAATAAAGTTAGGCTGCCTATAACTAATCAAAAACACCAAACAGGAGGGTTGATAAAGTAAGCAAAGCTTGATAGCATGACTACCCTCAATGGATACTTAATAATACAAATATGGAGGAAAAAGTATTGGTAAAAGAAGTAAAAGACAGAGAGAGAGAGAAAAAAAGAAAAAAAAGAAAGAGGGGGTGTACATCAAGATTCACAGATGTATGTGGAAGCTGGATTTCAATTCGATATACATTTAGATAAAAAAGAAGATGCACATTTGAATATTGGGTGGCCAACTTGAGATACATTATAGAATGAGAAGACTCGCAAAGTTTCTGGACAATATGAATAAGAATGTGAGATCAGCGAGCTGGTTTATAAAGACTGTAAACCTGGGCCTGCGAGTCGGAGCCTTGAAATGTTTGTATACAAAACAGTGTTTAGTCAGTAATTTACCCGGGGTGACTACATCAGTATGCCCACACCTTCATTTGTATCACCCTATAAAATAATCTATATAGTAAATGAAAAAATGAACAAGTAGGCCACTCTTTATTCATACGTTTATTGATACCATGCAGGTCATGACATGATACAGAATACAAAATCATATAAAGACATCATGTTTTCATATTGTACATGTGCATCGCAAAAAAAACTGCCACTGAATGAAACCAGAGCATGTTGTTGTTTCCTTACTATCTTCATTCATGGTATTGGAAAGGTATTTCAAACAGAAGCTTACCATACGGGATGTAGAAGTTGGCATACAGGAAGATGAAAATTGCAAAATCTTTCAAAACCAATCCAAGCATCACAATAAATGGACCTAGAAAGAAATCAACAAATAGAAATAATGATTAGCTCAGCATATACTTCTGAAGACATGAACAACAAGCTTACAATTGTCAGTACAAGGAAAATAATTTTTAGGAAAGTCCAGGGTTTGATGAACAAAAACTGACTCATGTAAACAATTATATACTTCTCTTTAGAAACCTAGCCATCTGATCAGTCCAAATTGGAGTCATAATTTTAGCAATTCCCGTAACGAAACTAACAATGCCAGTACCGGTTAATAGTTCATGAGTGAGATTCCCGCAAGATTCAGGGTACCAGGAAAATAGTAAAATGTTGATGAGCTCCCTGTTGGTTTACGTGTTAAAACTTGGTTTGTGCGAGCGGATACCATACAGTGCCCTTTGTCTGCGATTCCTAAATGATTGTAACATTCAGTCATCTTTCCAGCGAAGATTAACAGACAGTGTCCCAGATTTTCTGTGATGTTTTAACCAATCTATACTCAGGAAAACAATAAGGTAAGAATTCTTGGTAGATTCTTGTGTCAATTCGATATATAAAAGACATATTGACTGCTTTTAATATTTGAGGCCTGGCTGTTGGCTTTCGGGGACGTTGTGTCTTTCCATGACCCCTCGACGCGGTGCCCACCCAAGCGCACCTTGGGGTCATGGGGGGACACAACGTCCCCTTTGAGTCTATAAAACAGCCAATCCTCTCATAGCAGTCGATATGAAATGCTAAGGCCGGGTTACCTAGCTGTTGGAAGGCTCTAACACTCTTCATCAACCTGATCCAGATGAAGATGATGACGATGGCAAAGAGATTCTGCGTTGCTTGGCTCAGGAGGTCGTTATCGATAAAGATGTCGGTGACGTGTAAGGCGGTGATGCAGATCAGAGAGATGTAGACAAACCAGTCAAACCAATTCCTGGTGATTCAAAGGAACGTGAAAGGAGTGGAATCAAAGAAAAGTCTTTAAATGGCATCTGGATGTTTCCGTTCATTAAAGCCCCACCACACTAGTTTGGCCAGGAGGGATTATACCTCCCGGCATGGTCACTGACAGGTGGTTATTGCATCAAATAAGCTCTCAATTAATGGGAAAAGGGGATCATGAGGGACCAATGGTCACCGATTAGGCATTGTTTGCTATATAGAGGGCGCAAGCAGCTATAAGTAGTGCAGTGGGGCTTTAAGCAGATTCTTGGGCGATTTCTAGGATGACTCTCCTGATCAACTACCAATGATGAAGGAACCCAAGACAAACTTCAACCGAAAGAGAAAGGAATGGAAGAAGTGGAAACAGACAGAAACGTCTTTAAATGGAAGGCAAATGTATCAGTTCATTATGTATAAATGTTAAGATTCCAGGGGTGATAGTGAGCACTAAAAAAAAAAAAGGTTTTTTTTTCCCCCCCTCAACCACGGCACGTCCCTCTTGAGTAAAAAAAAGAGAAGAGGATTCGCGGGGAAAAAAACGGCATCTAACAACATTCCCCCTTTCGAGTAAGAAAACTGGGAAAAAAATAGGGCAAAATAGGGAAGAATAGAGAAAATAAGGGGGGAATCGGGAAAAATTAGGGTAAAATAGGGAAGGAAACAAAAATCTGGTTTATAAAAAAAAAAAAAAAAAAAAAAAATAGTTTTTCTTTTTTTTTTTTTTAAATCGGGAAGAAAAAAAAAAAAAAAAAAAAAATCGGGAAACCGATTTAAATCGGGTTTTTATCAGGCTTGAACTCCCCTGAACGACTACCACTGATGTAGACAAATTCACGAATTCTCAGTAAATCATGAATGATAATTAAAGGAATGACCACAACCTAATACCACAATATTTGTTTAGTCCTATATACATATTTCTGTGTACAGTGGATGTGATTTTGAGCAAGACTGGGACGATTTAATTTAACTTTGATTAATAAAAAACCTCAATTTATACACCAATACTGATGTCATACCAGCCAACATTTGAAAATAAGAATTAGGAATTTTTAGCAAGGTAGGTCTATGCCTTCGAAAAAAAGAAATCGAACTTGCAGCGGCAGTGTAACTGGCAATACGCAGTAAATCTGTACCAAAAAGTGAATAAAAATTTGCTACTCGATCATGCAGCCATTCAACGCACGCAATACGTGAACTCTCAAATCGCGGCACATGATAAAACAAGCATAATGTGGCTTTAGCACACACAGAAAAAACACATGAAATTTTGAAAAATCAGAATATTCAGAATTTTCAGGTCCTAAAAATCCAGAAAAATCAGAATATTTTGGAATATTCGTAAGGGTTGGCAGGTACGTGTATGTTATGTGCTACCTGATGTAACCAGTATCATTTGTAAATTCTATTTGTTTCAGCCTCTGGCTGCTTTTGAATGTTTTTTAACCAATAGACCATATCAAATCAAATCAAATCAAAATCTTTGTGATAGTGGTGGTTAATTTAATTGACAGCTAAGAAAGCAATAAATGCTTGTTAGTAAGCAACCAGAAGACCGACGGCTTAAGCCCTCTCCGAGGGACCTGGTAATGAGGATTAATGCCTTACCAAAGGGCACTATAGCGCATCCACTTGGTTTCGAACCCGGGTCAATGGATAACGAGACCACTGCTCTACCGACTGAGCTATCGTGCATCCTCTATGTAATTTTCAATCACTTACCAGGCTTCAGAGAAGTATGAAGGGTCTTTGTGCTCGATATCATTGATCTGCTGCTCCAGGTAATGTCTCTCCTGTGGCCATCTTGGATGGCAGTATTGGAAGTCGTTCTTAATGTCGTTTATTTTCCATTTCTTCCATTTCTATAATCAAGAGGGTGTACGGAAAAGAAAGGGAAATAAAATAAAGGCTTGTTCGGCGGGTATGGCACGGTAAACTGTTGCTAAAAATCCGCCGTGTTTTTTTAAACATGTAAATTAATGGCAACTGATCCCAACAAAGGTCTAGCGCATATTCAGTGAGCTCTGTGTCGTAATTCACTAGAAAAATTACATATGGTATATAAATAAGTTTAATTTCATTCAAATTTTCTTTTTGCTGGCGAAACAAAACATAAGTTTTAAACATCATTTTATTGCTCATACTAAAACAAAGGAGACAAACATGTACATATAGCCCAGACAAAACAAAATTACTGGTACATAGTAGCTGCTGGACATTAAAAAAAAAATCTGATTTCAAACAGAAACATTTAAAGAATCAATTTAAAATTTCATTCCCTATCTAATATTATTTCTCACTTAATGCATTTGTAAGAAATATCTAAGATATTATATAATAATATATATCTCATGGTTTGAGCATAATACTAAAAAAACACAAGCAAGTTGCTTACCAGGAATGCGGACTTTGAACTAAAGTAATCTTTGAGTTCTACGATGATTTGGAATATAGTAAGGAGACTTCCGCACACCTGTAGATCAAACACAAATGAAATAGAATTATTGATAGAGGCGTCGTGGATTAGTGGCTACGTCACTGAGCTGTGGATCACATGGTTCGCAGTTCGAGTCCTGTCGCAGCACTAATGTCCTTTGGCAAGACATTAATCTACATTTGCCACTCTCCACCCAGGTGTTAAATGGATACCCGGTAGGATGCGAAAGTTAATGTGGTTGGATTGGCATGTGTGCGCTTGTAAATTGGTGAGAATACTCCCCAGGGGGTGGAGTGTGTGCACTCTCATGAACTGAATAGCAATTGAATCCAAAGACTGAGGTAATATTAATGAAAAGATAAAGTGCGTAAAAACGTAGTATTATGCGCTATACAGAAGTGAATATCATCATCATTAATAGCATAATTACACATTACTACTCAATAATACAAGACAAATGCAGACGCTCAACTGTGCCTGGAAGAGCAACGGCATGGTTTCAGCTCACTCACACACAGGTTATCGACTCACCTGACTAGAACTAGAACCAAACTAGCCTTTGTCCAAATTTCTGTTTGGACTCGGAGGAAAATTTGCCTGTCATCTTTAGTATTAAAAACAACATGGCTACTAATATTTGTGACAAGTTCACATGCACTTCAACTGCATGCTGCACCTTGTAATAAATTGAAGGCCTTTCCCTACATGGGTTTCTGAATGCTGAAATAAGAAGCAATATATTTTTTTTCTCTCAAAAATAGGGGAGCGTCTTGGGTCACCATTTCTTGACTGGTTTGTAGTCGTTTGGTCTCCAACTAGATTATCTACTTCCCGATTGGTCTACACACAGCCTGTCTACTATCCACGTGGTCTAATAATCATGTTACTTATCATTTCGCCTAATGACCATTTAGGCTAATAGTCATTTGGTCTAATCTCCAATAAGTCTACTCGCCATTCGGTCTTTTTCTTGTTGGGTCTATTTACCAATTGGACTAACTTCCAGATTGTCTAATGCCCATTTCATCTACCATCCATAAGATCTAATAATCATTCGATGATTATTATCATTGGACCACTTGAATAGTAGACTGGCTGGGTGTAGACCACATGGGAAAAGAACAGTTGGGAAGTAGACGAATTGTTTGTAGACCAAACAGCAATTGACCTCTTGACCTACCTCCAATGCTAATCTCCAGATGTCTTGGGGGAATTCGAGGTTAAATGGACTCTCCAGACTCAGGGCTAGGACGGTCCACATGAGGATGAAGAGGAGGTTAAAGAGCAGCTGCCTGTATGCACCCATCCTGAAATTAGCAATAAGAAACATCAATATGGCTATCATTATACATGTTCAAGTCATGATGATGATAATGATGGTGGAGGTGATGATGATGGTGATGGTGATAATGGTAATGATGGTGGTGATGGTGGTGGTGATAATGGTAATGATGGTGGTGATGATAATGGTAATGATGGTGGTGATGGTGGTGGTGATAATGGTAATGATGGTGGTGATGGTGGTGGTGATGATAATGGTAATGATGGTGGTGATGGTGGTGGTGATAATGGTAATGATGGTGGTGATGGTGGTGGTGATAATGGTAATGATGGTGGTGATGGTGGTGGTGATGATAATGGTAATGATGGTGGTGATGGTGGTGGTGATAATGGTAATGATGGTGGTGATGGTGGTGGTGATGATAATGGTAATGATGGTGGTGATGGTGGTGGTGATAATGGTAATGATGGTGGTGATGGTGGTGGTGATAATGGTAATGATGGTGGTGATGGTGGTGGTGATGATAATGGTAATGATGGTGGTGATGGTGGTGGTGGTGATAATGGTAATGATGGTGGTGATGGTGGTGGTGGTGATAATGGTAATGATGGTGGTGATGGTGGTGGTGATGGTAATGATGGTAATGATGGTAGTGATGGTGGTGATGGTGCTGCTGATGGTAATGATGGTGGTGATGGTGGTGGTGATAATGGGAATGATGATGGTGATGGCGGTGATGGCGTTGATGATGATGGCGATGATGATGATGGTGATGATGATAATGTTAATGATGGTGGTGATGATGGTGATGACGATAATGGTAATGATGGTAATGATGGTGGAGATGATGATTATGGTGATGATGATGACGGTAAGTAATAATGATGATCATAATGATGATGGTGATTATTACATCTCAGTCATTAAGAATCTCTCCTAAACTGGGGCCTGATGAGAAAGCAGATACTTTTCATTGACTTTGTACATACTCTACCAAAAGCCGGGCTCAAATGCAGGTCAAAAGGAGGGTTAGAATTGCACTTTTTTACACTAGGTGAGATTTCATCCGACAGTTAATTCACAAATAAAAGATATTCTTTCATTCAAAACTATCTACTGATGAATTCCCAAGAGTCTCTTTTTCTTTACAAAAAGTGAATTTCTCTGAGTATTTTCATTTCAGAATATGTACGTTCATGTTCACTATCTCAAAATTCAGATGTGACCATGCAGTCATGTACTTAATTACCGTCCAAATTGTTGCCACTTGACCTCAACCAGTCTCCTGATGACCGGATGCATGATCACGTCCAGCTGGTTGTAGTCCACAATAGTTTGGAGCTGAAAGGAAAGAAAAATAGCAAAATTTGTTAATTTATCAATGCATATACTTCAGAGTAGAAAATGGTTTTCTGTTGATGGAGCTCTTTGGTGTAGTATAATTGCAAATAACTTACAGCGTTTTTTATGCATTTTGCTGTATTCCCCCTCCCCCTTTTTTTAAAGGCTGAAAGCTCTTTTGTGAAAATTTTCACAAGCTAAAAAAAAATATTCATAATAACTCCATGAGAGCTCAATGAGCTTTCTAATCTGAGTGCTATATACCATTAAGACTGAAACAAGGTTTCTACAACAAAATCCTCCCTTTTCAAAATGTGGCGACTACTTTGGTAAAAAATCCTTCTTTCGGGTCTCATTATTTTACGCCACAAGCAGTTGAGATCTGATGTTTTTGATAGTCGACAACAAGGAATTTTGTAATCTAATTGTTATACAACTTAAATTTATATTTACAGTATAATTATACCCTTCTTTTAATACATATTAATTTAATTGAACCTTAAATCTCAATGACTTTTCATTCTGTTCATGAGATTAAAAAAAAAATCCATTTAAATTTTGTGCCATATCTGCTTGAATTTTTGCTTTTGGATATATTTTATTTTAAGGCTACAAATGGCTCCCAATAATTTTATAGTCCAACTTAGAGTTAAGTTTGACTTAGGATCTTTGTGAAACACCCCCATGTATAATTGTCACTGATACACTCTTCCAGTGATAATATTACCACCCTCCTTATATCTATATCAGTACCGGTACTGTTCTCTTTCTCTAGTGGAGGATCAGACCAAATATGATGGATATCAAACATATGATCTTAATCCATGTTCAGACCTCTACAATACTTGGTGACATATGGGGCAACAAATGACCAAAGTCCTTTAAGTAGAACAATACAGATATTATAATAATAATATTCCTTTCTTGTATAGCGCATATCACATCATATCGTCCCTATGCGCTTTCAAAGAGCTTTCAGAAAATATTATCCTAGCTTTAGCTCCCATTATCAGCACACAGTGCATTTCAAGGAACAATATTAAAGGGATTGGGTAACTTTGTCTCAGATTCTGAAACAAAATCCTGGATTTAGCTTATGCTGCAATGATAATTATAAACCTGTAGGCCAGTCAGGAACCCCATGACTTTTACAAGCTGGTCGCCTGTCTGATTATCAAGATATTTATGATTGGAAATCGAAATTTAAAAATTTGTTTTCTTAACAGTTTTTATAGAACTTCAATCTATAGGGGAAAACGAGTATGGTAAAGCCGGTCACTCAAAGATTTTTACTATATTGAGGCACTTCATGATAATTTTGAAGTGCAATTTTGTTAGGACTTTAATATTACACCATATCACAGACACTGATAACACGTAGGGCCACGCATATTAGATTTAACATTGTTAAAACGATACCTTTAATTAATCCAGTGCTAAAGGTGATCTTACAACTGTCCTGATCTCAATGTCATTACTGTCCACAAAATACCTGGATGTTGGCTCTAATATCATTGCCCACTAGTTTAGCACACATTTTGCCATTGACTTTTTAATCGGGCAATAATATTTGTTCATTGGTTTACTGTGTAATAATATTGACTGGCAAATTACACACAAAATCCCTTTGCCTTTTCTGAGCAGTCAATACATTTTTTTCACCTGTAATTTTGTTGGGTTATCAATTAAACCTCAAGGGCAATACAATTTAAAAATTGCCCTGCTCACATGTCTGATACGGTTAATTAATTGAGTGGTTCGGCTAATCTTACCACTGTCCTGATCTCTACGCCATTACTGTTCTCTTTATCCGGTGGAGGCTCCAGGTGATGAAGGTTGTAGTGCTGCTTCCTGTTCTGACGATCACACTGGTACAGCTGATTCAGACCGACCATCGCCTAAAAAGACCATATCAAAGGAGAGATGACAAATTGACCATTCATAGTAATAATAATTGTGGGTTCTTGTATCCAGCACTCGATCATGTCCGTCAGACACTCCTAGCACTCTATGATTTTAACCCGGCTATAGCATGGCTGCCATGCTGGTGCTCTAGCATTTCAAAGCATTAATTTTTGCCAGGTACCCATTTACCTCACCTGGACAGTGTGGCTAATGTAGATTAACGATTGCTAAAGGATATTGGTGCAGTTGCGGGACTCAAACCGTTAAACATGTTGTACACAAATAATAATAATATTTAATTAATATTAGGATGTTGACTTACCACTGCCGGCATCTTAGTGACCATGAGGAGGAGAACAGTGTGCCCTGAATAATCCTTGTCGGATGCCTTGCCTCCTAACTCAAGGAGCAGTGCAGCCGTCTCACTGCGATCTGTGTAGCAAACAAGAAAAACATTGCATTCTCAACTCTTGACTGGGCTTGTTCCAATTACAAAATTTCCAAAAGTGTAGTGCACACGTGTCCCCGGCTCATGTCCAATGAATGAATGATCATATGCTTCTGTTTGCTTATTCACGCTTATTTTCATTCAGGGGGAAATTTAAATCATGGTTGACTCCGTGATTTGAATATTACAGTTAGACACTGTATTACACATTTAGGGTTGTGCCTGTGTCAAAGGCCAGATTCTCTGGATGAAAATATATACATACAAACAACATAATTTGTGAATGAGAAGAAAAGAAATGTGTGTCTTTCAACATAAAATTGTTAATTTATTCCCTTTCCACTGTATCCTCGTCTTTGCTATTTTCCAAAATATGACAGAGATAATGACCCGAAAGAATATCTGAAGTGAGTCTGGGAAATGAAAGTACATCTGAACAGGCACAGCTCTATGTAAGGCCATAGATTCTAGCCTACGACAACTGCAAATGAAATCAAATTGATGTGGACTAGCTCACCTAGCTCTGCGGCTGCCTGGAGGGGCGTCCTACCCTTGTAATCCAGAGGATGAACGGAAGCGCCCTTCTTAATCAACATCCTCAGACTATGACATGCATCGTTGCAGGCAGCGTAGTGTAAGGGGGTCTTCTTCTCACCCACCGTTAGCTCCTCAATGTTAGCTAGAGTAAGATAAGAGATACGCTAAAAGCTGTGCATGAAGACCACTCAAGGGATATAAGAAAAAGGTGGCTGTAGACGAGCTGTTGTTAGGCTGCTATTATGACACTTAAAGGAGTCAATTTCTGTCAAGTACTGTGATACAGTTACTGTAAGAGTGCTATACAGTGTGTCCCAGAAAAAACGAAACCGAGAATTATCCATGTTTTATCATAACTTAATCACAATTGGAATTAATAAATGACACAAATTTGGAAAGCTGAGATCCTCCTCTTTCATTTGATGCAACTCATATGATTCATATCTCACGCATGGGTGATTAAAAGCAATTTGAAGAGAGGAAACCAAAAAGTCATTTGGCGGGCAGTATCTGAATTTTAAAAAGAAAATCACATTTCTAGAAAGTTCAATTTCTGCCCTTTCAAATGACACCTCAATCAGGAAAAATGAGCCAAAATTGATCAAATTATGGAAATATAAGCATTACTTTAAACAAACAGAACTTTGTTATTCCTGGCTCATTTTTCCTGATTGAGGTGTCATATAAAAGAGCAGAAATTGAACTTTTGAGAAATATGATTTTCCCCTTGAAATTCAGATACCGCCCGCCAAATGACTTTTTGGTTTCCTCTCTTCAAATTGCTTATAATCACTCATGCGTGAAATATGCATCATATGAGTTGCATCAAATGAAAGAGGAGGAACTAAGCTTCCAAATATGTGTCATTTATTAATTCCAATTGTGATTAAGTTATGATAAAACATTGATAGTTTTCAGTTTCATTTTTTCTGGGACGCACTGTATAAGAGCCAATATTTGATTGTATTGATTGTAGAAATAGGGCCCTTCTCATTCTCAACTGATAGCATTAACAACTTGGTCAAGAGTTTCAAATGTACACTGATTAATCAACTCGTGAAGGAAATTAGTGCTTAGTGGATTCTGAGCCTTCTCATCTCTCTACCTTAAAGGTATTACAAATTTTTGGTATAGGGCCATGAATTTGCTTCATATGAACATATTGGCAGCATATGCGATCTTACAATATGCAGTGATCTTTGTCGCAGTTGAAATCGGGTCTAAAGCTATGAAATTGTAATTAATAAACTCTTTATGTTGTATAGCTCCCTCTCAAGGTCAAGATATTATTTTAGCTATAAAACAATGTTTCTGGACTAAAATCGACCGATTTGCTATTCTCGTTTGGAAAGTATATATCACAGCTACATATTCTGAGATTTTCATGATCGCAGCTACCATTGTACGGCCGTAGGGGTTATTAGAAATTTATCAAAATTTACCAGGAGCACCAGTAAATTGTTATATTCAATTTTCTCGAAAGCAGAAGTGTTTTAGGGGCTAAATCTTCTAGTGCCTATAATATATCAAAATTGTAAAGAATCACTATTCACCCAATTTTGAAAATTTCCCAAAACTATAGTATACCACTACACAGAAGTTGATCCTTTTAAAGTGGATCTAGATATCTGTAAATTGTTTTAAGATACAGATATTTACTTTGCACCACACTTTTAATTTGCTGTGGCAGTTCTATACAGGCTCTTTGTGAAGTAATTTGTGAAGGTGGATTTAGTCGACAAGGTCACATCTCAAGCTGATAAAGACGCGATTTGTAACTTCAGGCTTATTTCCCAAATCAGAAATAGCAGGCTTTTTGGCAATCTCAAGCTGATGAAGACATACCTAATGTGATGATCCTAGACTACGATCACTTACCTCCATGATCTAGAAGCGTGGTGACCATTTCTGGGAAGTCGACAGCAGCAGCTACATGGAGGGGTGTCCTGCCAAACTGATCAGACTGGTTGACGCTGCTCCCTCGCTCGATGAGGAACACAGCCACATCAGGGTCCCACGTTCTAGCAACCTGTGAAAGACACATACATGTACATGTAGCAGTGGGCTTTAATGAGGAGATTGACACCATTCTGGTGTTTACCCAATAACAGGTGTCGTCAATCACCAGTATAAGCGAGTTCGTAATTAGGATTTGCGCATGGGCAGATAAAGGTCATTCGTATCCAAATTGTAAAACCATTGAGACGAATACTCATGAAAGTTATGTAATCAGTATTCATTTATGCACCAACAGTACATTTATCTGATACACAGGTGGAAGTATTCTTCTCAAGAGGCAAACAAAAGGTATTCATGAAGCACCTCCATCACTTTGGCAGTGATTATTCTAAAATGCACAGGTGGAAGGTATCCATCGTGTCTAAGATCTGTGGATATTTTGGGGTCATGCGGTCCAGAGCTATTTACGAACTCGCTTATTAGCCTTCAGTTTTATGACCAATCAACCCATATGGAAAAGTCATATTCTTACATTTCCCTCACCAAAAGACTGTCCGAAAGACTAGAGTGTATTAGAGGGTATTTCTTGATGGGACCACGGGTTTGCTGTGTGTGAGACTTGTACACCCATTAATTGGTATTTTCACCAAGTCAGGTGTCAGCAAAAATATTACCCATTGTACATGGAAACTGACTACCATCTCCCTTTAAGTAAACCAAGCACAGAAATATTATCAGTTGAAATCGTGGTGGTAACACTTTGTATTCAAAGGGGTAAAGCAAGAACATTTTCAACAACATTTGACACCCTTTTGCCTAAAAAGAGTAAAGGTACAAAGTGTGCTCTTAATATGACCCCATTTTTTGGCTCAGTGAGTACACATACACAAAAAGTACCCTATTTTCTTGAAATAAGCCTAATGTCATAGGAGACGTAGGCTCTACACTGATATACTTGACCCTTTTTCATGAAATTTCTTGATCTTTTGAACAAGAAAACACCCTTTGAAATTCATGAACACCCCCCACTTACTTCATGGAGTACTGTTTGTCCATACTGGTCAGTGGTGTTGATATCTGCACCTCTTTTTAAGATCAACTCCAGGTAGTCCAAATCAACGTTGATGTTAGGGTCAGCAGACACCGACAGGTGGCCGAAGTAGCCGATCAGCTCAGCGTTGGCAACGTTCGGGTTGTCGGGACCCGATACGATGTTTGGATCGATTCCGTCGGCTGGTGGTTTGTAAAGATCGTTTCAAAGGTTCCTGAATAGAGATAAAGAGGAGACCAACATTATTGTCACATCATCAAATTATCTTTATTATTACTGGAGGGAAGAAGGTCCCTGGAGGGAAGAAGGTCCCTGGTATTTAGCCCTTTGGTGTTGCATATTATACTTATTGTGAAGTTACATATAAAAAATGATTAAGATTCAAACGTCAAACCAACAATTTGTGCGAATTTATAATCTTGAGTTGAGAAAGATGGAAATATTGATTTCAACTGAGCTTACACTCATTATGTTTCCTTTCATTCAAAAACACTTTTCTGTCTATTTTTATCGTTTCAAAGTAATTTATTATGGAATATATATTTCATTCATTGTATGGTTATGTTTTCTTTAAAACACCCTTGGACTTATTTTCTATTCCCCTTGGTCTTTTTGCACAGTAAAGATGATATTGATGAAGATTCATAAAACAGATTCATAAAACACATTCTATAAATTATCATACTGTAAGATAACAAAAGTCTGCTTTAATTTCCATAAGTGTGTTGAAAAGAAGGTGAAATACAGGTTAGAATGTGTTATGATAATAGTATACACCATCCCAATCACCATTTTAGCAAAGACATAAACACTTCTTAGCAATAGTAGCAAATTAAATGGGCAACACAACACCACAAATCAAAATTTGCAAAAATGTGAAACACATCTCAAGCTTTTCAATGATAAAAAACCTGTTAGTAATCATTGATGTGCAGGAGTACATGTATTTTTGCAAAATTATTATTATACCATCTACCAAAATAAAGGTGCAAAATATACATCATATACAGACATTAAAGCACTACCGGAAAGAAAAAGAAATCTATTTCATCATCAACAACTCAATAAAATGGAAGTAAATGAAATTTTCTGTACTGAGGAAATTGGAGAGGACCTCGCAAAATAGGTCACAGAGTTGCCAATTTGTGTTTGACTGATGATGATTGCAACTTCAAATATTCATAACTTTCTCCTTTTAACAGAATTTTGCTCTACTTTTGAAGACCTGTTCCTCTCATTTTCCAGCTTTTTAAAGCCAACTTAATATCAGGGTGAAATTTCCCTTTAATAATCAAAAGCCTATTAAATTTGTCAGTACGGATAGTGGCAAACAAACACTAATTATCCGCAGGTTCAATATCAATTTGGTATATTTCTCTTCATCTCTTCTCATTACCCTAATTGAAATACACATCAATTTATTATTTTATGTCCCATCATGAAATTGCTTTCGTACAAATATATTCACGACCTTTCAAGTCATGATTGATCATGTCTCTAATGTGTGCCTAATCACATCATTATATCTGTAATGCAAGGATTAACACAATGGGAGAAGAGAGAGAGAGAGAGAGAGAGAGAGAGAGAGAGAGAGAGAGAGAGAGAGAGATAGAGAGAGAGAGTGATAGAGAGAAAGAGAGTGATAGAGAGAAAGAGAGTGATAGAGAGAAAGAGAGTGATATATATGTACAAATGTATATTTATATATGTATATATATATATAGAGAGAGAGAGAGAGAGGGAGAGAGAGAAAAAAAGGGAGAGCGAGAGAAAGGGAGAGAGAGAGCAAGAGAAAAAGAGTGATAGAGAGAAAGAGAGAGAGATAAAGAGAGTGATATATATATAGAGAGAAAGAGAGAGAGAGAGAGAGAGAGAGAGAGAGAAATAGAGAATAGAGAGAGAGAGAGAGAGAGAGAGAGATAAGAAGGGGTGCAAGGCAGAGAGAAATTATAGCACTTGCATAGAATCTTAACAATGCAATGAAATCTATTGTAATGTAACTGAAAGGGAGTAGAATAATCAATATTGTTGATCTAGTCTGGACAGCAATGCATTCGATAGCTTGAGAAAAGGAGGTCAAATAATAATTTTTGTTCAGAATGCAATATGAGCATTTAGATAACAAATTAAAACAGAATTGTATTATTTTTCCTTGAGTTGGTGGGCTAGTGTTTGTCTATTTAAAAAAAAAAATTTTAGTTTAAAAACTCGCTGATTATTTCTTAACTTAAATCTTAAAGATTGATTTTAGTGGTTTTCCAAAAACTGAACTTGTCTGAGTGAGAGTTGGCTTCAAAATGATTCCGAATTGGACTTTAACATCAGGGTTTTGTGTAATACACATCTCTATGGGCATGGTGGTCCACAAGAGGTTTTAACCAGTCCAGCTTCTATCCATTTACAAACATTTTTTATTCTTCAAATTATCTTTGTCTAGCTCCTCCTTTACACACATCACAACACAGCTCAGCTTCATAACAATAACTGGAAGGACTAACCTAGAGCCCAATGCTATCCCAAACCATTACATTGTGTAGGGTTGTTGAGGCGAAGCCTTGAACAATGAAATAATGAACGGAGGACGTCCCTTTGTGTTGTCTGTTGGTAGGCAACATACTGTAGAGGCTCATTCATCCATTGCTGGGTCCATGCATGGACCTGTTAAGATTAAGTACATGTTATTCAAACTCAAGGCTTATTGCCATTTGGTCTACAATTTTGTCTACTACCCAATTGGTCTATTCCTATATAATACGGTCTACACCCAGCCTGTCTGCTATCCATTGGTCGAATAATCATTTCGCCGACTTATCATTTGGTATAATGCTTCGTATTCATTATATGCAAATATTTCTCCATAACAGAAGTCTGTTATATTGTTATTTTGTTAAGCCAAAATATTGCATAATATTGTGCGCTATACATATTATGTATAGGCCTATTAAATATTTGTTGTTGTTGGAATAATAATAATAATTTAAAAATTTTATTATTATGATGGTTATTTTCATTATTATGATCATTGGTATTATCATGTTATCATTATCATTATCATCATCATCATCATCATCATCATCATCATCATCATCATCATCATCATCATCATTACCATTATTACTATAACAACTTCTTACTCTTGAATATTCTGTTTTCATCCAATTCAATTTGTTAGAAAAGTTAGATAACCTTTAAAACAGAAAAAAGAGTGCCAGACTGTCAAATAAAACATACAGTACATGTAGCATACCACACACACAGTTCTCACATGAATACCATTTAGGCAACACCACTGCAGTGTATTATGTAATACTTCACAAATACCAGTAGTTAAAAATGTGCCACTAAGTCCTGAATGAAAGCTTGTACTTACATGAACATTTATAAACACAGGTTTGCAGACGTTGAGTAAATGGTTCATGAAATGACATGAATTGCACGAAGCATGAGGAAAAATTATGATAAAATCGAGGTTAATGATAATGAAAAATAATACAAACAGTGATTTTCATTGATTGAACTAAGCTACACAAAAAATAAACAAAATAAAGTAGAAACTTGTATTATTACAAATTTGAGTATGCAGTATACAGATCATGATACAACATGAGTTCACACTATGAATATGACTGACAAAGAAAGCGGACAAAATATACAGTTCCTCAGGTAGACAAAGGAACATCCCTTCACTGCTATTATGTAAAAAGGTGAATATCCATGTGACACCTGTTCTTCACATTTTTACATTTAATAGCAGTGAAGGGATGTTCCTTTGTCTACCTGAGGAACTGTATACTTTGTCCGCTTTAATTGTCAGTCATGTTCATAGTGTCAGCAACTGTTTTATCATCTTGCTACTCTTCATTTTAAGGATGCGTGTAATATCAATTCTGTTGAAGAGAGATTTGAAATGTTAGCTGAAACCTGAATATTATAAATAAAGTAAGCTGAGCAACTTCTACTATAATACTCTCTATCAATTGAAGTATCATATCAATTTTGTTCAAAATATATATATATATATATATATATATATATATATATATGTATATATATATATATATATCTATAAAAAAATCAAAACCTGAAATAAAGGAATATAACATTTTTCATTCATTAAATCTTCAGGTTTCTTTTGTATAATTCTTAGGTAGAAATACATTTAAAAAAGAAAAAAAAACCAACATAAAATCTCAGCAAACATTAAAATATTGTTGCAGTATTAAGATTCATGGGACAATAAAATCCAATAAAATCCAAATCAAAACCTAAATCATAATCAAATTAGAGTAAATAAAAACATAATATCATACCGAATCATTTCAAATCGATTCACCAATACAATCAACAATCAAATCAAAGTCCACCATTTAAAAATTTGAATGAAACATGTACATTGGCTTACCTGAGGTTCCATGCATCGGTCTTTTTGTACAATTCAGAGTTTTGTTTTTGTCTGAGCCTGAGTCACTCATAAATCCGCCAGGGAACTCGTACGTGTTATCCTTTGCCACCAGTTTTTCTCCATCTTCCCCTTTGTTTAATAAAAAGAATTCTTTGAGGCCGTTTGACGTCTCCTCAAAGGTGCTCATTGGAAAAACCTTGCCAGTTTTCTTCTTTTTCTTCTTTCCTGATCCATCACGGCTGTCGTCCGCTGAGCTCATGATGGTCCCAGTTTAAAGTCCTGCATAGCACAGATAAAAAGATTGTTAATTGACAAATATTCAAGATAAAATATTAAAGCTTTACAGTCCTTCTTGAAAGTAGAATGACAGAGATGGATACTGGCTGTTGAGTGAGAATAAAAAAATCAAGAGAGATCTCTCTCTCTCGATCTCTATCTATATATATCGCTCTCTTTTTTTTTCTCTTTTGTTCACTCTCTTTCTTTCTCTCTCTTTCCCTAATTCCCTCTCTCTCTCTCTATGAATATATATATATATATATATATATATATATATATATATATATATATATATATATATCCCTCTCTTTTTTCTCTCTCTCACTCTCTATTATATCACTCTCTTTTTTTCTCTTTTGTTCACTCTCTTTTTTTCTCTTTTGTTCACTCTCTTCCTTTCCCTCTCTCTCTATATATCACTCTCTTTCTCTGTATGTATATTATGTATATATCACTCTCTTTCTCTATCTATCACTCACTCTCTCTTTCTCTCTCTCAAGAGAGCAACTTTTTAGGATAACATTACATTCAACGTGATCCTGTACTGTAATAGCTTGCTCTAATTCATTTGTATTCCACACTAGGCCTTTTTTAAGGAGGGGGGTGGGGTAGTACTTTAAAAGCAGGACAATGTTTCCCTAGCATATGGGACGGTTGAGTATTTATTTAAATGTACAGTAAACGAAGCTGTACTTGTGCATTACGTCTGTTACAAGGTTATCAGACACTCCATTTATTGTACATCCTGCAGGGGCATTTTAATTTTTTTTTTTTTTTTCTTCTCACACTTGTTAATTTTGTCGGAAGTTGATAGGGAACTGCTCATAAACATGACGCAAAACCCACCTCTGTTCTTATTTTCAAATGCTGGCCGAAAGTCGAAACTCTGATGGTTTTTGCAGGGTAAATAGTCGCTCTCAAAACATCAGTAAATAATTCCTGTTTGTTTCCACATGATTCTCCTCGCATCCCTGCTAACGTATTTAGAGCAGGTTTTGCTTGCAGTGTTTATAATGCCCCTATTGATTACGATTGTTTGACTCATTCAAGGATAGCATTGTGGCTACTGAAAGGATTACCTTATAGGTAATACAAAGTTTTGGTATGGGGTCGTCAATTTGGTTCAAATGAACATATTGGAAGCATTATGTAATCCTACAATATTCAGTGATTGTTGTCGTGGTTGAAATCGAGTCTAAAGTTATGATAATATTGTAGTGATTCAGCCTGAGCCACTACGGCTCTGGCGGCATATGCGCGTAAGTCCCGCATTAGGCGACACCCGCGGTAGTTTCCGCGGGCGTGCTTATCACTGGGAACGTGAGATTGAACCTGAGACTGCACGCGACAAACACTGTTGATTGCCCGTCTCTTCTGTCTCTTCGGTCTACTACTACTAGCGACGGTGGAGCTCCACTCAACGAGCAACACTTCAAGCGCTTCTTGAGACAGACTTCAAGCAGTATAGTATACAGCCTATGGTAGGATAAATCCTTATTATAGGCCTAGTCGTTTATGTAGTTATAGTTAAGATTTAGGCCCAGTAACTGAGTAAGTTATATTCCGCTCCGTCACTACAATGGCGTAATCGCCACGGCTCCTCGACAGCGGGTACAGCAGACTTACCTGTTCGATCCAGAGAGGGACGGGTATGATACGGGAGAGGAGTCGGGAATTTATCAGGTTAGGCAACCCCATCCCCTGAATCGTTCCCCAACAGTTTCTAAAGGTAGGGATGTTCCCCGCCCGGCTCCCGTGGAGGACCGGGGGAATGTCAAAACCCTTCTCGAAGCTCAAGTCGGGAAGGACATAGGCAGTCTCAAGGTGGACATGGGTGGGGTGAAGAAAGAGCTCGCCAGTTTGAGGACCCGCATGGACAACATGGATAGTATTCTGGCGGAGGTTCTGAAGACTGTAAAGTCTCTGGAGGTCTCCAGGTTCTCCAGGACCCGTTCTCCATCTCCTAGATCTAGAGGCTGCTTTGGATGTGGTCAGTTAGGCCATTTTCAAAGGGAATGTCCGGTTAAGTCGGTGTCCTTTGCGGCTACTGAGGAGGCGGGAAACCCGGAGGGATCGGAGAGCGAGGTCGATCTCCGATCTGCGGAAGAGGAGGCCTACAATCAGTAAGTGTTGAGGTAAATAAGGTAAGTGACCCACCTGACTCATCGGTCGGTCCCCCAGACAAGGGTAGGTTATCCTATGGGGAAGGTAGTGTGTGTACAGTCAGTGACCCACCTGGTTCTTCGGTCGGTCCCCTGGACAAAGTGCCGAGTAGTGATAAGTGGTCCGTTCGAGCTCAGGGAACCCCCCCGGATGTGTGGGAGGGTGAGTGTTTATTCATTGCGGAGCTCTTTAAGGGGTATGCAGACACGTTGGAGCCTTTGGAGGAGGTAGTGGTGAATAAAGTAAGCAGTAATTCTATGTTTTATGTGCCTATTTTGTTTGGGAAAGTTAAGTTAAGGGCAGTTGTAGATACTGCTGCTGAAGTTACCATTGTTTCGGATAAATTCCTCTCCCTTTTGGATCCGGCACCCCCTATCCTTCAAACTGTTATCTTAAGGACGGCCGGCCGGGGTCAGAAAATGACATCGATGAAAATCGGCCCGGTTCCTATTAAGTTAGGTCAGTCATGGTTTGAGGAGGTTGTATACTGTGCCCCATTAGAGGATGATATGTTACTTGGGCTGGATTTCTTACAGAAATATGGTATTGATATTTCCATTACTCAGTCCAAGCTTATTGTCGGGGGGGAGGAAGTACATATGTACTATGGAACGGATTCCAAGGTAGCCTGCATCCAAAGGGTTTGTATTGCTAGGACGGCCATGGTGCCTCCTTCCAGTGTGAAGCGGGTAAGCTGTAAGGTTGTGGGGGATCCAGGGCTCCAGGGTAGTGACCTCTTCCTTTTCCAGCCCACCCACGGGCTCCCCGTATGGGTACCTCGGATTGTGTTTGATCGGGGAAAGGATTTGGATGTTTATGTAATCAACGTAACCGACTCCTATCACCGGCTGTCGGGGGGGACTCAACTTGGGGTAGCGGAGGAGGTGAATGAGTTGCAGCCGGTTGAAGCCGATGGTCCTTTAATTAGACAAGCTACGGCCACGGCTGCAGCTACGGTGGACCCCTGCCCTGCCCATCTTCAGGATCTGCGCGATAGATCCGAGTCTCTTTTGACGCTGGAGGAGAGAACGAAGCTGGAGGCCCTGTTGCATGATTATCAGGATGTGTTTGCGAAGGACGAGTTCGACCTGGGCAAGTTTACCACTATCACCCACAAGATAGACACTGGTGATGCGCGTCCAATTAAACAGAAGATGCGTAGAACCCCCATCAATTTCGCTAACGAAGAGGGGGCTCATTTAGACAAGATGTTGAAAGCCGGAGTGATCCGGCCTTCTATCTCTGAATGGGCTTCCCCTCCAGTTTTGATTAGGAAAAGGGATGGGTCTGTTAGATGGTGCTTAGATTACCGCAAGTTGAACATGGTTACTAAGAAAGATGTGTTCCCACTCCCAAACATTGAGGAATGTCTAGACAGCTTAGCCGGAAATGTGTGGTTTTCCAAACTGGATGCAAATTCTGCCTATTGGCAAATTCGAGTTGAGGAATCAGACATAGAAAAAACAGCTTTTATTACAAAGCAAGGTTTATTTGAGTTCGTTAGAATGGCATTTGGGTTGTGTAATGCTCCAGCTACATTTACGAGAGCTATGAATTTGATTTTACATGGTCTCAATTGGGGCACAGCCCTAGCATTCCTCGATGATGTTTTGGTGTTGGGAAATTCTTTCGAGGATCATCTGAAGAATCTTCAGGAAGTTCTTGGGCGGTTTCAGTCCTATCAGCTTAAGCTTAAACCTAAGAAGTGTACTTTGTTTCGGAAAGAGGTTGAGTTTTTAGGTCGTAATGTTGGTGATTCAAGCTTGCACCTAATGAAAGAACACATTCAGGCTGTGGAAAATTGGCCTGCTCCCCAGAATACTAAAGAGGTAGAACGTTTTTTAGGTCTAGTTAACTACCATCGTCTTTTCCTAAAGAATTATGCCGAATTAGCTGTTCCGCTTTACGGACTAACTGGGAAGCATCCTTTTCACTGGGAGGCGGAGCACCAATGTGCTTTTGAAGCCATTAAACGGCTCTTAGTATCCGCACCTGTACTAACCTTACCAAATTCACAAGATCCTTTTATTCTAGATACAGACGCTTCGGATAATGCGGTAGGGGCAGAGCTGCTGCAGGTCCAGGGTGGCGAGGAAAGAGTGATTGCATATGGGAGTGTTGGTTTGAATAGTCAGCAGCGCAAGTACTGTGTGACTAGGAAAGAGCTGCTTGCGGTGATCCTGTTTACTAGACAGTATCGCCACTATCTTCTGGGCAAACCTTTCCTTGTTAGAAGCGATCATAGTAGCTTGCGTTGGCTTTTTAATTTTAAGAGCCCAGATGGCCAGCTGGCCCGCTGGCTCGAGGAATTAAGCCGGTATGACATGCAGATCAACTACCGCAAAGGCCTTACGCATGCCAATGCTGACGCCTTATCAAGGATTCCAATACGCGGTCCAACTTGTGATGAGTATCAGCTCGGTTTTAGTTTAGAAGATTTGCCATGTGGGGGGTGTTCTTATTGCACACGCGCGCATAGGAATTGGTCTAAGTTTGCTGAGGAGGTAGATTATGTGGTGCCGTTGGCCCAGAGGCCAGGGGCCCAGAGGCCGTGTGTTCAATCCGTATCCAATAATGTTTCCTGTGACCTTCGGAAATCGGGTAGTAAGGTTCCGAGGACAGGGTTATTGTTTGATATCTCCCAAGTGACGTTATATAGTTCCGGGACTAGGGACCTGGTTATCACGTCGGGCAGTGGGAGTGCTAAGGAAAGTGTTCATATTAGTTATGGGGACAGTTTTTCTGTTAAGGCCACTGTACTAGATAATTCCTGGAATAACGGGAGCTTTGATTTTCAGAAATCTCAAAAGGATGACTTATTCCTGAAGTCAATTTTTGTTTGGTTATCAGTTAAGGAAGAACCCAGTCAGAATACCATCATGCTGTGGGGGCCGGAGGAAAAGTTCCTCTGGATAAACCGAAGCCTTTTGGCTCTGCGTGATGGTGTTATCTGCTGGACTCGGGATGACAAATTGCTAGCTTGGGTTCCCCGGGAATTGAGGGAGTCAATCATAAAAGGTCATCATGATTTGCCCTCATCAGGCCATCAGGGAATTAAACGAACCTTGGATAAAATCCAATTGAAGTACATGTGGTATCACATGAGGAATGATGTTCAATTGTATGTGCAGACCTGTGCGGTTTGTAATAGGAATAAGCAGTCCACTCGTCACTCCCGACATCCAATGGTTCAATTTCATGCAGGGATTCCTTTAGAGCGGGTCCATCTCGATTTTATTGGGCCACTACCAAAGACCCTCAAAGGGAATGAACATATCCTAATGATAGTTGACCAATTTACTAAGTGGGTAGAATGCATACCTTTACCCTCCCAAACGGCAGAAGAGACTGCACGGGCTGCAGTTAATGAATTCTTTTGTAGGTTTGGTTTTCCTTTTCAGGTCCACTCTGACCAGGGACGGAATTTTGAGAGTAGTTTATTTCAACAATTGTGTAAGATGACGGCAATCCACAAAACTCGTACCACCGCCTATCGGCCTTCTGCCAATGGACAGGTGGAACGATATAACCGAACCCTTATGGATGCAGTCAGATGCTTTATAGGTAAAGCTCAGAATAATTGGGATCAATTTCTTCCACAGATAGCCAGCGCTATACGGGCTACAGTAAACCGAAGTACAGGTTTCACCCCGAATCGGCTAATGTTGGGAAGAGAGGTTAATCAGCCGGCGGATTTAATGTTCCCCCTTCCTTTGTCACAGCAGAGGCAGAGCCCGGATGAGTATTGCCGTAACCTGTCCGAAGCCATGCGGAAATCTCATGACACGGCACGGGCCAAGCTTAAGTCAACTCAGGCCCGGATGAAGCGTGACCATGATGTTAAAGTAAACCTTAAGTCTTTTAAGGAAGATGATTGGGTTTATTTTTTGGACTTGGCCTCCGTTAAGGGTAAGAGTAAGAAACTCTGTCCTCCTTGGAGGGGGCCGGCCCAGGTTATTACGTGTTTATCCCCTTATCTGTACCGGGTTAGGTTTAAGAAGGTTTTAATGGTACTCAATCATGATAGGTTGAAATTATGTCGGGATCGAGTCTTGCCGACTGTGGGGGGATCACGGCTCAATAAGGAGGCTTATTGCCTTTGTAGGAAGCCAGATGATGGTCGTCTCATGATCGAGTGTGACAGGTGCCTGGAATGGTATCATGGGGCATGTGTGAATATTTTGCCGGCAGATGCGGTGGCTATAGGAACTTATGTGTGCCCCGTGTGCAGAGCGGCAAGGAAAAGGTAAATCTGGTTTTGTTCCATTGTCTTTACTTTTTATATATGTTTATGTCGATATACTTTACTCATTTCTAACACATTGTTGCCGCATTTTGGCCCTAACTTTAAATATGACTCCTTTCAGCTCCATTTACGAAATAGAAGAGCATTTCTTAGTGAATTAACTTGTTTAAATCAGCTGATTAATTTAGGGCTGAGCGTTAAAATGAATTGTATTGTTAAAATGCGCAGTATACTTGTTCATGAGCCAGTCAGTGTATGTCAATGATGAACTAATAAGGATTTCTCTCCTTTCTCCCCAGTGGTTTTAGGGTTTCTCTTTTGACATGGGCCCTCCTAAGCGGCCAGTAAGCTCCTGGGCCAGTAATCTTCCCCCAAGGAAGAAAAGGCAAGCTGAGGATGCCAGACCAGAGGGCGGCTCCAGCAACAGACCAGGTAACCTCCTGGAAAGGAGGAAGCGCTATCGTCACGAACAAACATGCCCCTATCCCGCTTGCGCGATCAGGACGGTGCATGTTAAATTTCATGTGTATGGCCATCTTCCTAACCTTGCTTTCGTACCACTAGGTATTAACCCTCCGTCTGCCGAATTGCTTCGGCTGCGAGGGGAGTTCTTGCGGTGGGTGGCCACTCAGTTTGTGGGGGATGGGCGGGACCCGGTTGGGAGATTGGTGGCCTACGTCAATCAGGACTTTCGTCCTAGCCGCCCTTTTATTGCGTCGGAGGTAGAGAGAGCCCTTAGAGCGCAAATCGAATTTGAGGGATGGCCTATGCCGTCTTCTTTTTCTATCTCTCCTCTCAACTCTCCTGCGTGTCTCCTACACTGGAGGGTGTTGGTGCATTTGCACCTGAAGCTTTCTCCTTCTTTGCGGGCAACCTTTTTCTCCTGGGGTTCCCCGTCTACTTTTCCTGTCTCTTCTGCCCCTGTGGTGATTCCTCCTCTTCTCTCGGTTGGGTCTGTGCCTTCTTTCGCACAGGTTGCCGCTGACTCTCAGTCGGCTCCTTCTAGCTCTCTTCTCCCTGTTTCTTCTGTTTCTGATGCTACTTCTCCCCCTGTCAGTGCTTTTCCTCCTCTGATCTCTGCTGGGTCCGTGCCTTCTTCTGCACAGGTTGCCGCTGCCTCTCAGTCAGCTCCTCCCAGTGACCAGTCAGGCTTGTTGTCTGGTTCTGTTACTTCTCCGTCTCTTTTCATGAGACCGACTATTCCTGTTTCTAGGATGCCGGCTCCTCAGGCACCTATTTTTCGTCCTATCCTTATGCCTTTTCTTCGACCCCCGGTTCGACCTTCTCGTCTCCCTTCCACTGTCACTTCTGCTCCTTTGTTTCCATCACCAGGTTCAGTGGGACAAGCGCCTCAGCTGAGCTCTGCTGCACCTGGTCTTCTGCCTTTCATTCGTCCTTCCACTGTCACTTCTGCTCCTTTGTTTCCATCACCAGGTTCAGTGGGACAAGCGCCTCAGCTGAGCCCTTCTGCACCTGGTCTTCCGCCTTCCATTCATCCTCCCACTGTTGCTTCTGCTCCTCCTGCTCCTGTTCCTATCGATTTGATTCAATTCGATTCCCCTTCTCTTGCTCAACCTAGTCCTCTCGATCCGGCTAGTTCTATCGGGCCACAGATTCCTGTGCCCCCGTTCTCTTGTGAACAGCCACAGGCTCCTACTGGGCCACAGGCTCCTGTGCCCGCTTCTCTTCCTTTCGCTCCGGTTATCTCTCCTCTTCCGGCTACTTCTACTGTGCCCTCTTCTCTTCCTTTCGCTCCGGCTACTTCTACTGTTCTTCCTCCTTACTCTAGAAGTCGTTCCCCCCTAGTCTATCCTGTGGGAGACTTGCCGGATACAGTTCAACGGCTCGTCCGCGAGGACATGGTGCCGGCTCCTTTCTCTTCAGTTCTCGTGAATGGTTTTGATAGCCATTTTCATTTAGATCGCATGATGGATACCATCGCGAGGAAAGGAGATCAAATTTGCTTTCCTCGCCCAGGTATGAAGTTGGTGGGTGGTGTGGTTAATTTCTGTGACCCGCAGTTTTTCGATCGGGCCCTCCGTCTCATTCCGCTTCTCCCTCTTTTCCATATCGCCGTCGGGGTACATCCGAAGTGTGTATCTATGCTCACTGATGACGGCTGGGCTAAGTTGGAGTGCTTATTCTCATGTCCCAGGGTTACGGCGGTGAGCGAGCTTGGGATCGATTATTTTCGTGTTCCCCAGCCCGAATGGCCCAAGCAGTGGGCATTGGTCAGAAGAATCCTGGGTTTGGGTTGTAGGAATATGGTGTTGGTCCTACACCTGAGACCAGCCCAGGGCGATCCGTGTGGCCATCACCTGCACGGAGAGTTCAGGGACCTTCTGGGGCAGTTCTGTGGGCGTCACCAGCACATCCACATCCACAATTTCACCGGTGATGCCCAAGAATTGGATGCATGGATGGCTGCCTTCCAGAATGTGTATGTCGGGGTGTCGGGCCTGGCTGTTTCATTCAATCCGGCCCAAGTAGATATGGTCCGTAGTGTTCCCTCCCACCGGCTCCTCTTGGAGACTGATTCCCCGTACCTGGCTGTTTTCCCGGGTGCGTCGGTCAACACCCCCTACTTGTTAGAGGATGTTGGCCGACTAGTATCCCGAATTCGGGGGCAGCCTTTTAGGGCGGTGATGAGGCACTCCACAGAGAATGCCCAGAGATTATACTCTGGGTTTGCATGCCTGGTTTTGCCTTAATTTAATGTAATACCCCGGTTAATCCCTTACGCCTGTGCCGGATATTTTGCAATATTTTATTATGTATGACTATTTTAACTGCTATTTTTGGTCACTTACACTTACACCGGCACGGTAAGGGTTAACTGGTATATTTCTGTTTCTGTTTCTTTATATTCTTGATCCCTGGGACTTTCCCGGGACTTGAATCCTATTTTAGGAATTAAGGATACCAAGCTAGGGACGTTAGGATGTTTCTGGTTTTCAGCATTATATACTAGCTGAAATTCCCATGAGTATTTTCCTTTGGGAACGGGTGTTTTTGTAGTCTTAACCATGGCTCGTCTGTAACCAGAATGGAGACCATTATTACTATGGGATTGACCATTTATATTGTATGAGTGTATATTCCATTATTACTATGGGATGGACCATTTATATTGTGTGGGTGTATATTTCATGTACCATTATGGCTAAGGGATTGGCTAGTTATATTATATAATTGTATATTCATGCACCGTCCTGGTTGTCTTTATATGTAGCCGTTTGGCTCTTCCCCTTTTCGGCGCGCATGTTACCATTCTGTATTTCTACCTATGAGATTGCTCAGTCTCTGTATACAAGTACTTCATATAATGTTTCCCATACCACATTTTGGAATGCAGCTCTATTATTACTATGCTCTTTTTCTACCTATGAGATTGTTCGGTCTCTATATACATGTACTGTACATAATGTTTCCTGTACCGGATTTTGGAATACAGTACTTATTAAGATATGATAAAGGCGCCTGCCTCCTGGAAAGACCAAAACTTCACCGGTGCTGGCAAGAAGGGTCTTTGACTCATCCACCAGCGGGAACGGCGTGACCCCGCACTGCGGTACGGGAGTAGTTTTAAGTTAGTTTTAGGTTAGTTTTAGTTAGAAGTAGGCTTCAAACTCATTAAGTGGGGAATAATGTAGTGATTCAGCCTGAGCCACTACGGCTCTGGCGGCATATGCGCGTAAGTCCCGCATTAGGCGACACCCGCGGTAGTTTCCGCGGGCGTGCTTATCACTGGGAACGTGAGATTGAACCTGAGACTGCACGCGACAAACACTGTTGATTGCCCGTCTCTTCTGTCTCTTCGGTCTACTACTACTAGCGACGGTGGAGCTCCACTCAACGAGCAACACTTCAAGCGCTTCTTGAGACAGACTTCAAGCAGTATAGTATACAGCCTATGGTAGGATAAATCCTTATTATAGGCCTAGTCGTTTATGTAGTTATAGTTAAGATTTAGGCCCAGTAACTGAGTAAGTTATATTCCGCTCCGTCACTACAATATCATAATTGTAAATAATAAACTCTTTATGTTGAATGGCTCCCTCTCAAGGTCAAGATATTAATTAAGTTATAAAACAATGTTTCTTGACTAAAATCGACCGATTTGATATTTCCGTTTGGAAATTATATATCCATCCTACATATTCTGAGATTTTCAGGGTCGCAGCTACCATTGTACGGCCGTAGATGCTATTTGAAATTTATCAAAATTTACCGGGAGCACCGGTAAATTTTTATATTCAATTTTTCTCGAAAGCAGAAGTGTTTAGGGGCTAATTTTTCTAGTGCTTTGATACATCTACAGGGGCATCCAAATATACCAAAATTGTAAAGAATCACTATCCACCCAATTTTCAAAATTTACCAAAACTTTGTATTACCTTTAATTTTTAAGGCTCATTGTGTGTGTCATTATTTTGTGAATTCTTGAAAGAAAAAGCTAAACAATTAAAGGAGAAGTTGATCCTGATATTTAATAGGTTGGTTAAAACACGGACATATGAGAGATCGGGTTAATGCAAGTTTGAGCAAAATCCGATCATACTTTATAGTTATAGACTATACCGAAAGCACTGCCACTGGAGCTTTGCAGCTAAGGTCAGGTTGTGTTTGAAGCCGGAGTTCGGGCCCTCGCCGGGGGGTGCGGCGGGCACACTGTACCGTACGCGTATCGAAAATTTTCTCCGGGGGGAAATAACAAGCTAGAGAAAAAGTCTCGAAGGCAACTTACCTCACCTCAGGTCCTAAAGCTATGCATCTGATAGTTGTCCTTTCACTTTACCGCCAATTCAGAAAAACACTTAATCCTCATCGACTTCCATTTCTTGGTTGTTTTAAGCCGATTTCAGTCGGGTAAGTATGTGAGAGTGCTAGTCACCTGCTAGTGGCCGACCGAAGAGTTATGGTTGCGCTGCTGTACACTAATTACAGATTCGTATTCTTGTTATAAACATAATTTATATAGCGCGCGGAGTCGGGCTATTAAAAGCACTGTTCCCCCAAATTCATTTATCGGCATAAGAGGACATGTCTTTTTTTTGTGTGTGTCCCAAATTGTGAAAATTTGGCCGATCGATATTTCGTTTCGTTATGGGGGGGGGGGGGGGGGGGGGGGGGTAAGGTCAGCTTTTTAGGGTCACCCATTACCACAATCTTTTGAATATTTTTTTTATAAAAAAAAAAAAAAATACAAAAGGGGGAGGGGGTTTCCTCCTAAACATACATATTAAAAAAGTTAAGGGGGGGGGGGGGGTCACCCCCCTGCGTACGCGCCTGATCTGAATAGACATTCAAATTCAATTCAAAGTTTATTCAACACTCTTCATAAAAACATTTAAAACATACAAATACAGAATGGAATAATAATTAAAAAAAAAGTGATAACAAATTACAATGGTAATTTATAAGAGCATTTGGGGAAGGCAGAACGGAGGGATTCCTTATATGAAAGCCTACCTCTAAAAACACACATACAGGAGGAAAAAAAAAGAAACCAAGAACAAAAGAACAGAACAAAAAAACAAAATACATACTAAAACATACTATCATGTACGATCAGAGTAAAAACAGAGTCAAACTGTAATTCTTTAAAAATATAAATTTCAAGAGATTTCATGCTTCCTTAAAGGCAGGCTTTACTACTTCAGCCAGAAGGGATTATATACCACCCAGCGATCCAGCGAGGTCACTGTGACAGGTGGCTATCTCATTAACTCAGCTCTCATGTAACATAAGAAAAAGAGGATCATGGGGGACCAACAGGCACCGATTAGGGAAGTTTTCTATATAGAGGGAGCAAGTAGCTACAAGTAGGACAGTGTGCCTTTAATTGGAAGAGGAAAAGCTTAATCGGCTGAGAATCGTATAGTGACGTCAGACCAGTAGTGCGATTGTCTAGGAGTTGAAGCCGGCTCGGCCTTTATCTTAAAGGTATAAGTTTTGGGAAATTTTGAAAATTGGTGGATAGTGAATCTTTACAATTTTGATATATTTGGATGCCCCTGTGGATGTATTACAAGCACTAACAATTTTTGCCCCTAAAGCACTTTTGTTTTCGAGAAAAATTGAATATAAAAATTTACCGGTGCTCCCGGTAAATTTTGATATATTTCAAAAAGCGCTTATGGCCGTAGCTGCGACCATGAAAATCTCAGAATATGTAGTTGTGATATATAATTTCCAAATGGGAATAGCTAATCGGTCGATTTTAGTCAAAAAACATTGTTTTATAGCTTAATTAATATCTTGACCTTGAGAGGGAGCTATACGACATAAGAAGTTTATTATTTACAATTTCATAATTTTAGACTCGATTTCAACCGCGACAACGATCAATGAATATTGTAGGAACGCATACGCTTCCAATATGTTAAATTGAACCAAATTCATGACCCCATACCAAAACTTTGTAATACCTTTAACTAGAAGAGTTCAATGTTTGTTACTATTCTTGTCATTATTTAAACGCTAAATCAGGAAGATTATATTTGATGAAATTTCCTAAGTAATAACATTGTAATTTCTTCGAAAAGCGGATCGCAGGACGACCGGTAGGGGTGCGATATAGGCTTTTATTTTTTTTTAAATATGCAATTCGTCATTATTGAATGTGTTTTGCTGTATTATGCTATTCATGCGCACATTATGTAACGCCTCGTGAATTGGAAAATGAGATATGGTTAAAGTTGTAGCTCATCTTTTCTTTCTATTCCCTTTCCCGGTAGACTGGTGCCAAGTAAGAGATTTGAAAAAGGGAAGGCTTGGATAACTGAAAGTTTAATACTATGCATTAGAAAGAAAAACTGATTGTACAATAAAATGACAAGAGGTCATCTGTAAATGAACATAAGTTAAACAATAATAGGAATAGAGTAAATTACATCTCTAGAAAAGCGAAAAAACATTACTTTTATTTACAGTTTGGAAAGCTAAAAAATTAAATCAGAGGTACATTAACAACTTCTAAATAAGTCTAAACCCATATTACATGCGTATTTTATGAGACATGGTGAAATGATTGAAAATGAACAAAATATTGCAAATTAATTTAATTCATTCTTTCGTTTTGAACAATACAACTGAACTTAATATAACTTCTCATACTGACTTATTAACCAATCCAAATTCTGTTTCATTATTTTTCAAGCCTATTACTGAACATGAATTAATCAATGTCTGTAGATCGTTGAATACTAAAACATCATGTGGAAACAATACCATTAGATGCAATATGCTTAACAATATTATTCATGCTATTGTCTAAACCTCTGGTAGTTCCAAGTAAACTTTAAATTGCTAAGATTATCCCAATTTATAATAAAGATGATTGCTTTTTATTTAGAAAATATCGATCAATATCTTTGCTGACTTGCATATCGAAATTATGAAATAAACTTGTTTATAATCGGCTGTATGATTTCCTTAAAAATATTATAATCGGGGCAGCGCCAGGAGCGTTACAACGTGACGGACATGTGCGCTATATAAGAAGCCACCATTATTATTATTATTATTACACTTTCACATTGCCAATATGGATTCCGCCGTAATCATTCTACAATTCATGCCTTGATTGATGTACAGGAAAAATTGACATTAGCAATAGAAAATAATAACTTTTGTATTGAAATATTTAAGGGTTAATCGGAAGCATTCAATATTAGTAGATCACTCAATACGTTTGTCCAAATTACACTATTATGGGATAAGTGGGATTGTGTTCCAATTTTTAAAAGCTATTTAAATGACCGGCGTCAGTAATTCACCGTGTTCAATAATTCCTTTTTTAAAATTTTCTAACATTACACTTGGAGTTCCTCTTGGATCAACCCTTGGCCCGTTACTCGTTTTGATTTATAATAATTCGAACCTATCGCATATTGCAATATATTATGTACAACTCTTATTTATTCACAGTCTGGTTTGGATGATATTGAATTAACATTTTTGTTGCTATTTCATAATAACATATATATTTTTAACATCCTTAAAGAGATGTCTTTAAGTATAATTATACTCAATATCCATTTCCAAATCAAATGTTATTGTTAATACTTTTCTTGGAGTATTGGTAGATAGTAATTTTCGCTGGGATGCCCAAAATAATAACATTGTACACAAAGATTCGAAATGCATTGTAGTTTTGTATAAATTGAAGTTTAATGTGCCATTCCCTATATTATTTACATCAGTGGCGGATCCGGGGGGGGGGGGCGAAACGGCCGCGGCCCCCCTATTGGCGGCGCAAAAAAGGAAGGAAAAAGGAAAGGAGAAGAGGAGAAATGCGCAGGAGGGGGAAGCTGAATTCAGACAAGGATTAAGAGTCGAGAACGGTACAAAGAATCATCTTCTTTCTCTAATAATTTCATTAAACTATGGAAGGCCAAAGCTTCCGTGCTTCGCGGAGGAGGGGGAGGGGGGGGGGGGGGGGGGGGGCTAAATTCAGTCAAGTATATAAGAGTCGAGAATGGTACAACAAATCTTCTTTCTCTAATAATTAATGAAAGGTCAAAGCTTCCGCGCTTCGCGCGTGCGGGAGGAAACTGAATTAAGACAAGGATTAAGAGTCAAGAATGGTACAACGAATCCTCTTCTTTCTCTAATAATTTAATGAAACATCAAAGCTTCCACGCTTCGCGCGGGAGGGGGGAAACTGCATTCAAACAAAGATTACGAGTCCAGAATGGTACAACGAATCGTCTTCTTTCTCTAATAATTTAATGAAACTTCATAGTTTCCGCGCTTCGCGCGGGGGAGGGGGGGGGGGGGGGGGAAACTGAATTTAGACAAGGATTCAGAGTCGACAACGGTACAACGAATAGTCTTCTTTCTCTAATAATTTAATGAAACGTTAAGCTTCTGCGCTTTGCGCGGAGGGGGGAAACTTAATACAGAGAAGGATTAAGAGTCGAAAATGGAACAACGAATCATCTTTTTCTAATAATTTCATTAAACTATGAAAGGTCAAAGCTTCCGCGGGAGGGGGAAAACTGAATCAGACAAAGAATACGAGTCGAGAATGGTGCAACAAATCATCTTCTTTTTCTAATAATTAATGAAAGGTCAAAGCTTCGGCGCTTCGCACGTAATGGGGGGGGGGGGGGGCAGCGAGCTGTCCGAATATGAGTTTGTGATATCTTTTCTCGTTTATTTTGGTGATAAATAACACTTTCACAAAATACCTATTATGCTCAAATTGTTGCTAGCTCGCATCGTTCACTAGCCGAATTTTGAAACAAAAAAAAAATTATTTTTTCGGCCAAGAGGCTATAGCCCCCCCCCCCCCGATGAAAATGTCAAAAATTGTATTGGTATGGTGCTTCTAATATGACCTTGTCAGTATTGGTATGTTGAGTTGAAAAAACGGTCTGCGCAATTTTCAAATTTCGGCCCCCCCCCCCCCCTATTCGAAAATCCTGGATCCGCGCCTCTACATTATATAAATCCCTCATAGTATCGGCCTATATACGACATATTGTAATGCTGTGTGCGACAATTCATTAAAGAAACACCTTGATACTTCTTTCAAATTGCGAATTTAAAGAAGGCTTTACGAATTTCTACAGGGAGTGACTTTTATACCCATTCTGGTCCTTTATTTTCCCCTATAAAAACTTTGAATATTTTTGGTTAATTTATTCAAATATCATATCGCACTGCTTGGTTTTCAATATTTTCAATATTTGCTTCCTAAAGCTATGGTCACAGCCCCCAAAAGTAGACTGTTCGGCGGCCGGTCAGCGAGTTTTTAGCCAATTTAGCCCGGGCACCGAGCGGCGGTCGCCCGGGCATCGCTCGGTCGCCGGTGGAGTTTTTAATTTTTTTTAAAATTTTCAATATTAATAACGAGATTCATGCTCATGAAGCACCCGGGGGGGGGGGGGGGAATTCACATATTAGGACATACCTGGGGTGCCGCTCTAATGGGTCACTTTTTCACA